AGTGTCCTACCACAATTACGCCGACGACACTCAGATCTATGTCTCACTGACTGCAGGAGAACATGGACCACTGGATTTGCTCCTTCACTGTATCCAACAGATCAGTGAGTGGATGCAAAATAATTTCCTCCAGCTAAATGCAGACAAAACCGAAATCATTGTCTTTGGTCCCCAGAAACAAAGAGAGGGCGTCATCTGTCAACTTCAGTCTCTCTCCCTACTTCCTTCAGACAAGGTCAGAAATTTGGGGGTAATACTGGACTCAGACCTAAATTTCAATAGCCACATAAAATCAATAACATCAACAGCTTTTTACCATCTGAAGAACATTGCCAAAGTCAGAAATATAGTGTCCAGGGCAGACTTGGAGATTCTTGTCCACACATTTGTCTCCAGCAGGCTAGACTACTGCAATGGCCTGCTTACAGGTCTGTCCAAACAGACCTGTAAGCAGCTGCAGTACATCCAAAATGCAGCAGCTAGAGTCCTGACAGGAACCAGGAAGTATGACCATATTAGTCCGGTCCTCAGGTCTCTGCACTGGCTTCCTGTGGCTCAAAGAATAGATTTTAAAACAGCTCTGCTTGTGTACAAGTCTCTCCATGGCCTTGCACCAGAATACATTAGTGACATGTTGGTGTCATATGAACCAGCCCGGACTCTGAGGAGCACAGGGACTGGCCTCCTGCTGGTGCCCAGAGTGAGAACCAAACATGGGGAGGCTGCGTTTCAGATCTATGCAGCTAAGATCTGGAACAATCTCCCTGAAAATGTGAGGGAGGCGTCTACTCTGTCAATGTTCAAATCCAGGTTAAAGACTGTTCTGTTTGCCTGTGCATACAACTGAAGGATTTTATCTCCATTTGTAATGCAACTGCTGTCATTTTTTTATTTATTTTTTTAAATTTCTTGTGTAACTTTGAAAGTGTTAATGGTTTTATTCTTTTGTGTGATTTTATTGTTTTTATTGTGTTTTAATCTTTTGTGTGATTTTAATGTTTTAATTGTGATTCTGGTGTTTGTTTTTATGTGATGATTTGTGATGTGGACTGTGAAGCGCTTTGTGTTGCCCTGTGCATGAAAGGCGCTCTACAAATAAACTTTGATTGATTGATTGAGCACTGGAGCAGGGTGACGCACGCATGTCGAAGCAGTGAAAAGCTAGGCGGACGGGGCGCGGGGGCAGGACGGGTTTAGAAGTTATACGAGCAGAAAGACATGAGTGCACAAGAGAGAGATAAAGGACAGCGCTGATTAATGCCGGTTGACAGCTGATCATAGAGAATGCTCCCCCTGTCACAAGTGATCAGCCAGTCCAGTCATCTCGCCACAAAGGTAAACTGGACAGGCACAAAAAGGCCCTGACTCACTCCAAAGCCCCACAAAGACCATGTCCGCTCCAATAACACCCCCACGCTCCCAACCCAGCCCTGCAGCACATACAGGCCCTGCTAAATGCATGGATATACGACCATTTGTAAATTTATTCTACGTTCTGAGGCATCTCCCACTTCTTCAGAGTGCTAAAACCATAGACCAACCATAGAAATTGATTTTTTAAGGAATATTTTTTTGTAGATGCCAAGTCTCTCTCTTTTTAACTGCAAAAATAATCTACCCATGGGTACAAATGAATTCACTTTGAACCTTGAAATCCAGAAGCTAATCAAGATGGCTCAAGATGCAGCCAGGTTTATAGGATGTTCGTTAACCGAAGCCAGAGCCCAGAGACGACGCGCTTGTTGGTTGTATAATATCACAAATCTGGTTCTGTTCACAATGTTGATGTTTGTGTCATGGTTTAGGTATATTTCCTGTTTTGTGTTGTAATTTGTTACCCCTGTGTCTTCTTTAGATCTACTTCCTGTTGTCTGATTACCTGCCCCGCCCTGTTTCCCCTGTGTGCCGTTAGTCTTGTGTTTAAACCCTGTGTATTCCTTCACATTCCTTCGCCTTTAGTTCTTGTCACCAGTCCCTGTTTGGTCTCTTTTTGTATTCATGCTAGATTTTGTTTGACATTTGACTAAATAAATGTATTTGGTGTTTTTTTTTTTTTTTATTCCCTTTTGCCACCATGACAGCTTTTAAACTAAAGCTAGAGCCTATTGTGCAGAGAAACAGTATTTTCTGGGCATTTTTCAAAGATTACAGCAAGGTGCACTGCTGCTACTGTAGTTTTCCAAAAGCCAGCCAAGGCGCTGATGTTGTGTGATTTCTGAGGTGACTTTTTCAAATAGACTATTTTTAACACTTAAGGATAGTATGGTGAAATGTCATGGTGTGGATATTGTGTTTTTATTTTGACTTCAGATCTCTGTAGTTTACTTTAGTTTTATTTCCTGTTCTTTTCCCGGTGTGTTTCACCTGGTCCATTGTCTTTGTCAATGTGTGTCTGTTTTCCTAGTTCCTCGTGTTTCATTTGGAATTCTAAAGTTTATTTTGCTTTGGAATTTTATTTATTTCTTCATTGAATCATTATTTTTAGCATTCCTATATTTTGGGACCGTCCTTTGTTTCACCACATGATAAAAAGGTACTTCTCTAACCAAGAAAATAGCGCATCAGCACTGCTTTAATATCACTGCTACAGCCCTACAGCTCAACACTTAATTTAGCACATGGTTCTGGCTTGTAAGAGTGGTTTACAGACTGCGTAATGAAGACATACAGTGAGTTTCCCGCAGCCACATACAGTAATAGTGTCAATTTTTGTCTGTGTGGGCAGCACGATTGACTGGACAGTGCGCTTGGCAGATGGAAACACTATAAATGAAAAAATGGCCAACATATGGGAATGCCTGAAATGTTCCCATCACTGGATCTCATTACAGAAAACATGTCATTGCTCATAAGCCCCTTTATACGTCTTTGGTAATGTGCAGCAGCTATAGACACACACACACCCACCAGTCCAATGGTCAAAGCAAACAGCACTAACAACACAGCTTACAGCTGCATCAGCTGAGGCCTCGGACATTGAGTGAGCTCTGATTGCTTAGTCTTATTTATATTTGACATGTTTCATTCAAAGGTTCTTAACTGTGCCCTATATCTTTGAGCCAAGAAAGTTGATTAGACTGGACTAAATGCCTGGAAAATTTAAAGAAAGACTTATACATATTTGTTCATCCCATGACTTGATTCAAGATCTAGACCATAGACAATAGAAAGGAGCGGAAAAACTGAGAGCTCACTCTACTACGCTCTATGGGCGGGAATCTGGAGCTGAATAACAAAATGAAAATACATAAATTGACCGCATCGCTAAATAGCCTGCATGGGCAGGATTCAAAGAACTTGAAAAAGTAAGGACTTATAGTCCAGCAAGTACTGTATAATGAGGGATCACTGTATTTGAAAACTTGTTTTGTAGTTTAGTTGTAGTAGTTTCTTCTGTACGATCCTTTTAAAGTCAAAGAACAAAAAAATCTTAGATTTAATTGTAAGAACCTTGTATTTTGCAAAAGCCTTCAAAAGTTATAAAGTCTTATCTCTATTGCTCCCATTGTCTCATCCTTTTAAAGCATTATACAACTTTTCTCATGGAGACTTGTGGAGACTCAATTGACACTTGTTTCTTTGCACCACAGTATGATACAAAATTATGTAATTATTACAGATGTTTTTAGTAGTAGTAGTAGTAGTAAGTAAGTTTTTATTTATATACCGCCTTTTCACTGCAGATCTGAGTCTCAAAGCGGTTTACAATTGTTAATTATGGGCATTTGTCTCTCACTCCACACAGAGATGGGAGCGGGGTCGCCAGTACAGGAGGCGCATGCCAGAACTATTGAACATATTTTTAGTGGTAGGGGAAACCGGAGTACCCGGAGGAAACCTACGCAGACACGGGGAGAACATGCAAACTCCACTCAGAAAGGCCCTGGTCTGACCGGGATTCGAACCCAGGACCTTCTTGCTGAGAGGCGAGAGTGCTATCCACTCAGCCACCGTGCCGCCCAATGTTACTGCTCAAAAACATTGGATCCACACACCGTTTCGCAGATATAGCTTGTAACTTTGCCACTTACTGTTTCAGCCAAAAAACATTTGGATGGACCCTACAGGCCCTACACAGTTTTACATTATGACTCACATTAACAGCTTACAACAATAATAATAGTAATAATAGTATTTTGTATTGTTTTGTGCATAAGACTGACCTGATTTACCACATATTGCTTCATAGACCATTCTCTGGCTGTTGGATATGGGGCCAGCAGTTGAAGTCTCTCCAGAGGATTGTCTGAGGAAGACATGAAAGAGAAATGTGACTGACAATTGAACAATGTTATGTTTTAAGTATTTCAACATCGATGAAACACAACCATTACCACAAATAGGGAGGATTTACCAGCATTTAGGCCAGACAGTCTGTTCACCCTCTGTCTCTCTTCAGTTACTGTGGCAAGTAGGGGACAAATTCCTGCTTGTTCCGGGTAATGTGATTTTCGCATTTGCCAGATAATTATGATGTAGTTTGCAAAATGAAAAGGTACTGGCCAATGATTCTGATTGTGCGGTGAATGCGCATTAGATCTGTGGTTGTGTCTGTATACTGAGGAGTACAGTGTTGTGGAGATTACAGAATGGATATTACCCCACCTTTCCACATTATCAAACAACCAACACACTGTTTTCAAGGAATAAATCATTAAAAGCAGCAGTGAAGCATAGAGCAGGAGCAGACGTGCCTGTAACATTATACATTAAATCTGTTAAGCATTTTTAGGGGGAACAATAAATAAAGCTTAGCTGGCATTAACCTCTGGCCCTATAACAGGAGCTTGCCAGAGGCGCATTAACAGGGTAATGAGGGTACACACTGCCTCCTTGTAAGGGGCTGCACAGTTGTTCTTTCATACCATTACACAAGCACAAATAGAGCTGGCCCACTTCTAGCGTGGCTTACCTTGACAGCAAGCAACCCTTTTCACATTGAGGGAGTGAAAAATGTACTCCCCCCAGTTCTTCTCATCACTTTTTTTGACATTGCTCTTTTACTCTGTCAGCTGAAGGCAGCACTTGGGCTGCAGCAGCCGGATCTGAGCTTGCACTGTGTACAGATAATATACTACCCAGCTGAACATTTCACACGGCTTGCAGAAATCTAGGCAAGCGTTGCGGATGTTCCGCCCTGCTCTGCACTGCAGGTAGCCCGCAGTGCCTGAGTGCGACTGACCAAAGAGTATAAAGTTGAACTATAAACATACATTTGGCAGCTCTTGTGTGTATACAGTGTCCTGTGAAAATAACTACTGTTGTGGCTGATTAATAGGGAGTGAAAGCTGCACTGAGGTTGACATTAACGGTGCTGCTGTAATTGTCACCCTATTAGTAATGCCACACGACAAGCCGCGTTTCCGGAGTGGCAGCTGCCACCAGCCAAACCTTGCAAACAAAATACCAAACAGGCTCATTTATTTGAGTTACAAATTACCAGGCCTCCTGCTGGGACTCTGAGGAGCACAGGGACTGGCCTCCTGCTGGGACTCTGAGGAGCACAGGAACTGGCCTCCTGCTGGTTCCCAGAGTCAGGACTAAACATGGAAAGACAGTGTTTCAGATCAGTCTTCTTAAATAACTTACTTTGAGTTGCTTTGTGTATGAACTTTCCTATACAAACACACTTTGCATCACTTTCAAGGTTCATAACTATTATGTGATTATTATTATTATAACTTATAACACAAGCAAAACATTTCATCATCATTATGAGAAGCAAACATGTTTTCTGTGTGCTGAGATCACCACCCTATCGTGACGCAACAAGTATCTTTTCATGTGCAATAAGGGGAGACATCTGCTCTGCCTATGATTGGTCCTGCTCATAAAGAAGCCTGACCAATGGGAGGAATACCCTGCTTTATAAAAACAATAAAACATAAAAGCATCATCAAAGGGTGAAGTCACAATAGCAATATTGTGACTCCTACTGCTGAACTCAGCAAACCCTTCTTCAAAAGCAAATAAAAGTGCTACATATTACCTTGACATCACTAGATAAAGAGGCAATTACATTTATATAATCCATCAATAATCTATTTAGACAGCAAAAATCGTGTTTCACAAGAGCAATTTAAAAACACAGATCAAAATGCATAAACACAATAAAGAAAAAAGGAAGGAAATATGCAAAAATTGTATATGAAAACAGAGCAGAATAAAAGTGTTGGGCTCTTGTTAAAATGTGTGTTGTTAAAAGAGATATAAAAGCAATAAATAACTCACAATAGTATGCGTTGAAGATGACATTCATCAGCCAAAACCTGATGCATTTGAGCTATGCTTCAAAAACACAAGTATTGAGTTACATTCAAAAGGAGAGCTGGAAATGGAAAGGAAGAAGTGTATTATCCCACCATTCTCTGCGAACAATCATCTGCTCTCTCCCTGGCCATAGTTTATATTTCTCTGTCATTTGCTCTTCCCATTCTCTTTATTCTTTCGTTTCATTGTTTCCATCCGTGCATTTTTAGTTGGAGGAGCTTCCGTTTTTCCCACACTCTCCCCTGTCACACTGGTGGACCACAAAAATGCGGGACAGAGCGGAGTGTGAGGGGGCTCTGGAATTCCACATGCAGTAGGTAAACAGTCGAGCTGCCAGGAAGACACACACGCGGAGCAAACAGGGCACCTACACGGCAGCCCTCGCCTCCTCTGCAACCCCACGCTACCAAGAGAAGGCCGTCCATGTAAGCGTACTACTATTCTCTGCGACACTGGAATGAATGAATGAATGAAATAACCCAGTGTGATTAGCTAGCTGACAAGATAGCATCCTCCCAGCCGCCTCCAAGAAAGTGTGAAGATTGCGGCAAGGTTTCAAACAAACAATCACTCCTGATCACAAAGCTTGCGTTGTGTAATTTGGCCAGATGTGGCAGTAATAGAGTCAAAAAGTAAATGAGAGGAAAAAGCCTGTATTTTATTCTCCCTCTCCTCAGCTTATCTCCAAACCAAACACGATTGAAATGGAGCTCGAAGGCCGGGTCCCTGCAATGAACCGTGTAGTGTTTATGGTTCAGGCAGAAATCAGGCCTGTGATGGGGCTGTTTATTGCTCAGACAGATCGAAGTTGCCAGAGCTCCACGAGACACGTAATCTGACGCTCATTAGCGCGACCTTAGTTCCTACTCTCGAACAAGACAATTACTGCTGTGTGAGGATGAAGTCACCTAATGAGGCTGCATAGAGCACTCTTCCTCAAACGTGGAATATACAGTATATAGGCCTGAAGTTACCAATGCCAACCACAAGGGGGAGATCAACACAGCTTTTATTTGTATGACCTAAGATTGGGATCGGCTGCGTTTGTTAGTTCGTGCCATAGACTGTACAAGGATGGACAATGCTAACCCGCTAACTCAAAGAAGCCCAAAAGGGAAGTGCTTGAGGACAATGTTTTGCTTGAACTGATGGGTGAGTTGATACCAAGAGGCGAAACTCTGTTGCCGTTTTGACAACAGTTGCTAGATGGTGCTGCTGTCACGCTTTCGCTTTTTGGGACTGAACCAGAGACGGTTCATCGCATTTCACAGATTTGCAAAAGATCCAGAGAGGTATGGGGACATGGGGAGAACATGCAAACTCAGAGGCCCTGTTCTGACTGGGCTTTGACACAGGACCTTCTTGCTGAAAAGCAAGAGTGCAACTCAGGTCTTGTTCATACGAAGGCGTTGCGACATTTAAACGTTAGAGGTGGGTGTCGGTTTGGCCTTCCGTTTACATTAAGATGCTGTTTCAGGGGGGTGAAAAGACATGAGGTTCACGTGTCTCATTTTGTAAAGTTCTACTGCCCCCTACTGGCTGGGAGCCAGAACTACATTGTTTTGTGTTACGCTGCAGCAGCCTGGTCGTTTTTGTTGCGCAGCGCCTTCGTACAAACGGGTCTGAGTCACTATGTCGCCGCAGATGGCGGAGATCTGCACTGTACGAGTGCTTTTCTAGTTTTTTACGTCTTTTCCCATTCTTTTTAAAGACTGGCTAAACAAATGGATATTTTCACACCAGATAACCTTCCTATCATGTCTAGATTAAATTGTCACTGGAGTGGGCAACAATTGTGGAATGGGCCGGGTGTTCTCACACTGACTGGAAGGCAGCAAGGCCAAAACCTCATTCCATTGTAATATTAACAATCCCAACATTACTTCAGAAAGGATCGGGACTAATTTAGTAAGCTGCTGCTGTAGTGGTTTATGTTTTCCTGACCACAACTATTTGCCAAAATGTGTCAACCTTCTCCTGTTTCACTCCTGTTTAATCATTTACTTCAGGACAGAAATATAGAAAATGTATTGTTTCTGATGATAATTGGCTAATAAATGCATGACTTGTGATTTTACTTCTACACTTACTTGGCGAGGCGCTTTGTGGTGGTTTTCCTGCCCAGCGCCTCTGGTCGGCCGCTGCTGGGAGGCTTGGGGATGTGGACAGGACTTGCATTCGTCTGGAGGCTCATAGCACTGGGGTTGGAGAGAAGATGCAGATTGGCAGGAGGACAGCTGGAGGATTTGGTTGAGGTCTGGACACTTGACTGGTTTGAAGGCTGATCCTACAGAAGCAGAAGGAGAGAACTGTCACAATCTTGAATCTAAATGAGATCATTGAGGTTGGTTGCACATACTGGACCTCATTTGGCAACAGAAATAACATGCTCAAAAGTGAGTAAGAATAAGCTCAGGAATGGTTTGGCCAGATAATCACAAGAATGTATTAAGAGTAGACATTAATGAAATACCATCTGGTATCAAAACAAGCTTAACATTTTTTACAGTTGGCGGGACTAAAAAGGAAATTCTTTAGATATTTGTTTGTTAGTATAAAAACTTTCCAGAGAACTGGCTAGAGGTAAATGGCATATTTTCTGACATAACATTATTATGTGCCACAGATCATTCTTCCTAGCAGAATGGCATGCACACATTCCTTCCTCATATCACATCTATGCTATTTTCTCTGCAGCTTTATACGGCTATCTAACAGGCTAATGGTTTTTCAGCCACATCGTCCGCTCGTCAAACGACTGGCATGGTGACAGGGAATAGCTGATGTAATTTCTGTGTTGATAAATGAGAAGCTGAGTTTCCAGGTTGAAAAGCCGATGGCCACAATTCAGATTTAGCGGGGGCCGGGAAGGGCACCTTTCTTTGGGTGCCAGGTGGCCAGCGTCCAAGCCTGTGGAGGAGCCGCACAGTCTGCAGCCAGTAACAGGAACGAGCACTGGAGCCCCCCTCGCTACATCAGGGCCCACACAATACATCCACTCACATCACACTCGGGGCGACACTTCCTCTGGGCCTGCACGCTTTGATATATACATGTATCACTTACATTTTATACTTCACCTTAAACCGACACAAAATGGAAATATATCACAGCTATTTATGGATGAACAGTTATTGTGAAAAATATGTGCTAGGCAAGGCAAGGCAAGTTTATTTGTATATAGCACAATTCAGAACAGAAGAAGATAGAAACAATACACAAGGCATTCATAATCATCATAAAGGCATCATAAATAATCACAGTACATTAAAAAGAGTGATCATAAAATCCCTCAGTTGTATGCACAGCTAAACAGAACTGTTTTTAACCTGAATTTGAACACTGTCAGAGAAGAAGCCTGTCTCACATCTTCAGGAAGATTATAGCTGCATAAATGCTGTTTCCCCATGTTTAGTTCTGACTCTAGGCACCAGCAGAGCCAGTCCCTGAGCTTCTCAGAGTCCAAGTTGGTTCATATGGGACTAACATGATGACAAGATAAACAGTATGACCACCACATGACTATTATTAGTTCACACAATTAGAGTTGTGGAGAAGTTTTACTACATGCAACAGTTTACAACCGAGGTCAGAGATGGACTCACACTAAAGACCTGTAGGTTGTGAGATGGCTGCACGGAACACGTTGCCAGAGCAGAAGTACGATGGTGGAAAATGAAAACTGGGAAGGGTTTTAGGGAGGCTTCTCAGAACTAATGGGCAGCTCTATTCTGAGTCACATATTTTGAGGGTTTTTCTTTTTTTAAAGAATTGTTTATTTTAGGTAATGCAAAAGGGAATATTCAATTCAATGTATTTTTGTATAGCCCTAAATCACAACAGTCTCGGAGGATTCAGAGATTCAAACAATTCGAACACAGGAAATACAACACATAGGAGGAGCAATTGGTTGATATTGGTCTCAGTTGAAAAAGAAAAAAAAATCACATAATCTCCTTTTTTTAAAGTCAATTCCTGTGTGTATTTCTAATCTTCTTCAGGAACCAAATGAGGAACCAAACCTCATCCGTCTGGCTTGTCAGGCGTGACTAAAAGATTCTTAGTAACAACTACCGACACATTCAGAGACCAAAAGACAGTTCGGCAGTAATGGGGGCTAATAGAGCACGGAACAAATAAAGGAAGGGACATGAGGACCGGACGCACTCACAAGAATTACAAATGAGCTGACTCAAGTCCAGCGACTGATGAAGTAGGCTAAAGGAATGAGCTTCCGGCGAGGACTGATAGTGTTTGCTGAAATTTAAAATTGTTTTACTTGTTTGTTTGACTTTTTTGCGGCATGAGCCAAAGCAAATCATTGTTTGTGACTCCCTGTTACTTACAATGACAATAAAAACTAGAAACCGTTGCAATGGCTGAAGCCATTGCGATTGACTGCGGAACAGATCTAATGTGGAATTTAGCTGAAAAATCCTTGAAATCCTTGAAACTGTTAAAATACTTTAAACATCTTTGAAACTCCTGAAGTATTTGAAGCTCCTGATATCCTTTAAACTGTTATCCTTTATACTGGTTTTCATGTAAAAACCCCTATTAAGTTGCATAATACTGGTTTACATGGAAAAATCCCTATTAAGTTGCATTATACTGGTTTACATGTAAAAAACCCTATTAAGTTGCATTATACTGGTTTACATGGAAAAATCCCTATTAAGTTGCATTATACTGGTTTACATGTAAAAAACCCTATTAAGTTGCATTATACTGGTTTACATGGAAAAATCCCTATTAAGTTGCATTATACTGGTTTACATGTAAAAATCCCTATTAAGTTGCATTATACTGGTTTACATGTAAAAACCCCTATTAAGTTCCATTATACTGGTTTACATGTAAAAACCCCTATTAAGTTGCATAATACTGGTTTACATGGAAAAATCCCCATTAAGTTGCATTATACTGGTTTACATGGAAAAATCCCTATTAAGTTGCATTATACTGGTTTACATGGAAAAATCCCTATTAAGTTGCATAATACTGGTTTACATGGAAAAATCCCCATTAAGTTGCATTATACTGGTTTACATGGAAAAATCCCTATTAAGTTGCATTGTACTGGTTTACATGGAAAAAACCCTATTAAGTTGCATTATACTGGTTTACATGGAAAAAACCCTATTAAGTTGCATTATACTGGTTTACATGTAAAAACCCCTATTAAGTTGCATTATACTGGTTTACATGGAAAAAACCCCTATTAAGTTGCATTATACTGGTTTACATGAAAAAACCCTATTAAGTTGCATTATACTGGTTTACATGGAAAAATCCCTATTAAGTTGCATTATACTGGTTTACATGGAAAAATCCCTATTAGGTTGCATGATTACACTGAAGTCCTTGAAACTGCTGAAGTCCTTGAAACTGCTGAAGTCCTTGAAACTGCTGAAGTCCTTGAAACTGTTGAAGTCCTTGAAACTCTTGAAATCTTGAAACTGCTGAAATCCTTGAAACTGTTGAATCCTTGAAACTGTAGAAATGTCTGAAAGAGCTGAAGTCCTATTAAAATGCATGGGCCTATTAAAATGCATTGCAGAATTCTCAATGCAGATTTTTGTCCGATTGCGGAAAAACCGGAAATCGCTGAAGTCCCAAAAGTAATAGCAATAATCTCCCAAACATGTGGAACGTTTTGATGTATAACTTGTGGAAATTGTTGAAAATGTGAAAGCTGTGAAACGTGTCAAAAAAAATGACGGAATAAAGAAATACAAAACCAATGGTTGACTGCGGAAGGTTCCGCAGTCAATCAATAATTCTGATTCTGATAAGCAAGCTGGAGCCAAGTTTCTTCTATGGGCATTTATTCAGACGGACTGTAACAGGCCGGATGTGTTGCTAAGACGGTTGCTAAGGCAAGCTGGATTTCCCCAGCAAATGAAGGCATCGATCTAATCCATATAAATAAAGACTACTTACTTACTTACAAATTGGTCAATCATTCTGGCTTCAATCTGGATCTTCAAAGACAATATCACAATATAAACGCCAGAATAAAAAGGTTATGAGTGTAACACAAATAGTTACTTGGAGTTTGAGCAAAATTTCATCCATGAGCACTTCAGGCTTCATTGAGCAAGGGGGTTAGCATTGTCCATATACAGTCTATGGTTTAAAGCAGACTGTATCCTCCAGGAGAGCTGCTACTGAACAAAATGATGAGCTTTTCCTGTAGCCAGATGACAGAAATTCGAAATGTTGAAGTGAGCAAGGCCTTAAATCCTGTATTTTATTGCACAAGCAGCTTTAGTCTTGATTGCATTATTTCCCGTATTTTAATTCAATTTTGACTCATGCCTGACTTGAATTGTTGGGCTTCTTTTGCAGTCTCGCCTTACATGCACACACAACAATCTAGGCAGCATTTCAGATTTATGCAGCTAAAATCTGGAACAGTCTTAATGAAAATGTGAGACAGGCTTCTACTCTGGCAGTAAAAACAGTTCTGTTTAGCAGCGCATACGACTGAAGGATTTTATCTTTACTCTTTTTAATAATGTGAATTTTGTGATTTTAATTGTGTGATTTTATGTTTAGTGTTTTGGATATTTCTTGTGATCCTAATGTTTGTCCTTTAGCCCTTGGTGATTTTAATTGTATTATTCAATGTTTGTGTTTTTTTATGTTTATGTTTATGATTTATGCCTGATGCAATAAGGGTTGAAGCGCTTTGTGTAGGAAAGGCGCTCTACAACAAAAATTTGACTGATTGATTATCAGGGCTGGACTGGGACAAAAAAACGGCCCGGGCATTTTTTCCTTCTTACCGGCCCAGGCATGTTTTTGTCACGTTTGTTTATACCAGGGATTGGCAACTCAAAAGGTTCAAAGAGCCATATTTGACAAAAAAACTAAAAACATCTGTATGGAGCCGCAAAAAAATAACAGCCTTGTATAAAGCTTATATGAAGGTTACACAATGTAGCTACATTAGCTACATTAGCCTATTATCTAAATGACCAAGTAAAGGCTACAAATACATAATAAGCATTCATGATTATCAAATGTGTGTTTTCACTGCAGCGTGTTCTGGAGAGAATGACGCACCACGTGATGACTCTGCTTTAACTTTGACTTCCATTTTTTTGCCTTCATGCAACTGTAGAAATACAGTAAATAAATGTGCTTTTTGGCTCAAAGGTCACACACCTGCACTGTCCGCTCATATCGATTACGTCACAGGCTGAAGTTTGCTGGAGCTGAATGTCCTTAATGGCCTTCTCTTTCACAGTCTTTGCGGAGGTTTTTGAAGTCTGAAAAAGGTGCTCCGGATTTTGTATGAAAGAATCCTTCACGTAATCCCTGTGAACGGTATTTAGTGCTTCATTGTTCCTCGTGTTGCAACAAAACTTCCTATTACATCGCAAACATGAAGCAGTCCTTCCTCATTGACTGAAAGCAAATGTTCAGTCTTGTTCTTAGTCCAGTCTTATTATCGACTCGTTCTCTTTTTATCTTTGGGATCCGTGCGCACACGCCGGTTTGTTTACAGCAGCGGCCGCCTGCCGCGGGGCCGCGCCACAGGATATGACTCACTACGTTGACAGAAATGTTGAAATTGAATATTACTTATACACATTTTTGCAGCATTGAAATACGTTAGGAATCTTTTTCCTCCTACAGAAACCACATTCAAACTAGGAATAAAATATAGCCCTCCCACTCCATTTTCAGACATTTTTGAAAAGGCTCCAGGAGCCACTAGAGGAGCACTAAAGGTTGCCGACCCCTGGTTTATAAAGTATGTGGAAGCATACTGTAGAGGATCAGGATGTCTACAGTTTCAACAAGAAAATAAAATGCTATAGTCTACATTACAAGAGAGTAATAAACATGTCTCAGAGTGAGGGAGGTGGACACAGATAACACTATTGTTTGTTACAGGGATGAGAATTGGTCAAAAAAGACTGAAATGCATATTGTCAGCCATTAGCTGGCTCTAAATCTGTTCAATTTTTTCACAACATTTTACTTTTGGGCTCAAACATGAACTTTTAATGCAATGGAAAATTTAGGTACCTGAGCTTTAATTTAGTCGCGCTTCGAGAGGAGAGGGGAGACGCGGACTGTTTCCTGCAGCGGTGTATTTATTGGGTGCACAAATTACGCAAAGACACGCATGGTCCTGTGCACGTTTATGGTCTTGGGTACATGGCCACGTTGCGGCTACGCGCTCGCCGTGTTGTGTTGTGAGCGGCTCCCGGTGAGCGGCTCCCGGTGAGCGGCTCCCGGTGAGCGGTTCCCGCGTCCAGCTCAGAGCCGCTGGATGCGGGAACACTGCGGCCGCTGAGGTGGTGGAATCCCGTTCGAGTACGCGCGCCCCCTCGAACAGTTCTCAACGGATTTACACTTTTCACAAACATCTTTTTTGTATGAGGCAAACAGACCGGCCCAAATATGGGCATCGGCCCTTCTGGCATTGCCCGGTACGCCCGATGGCCAGTCCAGCCCTGTTGATTATAATGTATTAGTGCAAAAAAGGGACATTTTCAATAGATGTCTAATACATATTATTCAGCATATTTGTCCATGCTGATCAGTTTTTAGGAGTTGGAGACCCCTGGTTTGGAAAGTTGCTCTGGACTGGAGGAAGACGACCAGTCAATGCTGAAATTTAATCATGCCCTTTTTTTGTTTCTTTTTTAAACATGTCTTGGCTTTAGCTGTAGGAACTTAACTTTGGATCATATTTCAGAGCTCCCATGTAACACAATCATTCTACCATTGATCTAAATTGACATCAATGAAGTGCCCCCGAAGACGACATCAAACAAAGAAGCATATTAAACAAATAGCAGAGTTTAGAAGGACTCTCTCCGGATTCCAATTACATAGAATTGCCTTCGCACGGCTTCCAAAATCTCAGTGTAGAGCAGTGGACTGTTTTTCCACCCAACAATTCAAGTTGGAGCTCACGTGTCAGAAATGAACTACCCAGCTGTGGACGGCGTACGGATGAAAACTGACCTTTAGAAGCTCCTACAGCGCAGCAGACAGAAGCTTATGGGAAATTCCCCTGCACTGTGATAAAAATGAGGCGTTTAAGTCGTATTCAGGAGAATGAGAAGACCTGTAGTCGCTCAGCCGATCGATCGATACCACGTCAAGACCACCATTTGTAGTGTCCAACTAATTATTTCAGATTAGAATTATAATATGGAACAATAAGAATAAGAGGCTTTAGTGAGATAAGGATTCAGTCTTTGATGTAAATAAAAATAACATCTTAGTAACATAGACTTAAAGCTGGGGTAATTGCTTTTGTTGTTTTATAAATGATAGATAATAATAATAACAATAAATGTTATTTCTTGGGCGCCTTTCTAGATATTCAAAGTCTAGTCCGTAACACCTTAAATCACAAGTAAAAAGTACAGTTAAAGACAGTTAAAACGCGCAGTTAAAGTAGCAATATGTAAGATTTCCATGTCAAGTCATTAAATGGCCATAATTTATCAAAATGCATTAATAAACCATGGTCTTTTCAAATACTTCTTTAACTGATAACTGTAGGTTACTTGTATTATATATACAGTATGTGACTATAAAATTTAGTTTAACAGCCCCTAAAAATTTGTATTGTTTTCATTTTGATGTCCCGCCCTCCACCGTTTTATCAATCAGAAAGTCCGTGATCGGGTTTGCCAGAACTCACAGTGTCAAGCTAATCTCACTGGTAAAGTAACATGTGGCTGCAGAACTAAAAAAGTTCTTGTTATGACTCTCAAATAAAGAAAGCACAAAACAAGGTTGGTTATAGATTTGTTGTTGACAAAACTCTTGTCTATTTATTTATTATTATTATGGTCCCAGCTGGATTCGTCTTCAGATCTGGCCACTTGAGTTAGGGAGAGTGGTAGAGATTGCAGTTTCGATTTTTGGCCAGATTTTTACATACTGCTCCTTTAAGATCAGCATGAACAGCTCTAAATGTTATAATATACTGTCATTGTCCCAATAGAAAGTGTAAAAGTAAAGCATTGTTAACAAGTCACAACATGCTGGGTGGTGGCAATCTCGCTTCTCAGTAAGAAGGTCGAAACTCTGATTGGAGTTTGCGTCTTCTCCCTGTGTTTGCTAAGTTTTCCTCTGGGTGCTCCAGTTTTGCCTAACCACTAAAAATATGTTCAATGGATCAAATCCTCCAGCTCTGGTCCTGACCAAGCGAAGCATCCACACTTGGAGATCGGTCCCCGCTGTACTACGGCGACCACTGCTCCTGACAGAGGCCCTAGTGGCATTATAGGATGGGTCAATAGACAAACTTTAACTTATAAGAAAAGATTTAAATAAAGAATAAAGAAAATGCATGTAAAAACTAAGGGTGACAGTAGCTCAATTGGTAGAGCACTGGTCTTTGGGCTTATTGGTCGTGGGTTAGAGCCCACCATGACTCATGCCACATGCTTCCACTGATGTCTGCTGTCGTTGTGTCCCTGGGCAAGACACTTAACCCCACATTGCTTGAAGCCCCCGCTGAAAGACCAAGGCTATCTCGTCAATGACGGAGAAGCCATCTGGACCCACCACCTGCGGGAGGATCAGCGAGGGACTGGTGCTATGAGACTTGGGTGACAGCTCTGATTGCCACCCCCCTGACCCATAAATGGACTAATAAAGGGGCAGAATATGACATGACATGTAAAAACTTGGAAAGCTCCAAACCGCTTTTATTAGAGATAAATGTTTTATGGTTTAAAAATACTTTTACATAATGATCTAGTATTATTATTATGTTTGACTAATTGTTCTATGGAGACATATTTCCAACCTGCACAATCACCTTCTCACAGCACTAACACAAACACACAGCCTTCACCTGTGGCAGACAGTGGCTCTGCTGCAGCTGCTGGGACTGGAGTCTCTGTTGCTGCAGTTGCTGGATGGCGTACTGGAGCTGGTAGCTGCCCTGTGTGGGCCGGTAGTCTAGGAGCGGGTTTACCCCTGTCACCACGCTGTAGGCCTTATGGAACGGAGAGGCCCACACGTCCTCCGCATCCTTCAGGGGTCTGGGCCAAATGACAGACACAAAGGATGCACAGTGATTATTTAGGATTTTACTTAAGATAGTGTTATGCCGTTATGCAGTTGAACTGTAGAGTAGTAGAGTAGTGTGACCAGGGACAGACCAGCCTTGCTCTTGATTGGTTGCTAGGTTATTGCTCCATGCAAATTTGGCTCCATATTCCCGCTCATAGAGACTGTTTGAGTTCGGTAAGGCAAACACTTTGGTTGACGTCAGCACTCGGCCAATCAACTCTTTCTGCAGTCTCCATGGTAAAGCGGTGAGAATACTGTAAGTATTGTAAACATGTGTTTCAATAATTGTAATCTTAAGGGAAAAAGTTCAAATCAAGCACAGTGGATTTCAGCCCTGTGGCAAATAAAGGAAATATAACTCTCACCTCAATACCTCAAGAGAACTTCTTGACAAGGAAGTTAGTAATCGGATTAACATTAGAATTGAGCCAAGTGCTGACCCCCTCCTGCCTCCAGGATTTAACCAACACACAAGACAGAATCTTGACAAGATGTTGGTGCAGTGAGGTTATTTGAAATTCATTGGGTGAAAGAGACAGCTTTTATCACAGAACAGTGAGACTCCTGGAGTCTCACCCTGTTGAAGCACTTTAGATGCACTTTAACGTAATGTAAATACTAGCAATAGCAGCTTTGTACAGTCACGCATATGTATTCACCCGTGTTGTAAATATCATCATTGTATTGACAATAAAGCTGATCTAAATCTCGTCTAATCTAATATACATTTTAGCCCAACAGAAGTTGTATGCATAATAAGCCCTATAGGGACCCATATGTCATTGAGCGTTCTTACAAATAATTCCCATAATTTATCTACATCAGGATAAGAAAGCACTCCAGCCTTCACAATGGACTTTTTTTTTTAGACGCACAGCCAGATAAGGTTTAAAATTAGCATTCAATTAATGTTGGAAACAATACACCATGTAGAATACTGTGAGAAAAATACAGCATTGAGACAAAGGCAAGGGGGGGGGCTGCAATTCCTATAGTCCATTCATTTACTCAGAGCCTAAGATTACAAATATAGCGGAAAACAAAACAAAAGTAGTACCAATGTGACACCGAGAGACAAAACAAGTACAGACTGTTTACTGCATGCGTTTCCTTGAACTTGGCTACAGTCCTCACCCCGCAGAGCCCTACGGTGCTACTATTTTATTTGCGTTTGTTGGAAAGCTGACTGCATTTCAGGTCATGCAGCAACAATGACTCTATGGGGAGGAAAGCTAGAACACAAATAACATTATTGATAACCGTGAGTCAAGATCCAGGATGGCTTCCAGCACAGTAAAACAGAAGGCACAGTCAGGCGTTTTACATCTGACTTTCTCATTACGCGCGTGTGTGATGGATACTGGACGTTCATAGACTTTATAGGGGCCAGCTCAAACCCCTGCTGAGTTGAAAATGGCTGATATAACTTACAATATTGTGCTATGGCAGCGTGAGTTCAACACATGTGCAGCATCAATCAAGCTCAAGTTGAATGTGGGAAAATGGATGGTGAGGAGTGACATCATCGCGGAGTATCTCGTCAGGGTATTTCCAGCCATTACTCACTGTTTGTTTACAATGAGATGACACCAGCGTGACACGAGCATGATGCCTTTTCACACCCATACACGAAATATGACAGGCCATGTTGGATTGCAGCAGGAATGATAATGCAGAAATAACAGAAATTCTTCCTAAAATAACTTAATTTCATTGAGATTAGTAAGAAATGGCTTCGGTGGGAAAGAAATATTTGTAAAAAACAAAACAAAGTAGTGGCATGATACAGCTCCCTGGAGTTTGAAATGGATTCAAAATTAACGTCTCTTCATACTGCTATTGTTCAAGTTTTTTGCAGTAATGTACGGTACCTAGGCCATAACGTGTGTGTGCGTGAGCTAGTGTGTGTATGTGTGTGTGTGTTTGTGAGTGTCAAGGGTAATAACAATTCTGTTTAGCTGTGCATACAACAGAAGGATTGTATATTCACTATTTTTAATGCACTGTGATTATTTAGGATTTTAATGTTTATTAGAGGTAGCACGGACTAGAAGATTGGGTCATGATCATGAGGTTCAACAACACTCCACACACCACAGCACCCACACCCATGGAGTCTTAATTTAACATTTAACAATCTCTCTGTTTGTGTACTTTTCACCTTTGTCAACTACTGGCATTTGTATTCATGTTTAATTTTAATTTGTATTGTCTTGTCTTTGTTTTTTGTTGTGTTTTTTGTGTTCTTGTTGAATGTTGTTGTGTCTGTCTGTTTTGTTGTCTTTTCATTGTTGTTTTGTGTTGGGTTTATGAGTCGTGAAACACTTGTAAGAAAACCGCACTACAAATGAAGGTTGATTGATTGATGGTGTGTGTGTGTGCGTGTGTGAGCCTGTGTGTGTAAGTGTGTGTGTGTGTGTGTGTATGCGTGTGTGTGTGTGTGCGTGAGCCTGTGTGTGTGTGTGTGCATGAGCCTGTGTGTGTGTGTGTGTGCGCGCGTTTGTGTGTGTGCAGGTCAAAAAGGATGATGGGTCATGACGCCTACCACATGTTATCCAGTCAGCCCAAAAGGCAGGCAGGACTAGTTTTTACCAACATGGTCGTTTCAGTTATGATATATCAACAACACAACAACAACTTTTCCACGAGAATCCTATTGTAAGTCTAAGTTTAGAAATATCCTGCAATTGTGGAAAAAAGGAAACATAATAGATTAACAGATTCTGTCCTGAATCAAGAATTCTCAAGAATCTTTTTAAAACTCCTTCCCATTTTCACATCTGTCTATAATCAACAGGAATAAAAAAAAAATTCTAAAATAGGAGACACGTCAAACCAAATTTACATGACTCTGGGCCTCATCAAAGATATTCTCACAATGGTATTTTGAAACTGTGTCAGTACTAAAGAATCCTTGAGCAGAATGTGACCGCGTTGAATAACGTTGTATAAATCATCAAATGAAGATAAAAATACATTTAAAGCTCAGGCTGTGGGGGTGAGCACGGGGCACATGGGGAACTTAGTTATTCAAACTCGTGCTATAAATACACATTCATATCAGACTCTTGCACATAGTAATGTTTCACAGCATTAACTTTTATGATAGTCAGGAGTCACAGAGGCAAGCAGAGGCCTGGAGGTCACAGAGGCAGCAGCAGTGATCTCTGTGCTCTCTGTGTGCTCAGAGCTCTCTGTGATCTCTGGTCTCTCACTGTTCTGCTCTCTGTGCTCTCTGTGATTTATGCTCTCTGTGCTCTGTGCTCTCTGCTCTGCTCTCGGTGATCTCTGCTCTAAATGATCTCTGTTCTCTCTCTCTGCTCTATGATCTCTCCTCTCTCTGTGCCCTCTCTGCTCTCTCTGTGCTTGCTGTGATGTTTGTGCTTTCTGTGATCTTTGCTCTATGTGCTCTGTGATCTCTGTGATCTTCGTGATTTCTGTGATCTCTGTGATTTCTGTGATCTCTGTGATCTCTGTGCTCTCTGCTCTCTGTGCTGGGGCAGAGCAGTGGCCGGGTGCTGACGCAGCATACCTGCTGATGAGGCTTCAAAGAGCCGCGCTCCTCTTTGAAAATCATCACATTTCACCCTGTGGTCGCTTAAAGAGCCAACAGGCTTAACAGTTTCAGCATGTCTGGCACCCGCACTATCCCTTGCGCTAAAGAGAGACTCAGGAAGTGTTCTGAGAAGAAATATTGTAAAGAACAAATTAAAGTCTTTCATCACTTTCTTGTTTTCATTACACAAAGAGAATTTTATTAAGTCCAACAACTAGAAATTGCGGGATAATAATGGTGCAGCAGGTTGACATTTTCAACTCCTTAATACTGGCGTGTGAAAATGCAATAAAATGTTTTCCAAGCAGAAGACAAATATTTAAGTTTGATCACTTCTGAGCAAGAAATGCAGAGGAATCTATCCAAGTATTTGAGAAATAAGAATGAGAAAATGAACATATTTATCTGTACAAACTTTGTATAAAAAATGATGGACAGTTGTAAGCGTTTCTCCAATAATTGATATAAAAACAGTTTAGAAACAAAACGGCAGACATTCCTGGAATTCCCTCACACAAGAAACGGACGGACTGGAAAAACAAAGAGTGAGATCAGGGCCAGCGGTCTCATCAAACGTCAAATGCAAACGGGTGACACTGGAAAAGATGCTTAAGTTAACGAGAACAATGACACAACACTGGGACCACACATTTACGAGGGGAGTTCTAAAGCAAAATAAAAAATAACCAGAATGACAGCATGTCTCTCTGGGCTTATTCGAATCAGCATCAGCAATTTGACTGATCAGACTGGAATAAAACAAGTACCATGCAAATATCAAACGATTCTTGTTACAGATATGCTGCTGTACCTCTTGTTGGTGCTGACTTCTGGCCCGGAGTGGAGGGCCCTCGCGGGGGGTGGGCTTGGAGCTGCAGGGTCTGTCTGCCAGGCTTTGGGAGTTAACGTCAAGCTGCCTTTACTCAGAACGTTGCTGGTCAGGTTGATATTGCTCAGCTGGTGAAAGAAATAGTTGATTTAAACAAAATTGAAGAGGAATAACCTCAATAGCAGTTATGTTGGGGACATACATAAGGATTCTCAGCAAAGTTAAAGCTTGGGTACATAACTCCCCCCATATACAGTATACATTTTGTTTGTATTAAGTGAAATGTTGTGAACAAATAAGAGCAAAACATGCTATCTTCATCTTACCCAAAAGAAAAAAGTGAGGATGGCCTCCTGTTTTCACTTTTCTGTCTGAAAAAAGCTGATCTATAGATGTGATAGAGGCCAAACATACAGTACATGCATGTGAAAACTAGTGAAAAACCGTTTCTAAATCTTATTTTAGAGAATATATCGTATTGCATAGATTCCAATTGACATTCCCTTGTATCTAATCATACATGGAGGCTCTGAAAGACTCCCAACCCTGTTAGCTTGAACTTTGGCCTAAAACTCACTTCAATTCAGTGTGTTTTGGTATCGCCCTATATCCCAACAACAGTCGTCTCGGTGGAGTTTACAAAGTTGTTGATTCCTGAACAACAAAAAGAATTTCACCTGGGAGCAGTCATGGTCGATGTTAAAGCAACAGCAAGCCAAAGCAACTTTCAGGAGGTGGAAAATCAAAGGTATTATTTATGAGTAAGGTTAATACTATGTGTGTCTGTTCTACTGTTGTGTTGTTTGTGATGCAGCTGTCAGCACTTTGCCTGGGACAAATTGGAACAATTAAACTCAAAATATTTAGAAAACTAAAATTGGAATATGTTGAAAAAAAAAAAAAAAAAACAATATTACTAAATTAAAGTATTGCTAAGATAAAAATGAATTCTATTTTCAGGTTAAAAGTTACATACAGGGGCTTAAATCAATCACAGCATAATATTTGTGAAATACAATGGCAACAAACGTGTGAGGAATGCAGACAAGAACATTTGAAGTTGTAGTAAGTGCTATTTCATTCCTATTCCACGAAGGGCCGTAAAGTCAATCCCTGCATGTACCATTAATCTTGCCTTGTATTAGACAGGTTTGTGGAATGTACACAAAGAACATGGCACAGCTAGCCTCTGCTTACTCAGCATTAAACCAGGGACCACCAATCCGCCTACACTGCTAACATGGCTCTGTTTACAAGTTCACCGCCCGGAACCATTCTTTCTGACACGACAATCAAGCTGCTAATGCGTGAATGTAGGTTTTAATAATTAATGAGAGTTATGAGAGCTTTCCTGCAGCACTCAAATCAAATCTTACGACACGATGGCAAGGCAACACTGTAAAAAGTGATGGAAAATAAGTCAAAAATTGCTCAAGTTTTGAAAATTATCTTAACTTTTAAACTGCTTTTAAAAAGACACAAGAAATGTCTCCCTTGGAATGAGAAAATAAAGACTAAATGGCTTTGTCCCATTGCAAATCTTGTTTTAAGATAAAAACCACTCGATTTAAGCAAATATTACCTCATATTTTATCACTTTTTGCAGCTAGAAGATATTTTATTTACTGCAGCGTAGGTGGTACTGTCAGACATTATTCAAGAGCACTTTCTGTTTTTGTATATGTTAGCTAGCATGAGAGTGAGTAATTACCCAAACTGTACAGGTCATCCAGAGAAACAGGGGGCTGTGTATGTTTACAGCGCTCTCCGTTTAGTCCACAAAGTGATTTAATGACTGCTAATCCGCGCGTTTGGAAAAAAAAACCCAAATGTACTTTTGAGAGCAAACACTGAAGTGTTTCATTCTGCTGCAATTAGAAATACACTTTGGAGCCGTTGCGATAGACAGGATAATGTACAGGCAAAGGGAAGCTATAAAAGAGGCATTCTGTGTGGTCCTGTGCCATCACAAAAAACAACACACAACGTCAGGCAGAGCAAGACCAGAGAGGAGAGAGGTTAGAGAAGGCTCCCTGCAGCGTGTGAAAAACCCTTGGGCTTTGGAGGAAAAAGTAGTAATGTAGCCCACGTACTGCCACTCCCAGACGCGGTGTAATCATTTGCCACATTCCACTATTTATAAGCATCAATTACCACTCAAAAAGTAAGGGCTTGTAAAGAGCTAACCAAACCACCCCCCCATGGAGAATCTCCTGATGAGCCCGCACAGGGAGTGGATCTGCTCATCTCTCAGACAGGTTCAGGACCAGGTCTGCTTTCAGAACACTGAACTTGTCAAATAAATACAAAGATTTATATATATATGGCTCAGTTGGTCCTTGGGCAAGACACTTAACCCCACTTTGCCTGAAGCTCCCGCTGGAAGATCAAGGCTCCAGTGGACTTACCATCTGCAGGAAGATCAGTGAGGGGCTAGTGCGATGTGTACTGGGTGCAGCTCTGACTGCCACCCCCCCTACCCAGAAATGGATTAAGGGGAAGAAAATGGATGGATGGATGGATGGATGGAGGGCAGAGCATTAGATAAGAGCAAAAAGCCATTATCTTTTCCTGAATCGTATCTTTTAGAATATATTGTATCACATTGAATTAAATTGACTAAAACTCAATTCAATGTATATTTGGATAGCCCTAAATAACAACAGCAAAGTTGTTGATTCCTCAACGACAGAAGGAAAATAAATATTCCACATATATATTGTTCTAAGCCAGCATTTCACCTGTGTTTGACTTTTGTGTAGTTTCTGTTTTTGTTTTGGCTCCAGCTAGATTATGTTCAAATCAGCCACTTCGACATCGGCAAAAAGTATTGGCAAAAAGTATTAGTCCACTCCTAATATTCGGTCTATGTCTTTAACCAAATACAAGCAAAAAACAGTTTTTGCTTGTATTTCCCAAGTACCTGCTGTAATCTGCTGCTGCGCTGATAGCTGAAAAAAGTACACATAAAGCATGAAGGCACACAGACCTTCTGGCTCCAACATATCTGTTGAATGAATGCACAACTAAACACCGCCAATCAGCACAGGTCAAAGCCAGGTTTTGCACCGACAAAGACTCAGGGAGTTATCAGACCTCACAGAGAGACTGCACAGGGGCCAGGTCCACGCTCTAACAGCCTCACACAGATCACTTTACAGTTGCTCATAAGCATAACTTCCTGAGCCAGGTGGGAGTTTGGGAGGAGCAGTGGACTCACGTGTTGTGTCAGCAGGTTGATGTGGTTGGAGCTGGCGTACTGACACACCACCTGCTTGTCGGCCAGTCTCTGCAGCGCAGCGATGAAGGCCTGCTGGTTGGACTGGGCCTGGGCTGAGAGGGCGTTCAGATCCTTAAAAGTGCTCACAGAGTTTGTCTTCAGCTTGTTGGAACTGCTCCGCCACGTCGCTGATGAAAAGAACAGAGCAGTTGGGGTTTTGTCATATGGGAATCAAATGCAGGTAGAGCATGTGTGAGTGTGTATGTGCATTTGTGTGGATTAGGCAAGTTTATTTTATTAACATTTCTGGACAGTGGTCATCCCGCTCCCTCCTATGTGTTTGTTCTCTGATCTGTTGTTGGTTAAATAGTTAATTATATTTGGTATCTGCACAGTAACACCATCATTAGTAACGAGTTGTGTCCGCTGCACTGACAGTAATTAGAGATTTATACCTATGGTTGCCATATTGACAGAAATGGGAGAGAGGTGTAGGATCGCCAGAGGTGTAGGATCGCCGAGTGTTTGGGCCCGTGTTTTGTTCCTAAATGTCTGTATAATTGTGTTGAACAGGTTTTAATACAAATATATTTTTGTGAAACTGCACTTTATTGCATTGTTCGGACTTTGTAATGACAATTAAGTTGAATCTAATAAAATTGAATCTAATCAGATCTTGACTGATAGATATGAGATTTGTGTTACTATGTCTAGAGTCTTACTGTGGCCCGCGGAGGTAGGTCTGGAGAGCTTCTGGCTGTAGATGTGAGTGGCACTGGGGATGGCGGGCTTTGGAGGGGTGAACGAGACCACCCTCCTGTGCCCCTGAGCCTGAGATGACGGTCTTGCACGAGAAGTAGCCGTGTTAGGACCAGCCGTTCTAACTCGTGGCTGCGTGAGTGCTGGCGTGGAGGAGTATTCCGGAGGGTGGGTGTCCGCTTGGCAGAACTTGAACCTGGACAGCGACTGGGAGTAAGATGGAGGCTGCTGGGGTGGAGGGGGAGGCGGGCAGTGCAGAGGCATAGATGGGTGGGTGTAGGTATAGTCTAAGCTCGCGGGAAAGTTGGAGCAGTGCTGGGAAGCCTGGACGTCTGGCTGAGTCTGACTCCCACTTTTGGCTGCCGCGCGTTGATCTGAAAGCTGATTTTCAGAAACCTTGCTGTCTGGGTCACCGCTGACTTTTCCTGTGGAGAGCGAGGACTCTGAGGTGCTGGAATCGTCTTTGGCCAAAAGCTGAACTATTAAAAAGGGAAAATAAAACGTCTTTATCATCACTTTGCCATCCCTCCTACTCCAACACTCTTGTTTCCCCCAGAGAGTGCGAATTGTTTGTAATCTGAGCTTTTCTTTTCCATTTATACCAGCAATTTTGAAGCTTACGATCTAAAAATGTTCTCAAATTATACGCACACACACACAAAAAGAAAAGAAAAACCAAGACTTACTATTAGAATCTCCACAGCTGCCTGGCTCTCCTAAAGCAATGTCTGTAGGCACTTTGTTTAAGCTGCAGAGTTTTGATCCAAGGAAGAGGGTTGCAGATTTATTTTTTTGCGTGTAGTATGTCAACACCTCCTCCAGATCACTTTCACTATTGGGGATAATAATACAAATTTACATTTATGCATCGGCTTGAGATCTGAATCATTTGCAGTTTAGAAGCTGAGAAAGCAATGATGGTAAAATGTGCGTTTACAAACCTTGCTACACTAAGATACTCCTGAAATACAATGTGGTCGACACAGCGCTTTTCTGTCCTTTCTTGTTTTGCTCCCATATAATCAGTTTCCTGCAAAGAAAAGCATACAGGACATTAGAGTTAGGACTATTCATCTTTTACAAATGTATCAACAATATCAACAATAACAATTCATATTATTGTGGAAAATAAAAGACAAACCGGTGCAAATCTTGGACTGGGCTACTAGCAACCAGGTAGAACCAGATAGTTTTTTGTACAATTTTGAAATAAATAAATGATTAAAAAGATTAAAAAATTGGTTATATTTTTTAGGTTATTTTTATTTAAAGAAATAAAATAACAAAAATGTACTAGAATCAAGAATTGCCAATGAGACACATAAGAAAATGACAATATTTTTCTCCAGTCTTTCTCCATTTTATTGGAATTAATTCTGGGTGCCATGTGTTTGCTTGTATGTTTTAACTGGTGCTAGTTCTGTCTTATCATTAATTTAAAATGATGCCAACCAGTTTTTACTGCTGCAAAACAAATAAAGCCATACAAACCTGAACTTTAAACTAATTCTCACTTAAAAGTAGAAAATGCTATAAAACTTGAAATAAGAAATGCTTTGCTTGTCCCATTGGCAAATCTTGTTTATTCAAAATGTACTTAGCCTAATATAAAGTAAGTCTGCGAACAGGCACCTTGTCGTAATGGTGAATGAATTCCCCAAGCTGCTGGGACAGGATACGTCTGCGGTCCTGAAGTGGGAGCTGGAAACTGGGCAAACTGACCTTCATGTCCTGCTGAAGGTTACCGGCAGCTCTCTTTAGAAATCGCATCACCAGATCCTGCATAGACATCAGCACACATGGGTTGGCATCTCTCTCATACATGTTTTTTAGCTACAGTATTATCGAACACAATTTGACCGCATTTTAAGGATATCCCCAACCAGAAAATATGGCACCATTGTATCCCTATTCACCAAAACCACATTATTCTGCTGTGGTTTTTGCACATTTCACACATAGCTAAGGTACAGATGAGTAACCAAATAATAAGGGAACAACTGGCATAGGGGCATACAAAGGACACTTTTTCCAGCACTTTTTACCTCATGTCAGTTATACAACAAAAACATATTTTAAAATGGTTACAGTAATATTGTACCATTTGGTCATTGTCCTTGTCTGGCCAAGCTGGAATGGTGTTGGCTCTGCTCTCAGCCAAAAGTCTTTGCTGGACTCGATTTAGGTAGGAAGAAAAAGCCAGTCGGGCTTGCACTTTACTGTTAGGATAAGGAATAAGAAAGAGAATATGATTAAAGCACAGATGTGCAAGTTAAACACGCTCTAGACAAATAAAGGTATACATTCATCTTTGGTGGTTTGTAGAGAAGTGGCAATAAAGAATGCTGTGCAGCTTTGAAAGGTGCAGATGTTACCAGAGTTCAACTCCATTCCATCAGGTGCTGGTGCACCCATAAACACTTGGCTTTAAGACTGTATCTTGTCCTCCACACGTCTTAAAATGATGAAGTGTCATTGTGGCATGTGTGCTAAACTTAACAACAATGTTTACAGTTGATGTTTTTGAAGAAATATCAATCAGTTTAATATAATAGTTTTATATTATATTATTACATTAGCTGTATGTTTTGTAGTGTATTGTACCATCAAAGTGAAGTGTAGAAGTGTAAAGAATGAAGTGTTGGCAGTGTGAGAGCCCGCCCAGAGCGCACAGACCTCAGGTCAAAGCCCAGCTGAAGGATGTGAAGCAGGTTGACTCTGGGCCTGTTGTCCAGCGCTGATGTCTCTGAACTGGACTCAACTCGACTGTGGAGAGCGTCCAATGGCAACGCTGTGACCACCTGACCCCTGCAGCCTCCCACCATGTGTGCACTTGGCTCACACTGCCCATTCACCTCGTCTCCCTTGCGACTGCTGCCTTCAGTTGGAAAAGCCTTGGATTCCTTCCCTGTGGAACGCAACACGTTGCAATAAAAGCTCTGTTGACTTACATTGAGAACACATGAGTAAAAACTGAGACATTAGTTGATGAATAATTAATTATAGTTGATAAATTATGTCACTCACAATTATTATTGGCTCACCTCAACATGACATTATGAAACAACAGTGTATTCACAAAAATGTTGAGTTAGACTAATAAAAATGGCAAAGGTTTCAAACCAGATTTCCTCTTGGCCGAGCCATGAGAGCGGCGATGCAGGTGTCTCTTACGAGCCTCCAGAGACTGAAGCTTCCTCTCGTACTGCTCCACATGAGCGCCACACAACACATGCACCTGCAGCTGCTCCGTCCTGAGACATAGCATCTATGTCAACACGTCGCTCACAAAACTACCAACATTCATGTATTGTGTTACCATTAGAAATGGCTAGGTTATTACAACTTTGATGACACTATTTTATAAACACAGCAGAAAACAATATACAGCATATGAAATAGAAACAGCACAGGAGACATATATTTGCCATTAAGGGGATCCTAGAGCGATAAACTCCACTCTCTTTCAAATAAGGAATAAAATAATAAATAAACTCCTGAGACTGTGGTTGTGTAAAATGCAACCCTAAACAGACTTCTCCTACTGTCAACAAGTCTAACACCACAAAGCCACACAGACGTTGGGTGCAAGCTGGAAAAGTTGACGGAGCAACATCTTCTCAGCCGTTCCTCTTACCTATCCAACAAAGACCCAGACAAACGCCACATCTGAACCCAACCGTTTCCGCAAACTGATTCGAGATTTATTTCCCAATCCTGCCCACACTGGAAACACTTACCTTCCATGGAAAAGTCTTTGTGCCACCATGGAGTTCAATGATGTCTTGGACTCTAGATACCCACTGACAAGGAAATTACAATGGCTATTCAGTTGTAAAGTCAGCATAAAAAGAAAGCTAGCAGTATGTGCATGTCATACCAATAGAGACCCCATGTTTCAGAAGTGGGGAAGATTCTAATGAAGCCGCCACGTCTGTCAAATTCCTCCTTTATTCTCCTCAGCACCTTAACCTGTGGGCCAGAACACACACACACACACATACACAGAATGTCAAATGACTTAAAATATAAGGAGAAACAAGTATAAGGGATATAAAATGTAACTCTCTATACTATACCACATGAAGTAAAAAAAAAAAAAAAGTCTAAATACTAAAAACATACACAGCCATGCTGTGCTGTGTGTATGTGTGTATGTGCATGTATCTTCCTGAATGGAAGAGATGGTAATTTCCCTTGAGAAATTCACAAAACATATTATTATGGGCAATACTTCCAATTCCAATGACATCACACTATTACAGAACTGATGTCGCTTTCATGTGATCTCGGAACCTTGGAAAAGTCGTTCAAGAGAAAGTCACAGAAACCTTCACTGTTGTGGTGTGAGAAATACAGGAGTAAATATGTTGTTCCTTATAATAAAAAGTGTTTGTCTCTGTTCATCCAATCACAATCTGACACGCGTCACAGTGAAGTGAGTTTCAGCCGAGTTGAGCAGCGTTCATCCCCGTTTTTCCGAGTGGAAAGACGGAGCTTTCGAGTTTCCAGATCATATGAACGCGCCATGCGTCAGGAGCTTATAAACAGAAGGGGCGGAGTTACAAGTTTATGCAAACTTCAGGTCTCTAACTGATGAGGAACATTGTTGTAACATGACTAAAAGCTTAAAAAATAGTGTATTTTGCATAATAGGTCTCCTTTACAGTTTTGTATTTCAGAATAAGAGCTCACCTCTTCAGCTGTAAGACACAGAGTGCTGTCTCCTTGGCCTTTTAAACCCTCTGATTCTGAGTTACTGGACAACAAATTCTGCTGCCGCTGCACCAGGAGAGAAGGCATCCATGTTATTCCATACACTCAATTTCCAACCCAAAAGCAAACCAACATTAAACATTACACTATATACCTTTACTGAACCAAAACAATGCTTGCAATTTATATCTTTTGTGGTCCCATGATTTTCAATTCTTGAGGTTTAACTAGTTAAGAAAACTACTACACCATTATTTCTTTCTAACATCTAAGCATTCAACTCAAATATTAATTGTAGTTTCATCAAAAACATATGGCCGATCAGTCAGCAACACTTAGCCTCTACCTTGTGTCCAGCTTTGGTTCAATCTAAACAAAACTGAATTCATTTTGTTCATAAATATCTACCAGAAAATAAATTCATGTTCAATAAAAGAAAGTAAAGTATTTGCTGGACTGTAAGCCTGTGAGCTCGGGAGCCTGTATAGTGATGTGGCCAATGTATTATAATATTGTTAGAGTGTCCCCTGTGGTGCGGAATGGATTTGGACACAGCTATATTACTGTTAATCTCCAGATTACACATTTCTTCTTCCTGTTTATGTGAACAGCAGAGAGAGACGAGGAAGTGCAGGGAATACACAAGACATGTTTTAATGTGAATGGAGCTGTTGTCTTGGTACAGTTATTTATGTTATTCTCAGGTAGATTAAAACATCTTGTCACTAAATCATGTTGTGTTCAGTTCAAACAGTCGTCTGGAGTTGAATCGTTTCACTCCATGAGCTGTCGGCGAAGAGTTAGATTACACATAACCCCTTGCGGTTTATATTCAAGAGCTAGTTGGAACTTTTTTTAGATTCTCTTCAAATTTGCTTGTACTGTTTTTATACAGGTGTGCTGAATAGTCCTGCAACAACTATATTTGGAAAACACGAACTCCATATCTTAAAGTACAAGATAACCACAGATGCAAAGGAGGAGCTTTAAAAAAGATTTTCCACAATAAAACCATTGAGACCCAAAATATTTTATATAATACAGATTAAATCAGTCTGTAACTAACCTGACTTTGATCCCCCTGGTCTAAAGCTATGACCAAATCAACTTTCAGAACAAGCTGGAAGATCCAGTCCATGAACACATCCTCTTGTCGCATTATTGCATAGTTATTCCCTGCGCACCTTTTCTGCCTGGTATTTTCAGACCCAGTACATTCATGAACTGTACCTAATGAACTTGCACCGGGACTGGCACCTAATGAACTTGCACCGGGACTGGCACCTAATGAACTTGCACCGGGACTGGCCTCCAACTGATGCTCAGAGTCAGGACTAAACATGGGGAGGTTGCAATTCAGTCTTCCTGTGAGACAGGCTTCTACTCTGACAATGTTCAAATCCAGGTTGAAATCACCTGTTTAGCTGTGCATACAACTGAAGGATTGTATCTGCACTCTTTTTAATATATTTGAGCAAAACCTGAGGAAATGTGAATTTGACAATTATTGTGAATACTTTGTCAACAAGTTTGTTTTGCTGGTTGTTGAAACGGCCGTATGCTTGGTGATTTTGTAATGAATTCATACGGGTTTCACTTCAGCAAAACACCCTTCAAGTCATTTGTTCATGCTTTTTGCTTTGTGCACTATTGTAGTCTAAGTGAAGAGACTGAAATAAATAAACACATTTTAATTTTTTATATTGCTTATTCTATATTACTTTTTAATACGTATTTTGTTCCTGTTTTGTTAAGCACTTTGAGTTGGCTTGAGTATGAACTATGCTACAGTATACAAAAAAAACTTGCCTTGCCTTAAACACGACCAACTTATTGACAGCTCTGGCATATAGGATGGAACTCAGACCAGACGGCAGGGCACAATCCCACGGGATCACATACAACATTTGTCATAGAAATAGCAGAGGATTACATTTAATTTGACTCCCGCAGCCAGGGGGGCAACCAGAGCCAAAAAATGACAATTCAAAATCCCTCATCTGTTCAGTTTAATCGCAGAGGAGAAAGGGTCTTCTTCACCTAGCCTACCCACTGATTAAAGACTATTTCTGACTATTGTTGTGGTGCATTGCAGTAGTTTGAAGTACTTGCTTAGAAAAGACTTTGCTAATGTAATGAAAGGCCAATTTAATATACCATCACAAATCGATATCAGGCGGCTGTCACTTTGAGAAATAGCAAAGCCACATAATGAAATTGGCGAAGTAAAAGCACTTTCTTACCATCAGACATCAGGGGATTGCAAAGGGACAGACAGAGAAGCAGTCAAATAAATGACTCAGAATAATGAGCTACTGCAGATTGCAAGGCAGCTTTCTGTGGTCTCTAACAGGCACAGTGAGACCGTTCCAAAACAACTAAATCATGAAAAAAACTCACCAGACAAGTGCATTACAATAATAGAAATAAATCATTTTTTTATAGTATGATTGCACATCAAATGGCACAAAAGAAACCAGCCACAGCCAAATACTTTATCCAATGTTTAACATTTTACCTTCATGTCACAACTGATCTACAACAGAAGGGTTAAAGTAGTAAAATTTAGATTGACTTAAAGCTGGGATACCTACATTTATAACCAAACATTCATCTAACTAGTTCCTTGCTCTCATAACAGTTTAGTTCAATCTACTAGTTTCCACAAGAATTTATTTTTGGCCTCTGTCACATCTTTAGAGCAGCTTTATACAGTAGGACAGAAAAGTGAAAAAGGGAAGGCCACCCTCACTCAGTCTGTCATATCTCAGCTGAAATGGTCAAATAGAGATTTAATTATGTATTAATTAATTAATTAATTATGTATGAAAAAGATATAATGTTTACAAATAACATGGTGGTGTGTTTGGTGTCTGTTATGTAATATTTAATGCTTGGTTGGAACTGGACTTTTCAGCATTTTAGAACCTACACCCATATTCCTTTTGTATAAATATCTCTGTTAATGAATAATATAACTAAATTTACCGGAAACAACAACAAATGCAAGCGTCTTTAGTTGTTATGTAACTTAAAAATACTCTTTCTGTTGGGGTAAATAAATGTATTTATGATAGCCCTATTTAGCTTTGAGAGGGATGAAGCAAGATTATTTCCAGAGAAGTTATTATCATGATTTGATTGTGATTGTAGGATGAGTGCAGCTCTTGGCGGCGGATGAAGATTACCTCTGCCCGAAGAGGAGGGTGCTTCTGGCTGGGATCCTGTGCGGCCCGCTCACTCCGCGGCAGTCTGGACAGGGGGTCCTGGCACACTAAGCCTGAAACAGCAGATTTGGGAAGGATCACATTATTCTTACTCTACTTACTCTAATGGGTTTTGTTACAAGAACAGTAATTGCAAAGTGGGCAACTATAAAAGGCATAGAACGGTCCAATCCATTTCAGTGGCCAAAATATTAGGGATGCATCGATACCGATACTGATATTGCGTATCATACTCGTACTGATGCCATAGGACCTGATCTAGGCAATACCCACATTTTTAATTTACATTAACGCCATGATAGCAGACAACTGTGAAACCTGTAGCAGCAGAGGATCCTGCATCAAACATAATATTTCAGGTGAATACATCTCACAGAATGACCACAGAACTGCACTGTGCTGAGAAAGGTCTGTATTAGGTGTAAACACAAAGACAGAGTCACACCGGAATGGAATCTATGACCATCTTACTGAGAGGTCTGAACACTACCTTTCTGTTTGAGTTGGCCTTTACCTGTGTCCCCTCTCCTCTTGTTGTCAGTCCATTCTATTCATCTCATCTGTTTTCCTTTTCCTAAGTTTGATATGATCTCATTTCTATCTATTGTACTGTTATTTGTTACATTAAACAAAGTTCTTTTGGGTCTTTTTTGGGTCTTTTCCAAATTCAATTTCATACCTACAAAAGTGACTTATGTACTCCACTTTCACTTCTTTTTATGTTGTTTATGTATGTTTATATAGGCGTGTGCTTGATATTCACACTAAGAAGGTCCTGGGTTCTGTTCCAACTCCAAGGTCTTTCTATATGGAGATCTCCTCGTCTCTCTGTACGCACAATCGGTCTGACAAGCACCTCATGTATAGCGACCACTCCAGGGTTCACTCTGTGTGGAGTGAGAGGGAAAATGCCCACAACAATTGTAAAAACCTTTGTGAAAGTCTGTGAAAGGTGCTATATATACTTAGTCACATTTCACCAGAGCTTTAAATCAACCTATGTGTGTATGAGGTCAGTACACAGCTCTTATGAAACTTTTGCAACATTGTAAATACAACTTGGAACACATGCTCGGTATTTTGTATCTCTCAAAGGAATGTGAAGCACGAACACCTGTGATCCTTCTCAGCAGATAAAGCTAAATGTTGTCATTCCAATAACATTTCTATCTCATTCAACCTGTGCTGAAAGTTAATGTCACTCGACTGTTTACGATACATCTCCGGATGGCTTTTGTCCATTGACAGCTTGGAGCTCCAGGCTATTTATACTTCCTCATCCAAGACGTCAGGTAAGCATCAGCCTTCTGCCGCGCTCTTGCCTAAACACGGCAATTATCAAAAACATGGGTGACACGGAGCCCGCAGCTACGCAGAACTCACGGGCGGAAAGTGAATGCAATCGGAATGCTGTCATTATTTACAGGTCTGGGATGGGACCCAAGTGTTATCTGCCAACAACCACTATGTTTGTTTGCTACATAATCGATGTGCAATGTTTTACATGAACTGCTTATTTTCTCTGAGGTCTGTTGTAACGTCTCCATCCAAAGAAAACTTGTGTTTCATTAATGATAGATTGATGAGCCAAGAACATTTAAAACCCGGTGAGCGTGGACATTATGTACTGATGCAAGCACACGTTGTACACATTCACAGTCAGGTCCATTGGCAGGGATTTCAGGGTTAAGTAGAAGATAGACTCTACCAGCAGTGAGGTCAAGTTTGTGCTTTTTGTGAAAATAGTACTTTCTTCATCATCTTCATGGACTTGAAAACATATATATTCCAACCCTGATGATTATGATGAAGTATGCGGTCATAGGACTGATCCATGACTGGTAGTTCTTCATTGTTGTTCTAGTAATAAAAGTTGGTCCTACTTTTTCATGTCCATTACCAAATAAAATACTTTTGTTTTCAATATCTACCAATACCCAATATGAATCAATACCAGGGAAGGAACTGAAAATATATATTTTTTCTGTCAATTGTTATATTTAACAGGTAATGTATCTTGAAGTAAGTGCAGAATATGTTATTATGAAATGTTTAATCTTTTTTTTTTGGCTGGGACAGTGTGTATTAAATACAGCATTGCAATAAATACACCAGATAATAAGCAGTGGCTAATTTCTATCCATTGTCCCACGGTTACCCGGAGGAAATCTATGCATACACGGTGAGAAAATGCAAACTCTACACATTAAGGCACCGTCTGGAGCTTGAACTGAACCCAGGACATTTGCGGTGGGAAACAGACGCAGCCAGTAAATGGTATTATTACATCAAATGAAAAATTCTGGATATCGACATACTGTATACTGGAGAATAGGATGGTCCTAGTGCAGACCATTTTTTTTAAAGATCCCTCCTCCATGTTGGAGTTGAGACACATTACTTTCTGCCCCAATCACTGTTGTGGAAACAGTGCTCATCGCTGAAGGCCTCACATATTTCACACTTTGAAATATTAACCATCAAAGTCAAACATAAACATTAAAAGGATTTCTGAGGGGAAACAATCATATGAATATTGTACTGTGGTAAAAAGTATTGCAGTATACTAACTATCAGCCAACACTCACCCACAAGTGAAAACATGTCTGCAATCATGCTGGCCTTTATCTTCAGATCCAGAGGCGCATCACTGGAAATACAATTATAAATCATCCCAGGACAAAGATACATTTATTTCTATTTGACACCTTTTGATAAAGACACAGCAATTTTGTGGCAAAATATTAAGTCAAAAAATTATATTTTTTCTTTCTGATACAATGGACAACTCTTAAATAAATTGGCATAGCCCAATTAAAAGTGTAAAAAAGGTAAGTTAAGTAGTGATTGACATTACTATTTAAGTACATCAGGGCAGGCAGGGGCACTCCCTCCAAAGACTCAAAACACTTGGAACACATGCTTGGTAAAAAAAAAATTAAAAAATCAGAACAAATCCCTTGCCCCTCTCGCGAAAGCCAAACCAGTCGAATAAGGGTCTTCAGGATCAAAAATCAAATAAGTTTGCCAAAAAAAAGAAAGGAATTTTTGTATAGGTTGTGGCTAATTAAGAGATAAATCAGGTGTTTATGTAAAGTTCTAACTGTAAATTTTATTGAATCATTTGACATTCTGTAAAAGAAAGAAAATGTCAAAAAGGGATAGGAAAAAAACGACTCTTTTTTTAAAGTAAAGACTACAATAAACTTACCATGCGAGTGAAGGGGAAAGGTTGACTTCCAATAACCAAGGTTTGAGTTTGGTATCGATGAGGACATCAAAGCCATACAGTTCTGAAAAAGAACAGAACAATCATGTCAATATTACATCTGATCTAAGTACGTGATACATAATAGCACGTCCAGGACCTTCTGGGTTCTTCATAATCAGACGCATGAGTTGGAATCCTTTACTCACATACAGGCCTTCGCTAACTTGTGCTACTGAGTGATCGGTCGCCTTGCATCATCTAACTACAAGCACATTTTGTCTTTCGTTAAGATGCTTGTGTAACACTGGAGATCACTGCACAATGGTCGGTTTGCAAGAGAATGTGATTTGTGTCATGGCTCTGAGGTCATGCGTTCAGACCCTTGTCTCTTCATCTTAGCATAAAATCAGTGATTTAATTTCAAACAGGCTAATAGTTTCACCACCGCAGAAAGCAACTGTGTAAGAACTGCTGCAACTCACAGACGAGTTACAGTATGAGTATGACAGACGTTAGGAGAGGTTCCGCAGGTCTTTCTTTCTTCTGCTGTCAGAATGTACATTGAACAATGAGGACTATACAACGAACAATGAGGACTATACAACGAACAATGAGGACTGGCAAACACTGCCGACCTGACCTCACATGTCCTGCATTTGTGCAATAATTGCAACTAATGTCAGAATGTGCACTAGAGCAACCACATGTATACACTGTCAATTTAGTTAGACACTTGCCCTCATGCTGCTAACCTGTACAGATGTATACAAACAAATGTATAATTCTTGCACTAGAATATACAGTATTTATTCTTGCTTCTAAATCATGCTAAAGTCTGAAATTTTAGATTTGCTTCCTTATTACGCTAAAGCTAGAGATTTCACCTCGCTCCCATCTCTGTGTGGAGTGAGAAGACAAATGCCCAAAAAAATAAAAAATTCAATAAATAACAATTGTAAACCGCTTTGTGACTCTGGTCTGTGAAAGGCGGTATATAAATAAAGATTACTTACTTACTTTATACTTGCTTCTTTATTATGCTAAAGTTAGATTATTTGTGTCAAATTTTGGTATAGAGTTATTGTTCCTTTATCTTGTGCTATATGCTCCTCATTCCTTCTGTACTGTCACCGGGGATGTAACATTGAAATGTCTCCAATGTGGGACGAATAAAGGATCTCTTCACCACAAAATCATTTTGGGTCAAAAACACAGAAATGCGTAATAGCAAGATTGCTCCTTGTTTGTCTAGTGGTTAGATAAAGCAGCAACACCCCAAGGTCTTATAGAAAGTTTTACTGGGACGTGGCAAAGCTGGCTACAGAGTCAGAGGGAAAATGCTCCAAAAGACACTTCAAAAGAACAGACTGTGTTGTGAATAGACTGGGGGGTGGGAGCTCCCAAAGCCGCCGTGACCAGCGCTGTTTGTACAGGCGTCACAGGTCAAAGCCACTTAAATACACAAGCACCAGTGTGACTTCAAGCCATGCCCTGCTGCTGCACTTGTTTCAATTGTGTTTAGAAGAAGATTGTAACGTCAGTAAAAGTGGTGGTAACTTTCTACGCAGTGTACATTATGCTTCATTCATAAAACCTGGTTTCTAAATGATGAACAGGTAAGAGTTTTTTAGAAGAAGCATAAATGTGAGCACTGTCAAACGAAAGACTTACTTTTTATCTTATTTTTACGCAATTCTTGGAAGCATGAGGTTCCGGTAATGCTGCTGTACGAGTCTAGGGGTCAGGCAAATTACTTAAAGAAAGGACAAATGCACTTATGGGATTGAAATGTATAAGAAATACTACTATAGTGCTACTATTTCTAAAAGCCATGATTTAATAAAGACTTGTAATCTTTCTGCGCCTCTATCCTTTCTTACATTTGATTAACTTTGGACTTTGGAACTGAGTGGGCAATGGGTGTGCAAAAATAAAATAACTTTTTAGATATATATTTCTTATTTAACATTAGATACAATAACAATGTTTTAATTGAATAAAATCAGAGAGATTACGACATTTTCAGATTTGAACAAATAAGATTTTTTTTTAGTTGGCTACGGTCCTTGTTTTACAGCCTGAGTGCTGGACCTATAGCCTGTCCGTTTGTAGGAGCTGATCCTTCTCTCAATATTGGCCTCCCTGAGATTTCTCGCTTTCCCACTGGGTTTTTGAGCTGTTCCTTGCAGATGCAGGAAGGTCTAACGCCAGTGATGATCCGGAGTGATGGGTATTTATGAACATTGACGGACATTGGTCATGCATCATCATGTGTTGGTTATTATTGCATTTCCTGAATTTGAACTGTTTGATTCTCTGATTTGTGTTGGCGAATTGACAACTTGGAAAAGTCCTTCAAGAAGACAGCCGTTGTGATTTAGGGCTATACAAAAATAAATTGAAGTGAATTGAGCAAATGCACAATCTTTCGAGACTAACATTGAGATTATAGAAGAGAGCAGAGCCAGAGCCAATGCATCTGTAACTACATCAATTTCCAGACGCACACATCCAGGAATAATCTTAAACAGTCCCATTCCCGTTCTATTATTACACAGCGCCACATCGAGACAGACAGAGACTAATTGAGAGCTAAAGAGACTTGTCACGACAATTTGGGTGACGTATAGAAGAGGCCTGGGGTAAATGTGTTGGGGCTTGGAGAAGCACCACAACAACAGGGGAAAAGTGGGAGGGGTCCGCCCCAGCAGCACGACAGACCCCGACAAAGCGACTCCATGTGCTCCTCATTTTGCTCCAATTAGGAGCAGAGCGACAGGCCAAACGTCACTACAAACGTTTGTTCTGCGGCTGGAGCGCTGTACCCGTGGTGAGGCCACAACAGGCATCGCAGACGGAGAGGATCACACCCTCGAGACGGGAGGGAGAGAGGAGGAGAAAAATGTGACATGATGAAGAGCATTTCTGGTGTTATTGGATGGGCGCTGCTGGAAACAGTACCACAAGAGACAGACAAACGCCCAAAAAACAATAATCCCCTCTTCTCTCTCTCCCTCTCTCTCCCACCCGTCACACGCGGCAATAATAGCAACGTATTTTTGACAATTGAATTACACTTGCATCATTCGTGAATAAGTTATTGCTCCTAAACTCTGGAGTGCAATTACAGGGAGCAAAGGGAGGCGGCCCTGGAGCCACAGTCATGAAAACACAGAGCACAACAAATTAAAATCACGGCCTGATGCTGTATTATCATAGCGGGGCTCCGGGACATTCATCATTCTTAAGCAGGCAGGGTGGCTGTCATCGTTGGGATGAGGAGAGAGCGAGAGTGGGAGAGCAGTTCACAGACAGGAGATTCAACCACACTCAGCACTTAATGAGTGCTGTGGAGTGGAACACAGGACTAGTAAGTGGAATGTTTTGTGTGTAATAAAATAGGCCTTTGGCTTGGCTAATCAGATCTCAGTCAAAACATCTCGTAATCAGCATCCCTCAGCAAAAAGTCTGTCCATTAATCACACGACAGCGGTGAGCAGCAGTATGGGTGGCATTTTCTCTCCTCACATAATGTTCAACAAAAAAATCCCGTTGTTATATTTCATACCACAGACGACAACTCTATAATAATATTATCATGCCTCGATGACCATCTGCATGAATCCTAGTTTGAAATGACTGTTCTATTAATATAACAGTGTACCTATTAAAGGCTGCTATGCATCATTGTGTCAGCAGAACAGCAAAGTGAAAGAAAGTTCAAGAGGAGGAGCACAAAAAGGCTGACAAGAGCTTTGAGAACATGTGCCTTGGTGGTTGTACTGGGGTTTCGGGAAGAAAAGCCATTGAGATGAGAGACTGGACCGTTCTGTCAGTCTAAAAGCTTTGCAGTGCCCCTACACGTCTCACAGGGAGGGGGAGCTTGTTCAAACGCAGTGGATGAGGGTGGTCCACTGCAACCGTCAGTGTCTGTCTTCTGAAATCTAATCCTGTAGAATCTCTGTGTAATTAGCACGCTTGGGGCAATCTCGGGGCAAAAAAAAAGACTTGGCATCTATGGTAAGCTACAATACCGTGGTATATTTTAGGTCTCGCACAAAGACATGTGCATGATTGTCTTTGTGCTATTCAATTTTGACAGCGGTACAGCACATACCAAGGGTTCTTTACTGACAACAGAAAACCTGGGATCTGCTTGTGAGGGACAGCTAAATAGAGGCATCTTCACTATACCAGCATATCTGCTACAATTACACCCTTGGTTGAGGTGTCTCTCAGTCAGCAGTGATGTTCAGGGTGCAGATAGCATCTCTATGCAGGCAACGGTCAGAGGGTGTGAGGTGATGCAGCTTCATGTCCAAATAAACAAAAGCAATCAGCTTACTATAATGTCTAACAACTGCTATGCGGCTTTTGTGTTTAAACATCTGAGAATGTCAAACATCAAGATAAATGATTAAGAAAACTCTGGATTTGGAAATGCACAAGCTAAAAATGTGCAAACGTTCCAAGACTGCCAGACAGAGAGAAAGAATCGGTGGAGACAATTAGTGCCAACATTAACATGGGGCTGTGAGGAAGACACAGCCAAGAACAGAGTGAGACTAAATCAGAAACAAGGGAAGGAAGTCAAACTGTCCACTACTTCATATTCATAGACACAGGCGTAAGTGTGTGTCTATGAATATAGGACCAGGCTAGCTGCCCATGTGTCCAGACTAAAACAAAGAACAAGGGTTTTTTAAGGGGGTGAAATGGGGACTAAACTGTACTCCGAAGGTTTGCTAGCGGGTGATGTAGACAAGAGTAATACTAGTGCTGAGGGCGAGGCGATACTGCCAAAATATTGCCACGATATGAGAAGAAAATATCATTATATTGATATTACAATATTAATAGCGCTGGAAAATCTAAATTGCACCTTTGCAAATATATTAAAAAGTATCATTCTCAAAACTATTTGGCAAGTTTTGAGATTCATTAATTAATTAATTCATTCATTCATTCACCGGGCGGCACGGTGGCTGAGTGGATAGCACTCTCGTCTCTCAGCAAGAAGGTCCTGGGTTCGAATCCCGGTTGGACCAGGGCCTTTCTGAGTGGAGTTTGCATGTTCTCCCCGTGTCTGCGTAGGTTTCCTCCGGGTGCTCCGGTTTCCCCTACCACTAAAAATATGTACAATAGGTCTGGCATGTGCCTCCTGTACTGGCACCCCCACACAAAATCACAATTGTAAACCGCTTTGAGACTCCGATGTGCAGTGAAAAGGCGGTATATAAATAAAGATTACTACTACTACTATTATGTAGTTTGAATTTTAGATCAGCTTTTCAGACAGAAAACTGAAAAGGAGAATACAATCCTTACTTAGCCAATCTGCTCTCAGTATGTAAAATATCAAATGTTTTGAAATAAGAGAAAGACAGCATGTGATGGTCTGCTTTGTTTACCAAATGTTATTTTTACAAGACTCTTTCTGTTGGAACTTTAATGCATCTGGCCACAGCGTGTGTCATGCGAAGCCAGTCACAGATCTCATGGCAAGCATCCACAATTCACGGACGCCAACGCTCGTGCACACCGGTCTGTGGACAGGACAGGGCTTGCGCGCACACTCGGATTAGATGCTGGAAATGCGTTTGGCGGAGGTTCCTGCCTACACAGGTTACTGTGACACCGTGACAGACGAAGGAAAGCTTGTTGCCGAGTTCCTCTGCCACAACTGTGAACACAGCTACTGTTTCTGCACACGCTCATACCCAAGGTGAACATCACCAGTGCGCAAACTCACTTGCGGTATTTCAATTTCATACGTCCTGCAAAATGTTACTGGTAATACCAAGGCCGGTATTATATTTCCCAACCCTAAGTAATACCACAAAATTAAGTAAGTAACTAGTTACTAGTTTGTGTAAGTTCTCAGTCGTACAGGGATTAGGCTGAGAAACCTTCTTTTGTGTAGTAAGAGATACATTCATGATTGATGTAAACAAAAAAATCTTAATTCTGACAAGGTATACACTATGATTCACAATACTGCTGCCCTCAAAATGAGAAAAGGAATGCGCCAGAATCAATCATCAATCAATCTAAAGAAGACTGAATAATTGCTGGAATATTTCTATCTCTGACTAAAAGACAGATTTCACTTATAGCAATTGATTTTTAGAATGTAACAACAGCAATAAACAAGGGACCTATGACTGTAATACATTTGGATTGATTGAGATAAACAATTAAAATAGTGCAAATGTAACTTTTGTCTGACATTGACTGATTTAATCAAGAAAAATAATAATTAAGATTTAAAAGAAGCTGTGTACCAAAGCAGTTTGTCTTGTAGGGAACAAACATCTTGCAGGCAGCAGAGATCTGGGGCTCAGCGCTCAACAAGGCCTTGATAATGAGGTCCTCCACCTGCCGCATTAACACTGAAAAACATGGACAAATGTGAAGATTAGGGCTGGAACAAGGTCATCCATAAAGTGAATGTTAGGTACTTTTCGAATTGTGAAGATCAAGAGACAGCTTTCAAACGCAAGTGCCTCGCGGTCACGCGTGCCCCCCCTCAAACATTTCTCACCGGATTTACACATTTCACAAAAATTAAATTTTTTGTATGAGGCAGGCAGACCGGCCCAAATATCGGCACCGGTCCAGAACACCCAATGGCGTAAAACGATTAAAGGATAGATGACTGTTTTAACTGATGACATGATGCACTGTTGAGCTGTTATGGACAGACCTAAAGGTACAAACTCTGTGGAGGAAAACATTAGCACACGATATTATGCTTACCTTAACTGTTAGCTTCCATATAAGCACTCATTCACTAGTCTATTTATCAAAGCGTCATATAGCTACTAAAACTTGATGGAGTCAAAATTATGTTTTTTAACGTATGTTGGCGTTCTGCTGTTCACATTGAACTGATGAGCTGTGTTACATTTTTTCCTGCTGGGAGTACTCTAACAGTATAAAAATACGTACATTGGCTGCATCACTGTACAAGGCCATAGGGTTCAAAGAAAAAAGTAGTGGCTTAAAGTCCTGCAACAAATAATAATAATAAATTGAAGAAAAACATTAGCTTACAGGATGTGTCCTTCCCTCCTTGCTTCAAATAGCGCAGCACCGCACTCAAACTCCACTTGTTGCCGTAATCCTCCACTTCAGGGTCGTCACAACTAAAAGAGAAGTCTGTGAGAATCTTCCCAACGAAATCCATGTCGCTCTGCGGTTACCTGACATAATCGCTGCTCTTTTTGTTCACGCTGTAGTTTGTGAGATGCATGAAGTTGTTCTTGATGTGTTTTGATGTGCGGTCATACTTCACAGTGGCAAATCTGAAGACAGTAGAACAATATCATGACGAAGGAAATGTCTGGTTGACAGAAACAAATACTTAGAAAATATTTTAGAACGGGCATTTTCAGTTAAAGTACAGTATGTAATATTTTAATTTCATTCTTTTATGTGTCCTTAGATAATAGGTCAACATGTAGGTGAACCATTTCTGTACAAAAGTTTAATGCAGCGTTATTCCTAATTTAATCATTTAGTTTGACCCCACATGAAGATACGTACAAACTTAAGAGAATACTATTAAATAAAAGCAGATAAAGAATTTGGTATTTATTGTTACAGTTGATGAAAAAGGTAGGCAACACGAGGGCAGTGTTCTCTGGCAGTGTCTGTACTATTATGTGGTGACTCTACTATTTAGGAGTGTGACAAGCTACGACACAAAAAGCACATATTTCATTCATGTCATGAGAGATAAGCTTACGAATCATTTAATCAGAGGGCATATCTCCCAGCTGAGACAATAGATAGCTTTAGCTGGCCAACCCCCTTATATGGGCCAATTTTCTTGCTAAGACTAATCTGGATTTACAGAGAAATAAAAACCCCAGGATCGTAGAGTGCAAGCTTGGTCGTACCACACCATAGCACAAATTACATTAGGTACATGCAGGGAAATGATGATTGACTGAGTGTATGGATGGCTATACACTATAATACAGGTTTCTTAAGACTAAAATGTTATTACGTAGGAATAACTATTTTTGTATCTATTTTCATTGAAACAATTGAGTGGTGGAGTTTTGTTAACATATTATTTTTTAAAGATAAGAGCCACAAGCAAACTGTAAACTCAAATTAAAATTGTAAACATAAATATTATGATCAATTATATTTTATTTCACTTATCTCATATAGAGTACACAGTAATACTTATCTTGTGTTGTGTGCTCCTCATTCCTATTCTACACTCACATTTTGTCACTGTGGGACAAATTAAGGAACTCTTCTTCTAAACCTTTTATAGTGATTTGATTCACAAGGCGCCATATTATCCACCGTATTTCAGACATAACCTTTCAGAAATTCCTAGTTTTCTAAAATTGTCACCACTTCTCGACGCATTTATGAATGTAGCATTTTGTGTAGTGCATGTATAGTTCAGAAATACAAAGAAACTCGCACTAAACCAGGGCTGTTTGCTAGCTGGCCAACTTCCTTATATGGGCCAATTTTCCTGCTAAGACTTATCAGGATTTACAGAGAAATATAAACACCAGGATCACAGAGAGCTGTAAAGCACGGATTTCTTAAGAATAAAATAGTGAGTGTGACACATATGGTCATTGAGCAAGAGGAGTTTAATTTTCAATGTCTTTCAATAGGAGCCAGAGTGAGTTGGAGCAAAACTTTGTTTGTGAGCACTTGCCTATTGGGCTTCATTGAGCTAGGGGGTGACCATTGTCCATCTATACACAGTCTATGGAAACAGCTTACAGAGAGCTAACACTGCCATCTTGTGGTCATTATTGTCTGTTCCCTGATCACTTTTCCAGTGACTGCATATTCCGTGCCAAAACAGTGACTAAGAAGCACTGCCGTTAAATCGTTTGCCTGTATAAGTTACATTTTGGGAAAAGAAAAGATTCACTGCCTTTAGAGCATGATTTGAAAGCATAAATATTCACCTTGCCAAGCCTTCCTCATAAACATATATCAGCAGTGGATCATATGAAGTCACAAGTACGTATAGGCGCATGTCAAACTTAAAATCTGCACAAAAAAGGTGGAAGATTGGAATTATGCAAACAGATATTGAAAAAGTTCTCAAAATGAAGGAGTAGAGGAGAAACCATCTTACCGTCTATAAGTAATGGATTGTGTATATAACGGGAGACCAAGATGTTTTCGTCCATTGAAATTTGGTTTGGCTGAGAAAATAATACAAAATGTCAAGTTATTCTGTGACTTTCATTCGCTATTCAAATTGTGAAGATGGAGAAATGTTTTTTCAAATGCAAGCACCAGTCAGACCCGCCCCCACGGAATTCAAATCCTCAATAGAGAGCTGAGACCCTTCACCATTGGTCGAACAATTGGGGATCTGGATTTTACATGCAATATGAAAAACACTTAATTTAGAAGCTACCTTTACAGGTATCTCCAGCTCAGGCTCATGGGCTAAATCCGGCTCGCAGTGGCCCCCAAAATGTCTCAGATTTTCTTGTAACAAGGGCTACCAAGGCATGTTATACACAATCTATTTTCTCAGGTCAACCAAATTTAAAGTATTCTAAAATTTTAACCCAACACATCAATAGAAGTTAAATAGTTAAACATAAACAATGTGTTTAACTTTATATTCGGTCCAGTTCTGGTTTAATCTATACAATAAAGACAGAAAATAATAGTCATAAACTCATGTCACATAAAAGTCATGTTAAAAAACCTTCATACTGTAAATAATAGAAGAAAAAAAAACATTATAAGAAATGGAGATACCTTCTATTCTTTCGTGCCCCGACTACTGCCTATTGTTATTATTCAGCCCCAGACCAAAATGAGTGTGACACCACTGTATTACAGAGTCACATGGACAAAAATATGTTCTTTTCAACTACATTTGAAGTTGCAGACATCGTCTTTAAATGTCTTTTAAAATCACTTGACAAAAGTGAAAATTGTGTCAACTTTCAGCGGAGGACTATAAAAACACTCTGGTGAGGAGGGAGTGGTTTATGAGGCTGAAATGCGTTGCAGGTGGTGAAGTAATAGGGATGAGAAGAGGGGCAGCGCCGCGTCACCACTGGCTCCAGTTCACAGAAAAGCTAAAAATCTTTTTAAAAAAAGACTATATTTCACTCTCTGACAAATATCTCTCTGACATTCCTTCCACTGTTTCATAAAAATGCCTCAGAAAAAAAAACCTGAGAAGAAAAGCATATGTTTTTCCAAGAGTAGTTCCTTCTAGTGAAAAGGCTTTGAACATTTGTGATTTACTCTTGAGCCTCGGTCCCCCACGCCAAAGTCACGGCGAATGGTGACTCAGTTCATGTTTGTGTGACTTAAACGTAAACAGACTTACATTGCTGACGAGATAAATGCCTCGTCCTCTTGAGGATGCTACAGGTTTGATAATCCATGGGCCTTTGTCCTTTGCAAAACAGTCTAAGATCAAACACAAGAATCAGAACAGTAAGTTTAACAAGAGAACTCCCTTTTAGTTTTGGAAGTGTAATTACTCAACTTATGTACATTTTGTCATGATGTTATGATCACTTTTATCTGGTTTTATTTTGATATTGATTGTATTATGTCTGTTCTATTGTTTGCCTGTCCCGCCCTAATGTGTTTCACCTTTGTGCCCCTTCTTGTTGGTCCATTGTGTTTTTGTCCCTGTTTTGTATTGGTTTGAGTTTGGAGTTCTGTAACACTTGATATTGTTATTTTTTTATATTAAATCTTATATTTTTGGCGGTCCTGCATTTTTGGTTTTTCATCTTATTCGAAACTTTGTGACTTTTTCTGTCTCTATATGCTGTCTTTTTCTATGATATTTTTTTGATTACATTTTAAACACAAAGATATTTTATACTGCTTATTTTCATACTAGAGTTAGAGATTTTATTATTCATTATCTTGTGCTGTGTGCTCCTCATTTCTACTGTCTGTGACTTATGATACAACACTGACATTTTCCCACTGTGGGCCGAAAAAAGGATCTCTTAATCTTAATCATATTGTATTTTTGAAATCGGAGGACTTCTACCTTTATCTCCTCGTGCAATGATTTTCTGCTCTGAATTGTTCGATTCTCTGTTCTGAGTTGGCAAATCAACAAATTCTCCAAGACAACTTCATCAAAGCCCCAACCAACACCATCTGTTCACCCACTCGTTACAAATTTCAGACCTATCGTACATGTTTATAGTGGTATGCGAAATCGGAGCACCTGGTGGAAACCTACACAGCTATGGGGAGAACATGCAAACTCCACTCAAAAAGGCCCTGTTCCAACCAGGATTCGAACCCAGAACCTTCATGCTGAGAATGTTAATGTTTGTTTTTATGCCCTGTGGGATTTGAATTGTATATTTTTATATTTATGTAGATTTTAATGTTTATGATTTATGCTTGATGTGATATGGGTTGTGAGGCACTTTGTGTTGTCTTGAGTAGGAAAGGCGCTTTACAAAAAAAAGTTGTTTGATTTCATGAACGCAACATATTTTTTTTAAAACAGTCAACACAAGAAAACTCACCGCAGAACTCTTGATACTCAGATGGAAGCACAAAGGTTTGAGGAACGATATGGAAGTTTTTGAAGCCGTGCGCCTGCTGCATCCGCTGGATATTTTTATAAAGACGATCTTTACGAGTCAGCTCATACGACCTGAAAAGTGAGCCGGAGAGCAGATACATCACACTTCAAACCTGGCAGGAATAAAATATACTCAGAAAAAGCTACCGGTTTTTGCCCTCTGCCCGTCAATATGATTCATTCATGTTTCAGCGAGGCAACTTTCCAACCTAAATGTGCTTTGCTTTGGGGCAGCCAACACACACACGCCTCATACTGAAGTATTTCAAAACTTCTCTGCAAGCTATATTTATGACACTGACTTTAGTTTTGGTTTCAAAGTTACCTTGGAAAGTGGTTGACCTTCTGGAAGTCCTGGAGGCTGCGAAGGATGTAAGGCTTAAGGTGAGATCCAGTCCACATGAGGTTAAAGTCATTACTATTGGGGTGCACCTGTAAACAGACAGATTTAATAAAGAACAATGAAATAACCATATTGTACAAGGCCTGTCTGCTTCTAAAACCATCTTAAACCCCAAGACAACTTACATTACATCATCGTATTGTTTTATTTGCAGTTGAAATCCTGCAAGTGAAGTTGAAAGAAAAGCCAGATGTTTGCAATAAAAGCAGTGGTACACGCTCATCTGCCTTTGAAGGGCGAGCAGGAGTTAAGCACTCAGATACAACAAAGAGATTTAATTGGAAATACTTAAGAAGACAAATAGCGGGGATTGTCTGCTGTCGTGCAGTAGAAATATTGCTATTGAAGTCATTTTGTTTCACAGCGCACTCCCTGGCTTTGACATTATCAGTGAGAGTGGAATCAATCGCACAAAGGAAAGAGTTACATACAAAAACATATTGGCCGTATCCAACAATAAAACTGAAACTGCTAGAAGTTTATATTTTTAAAAACCAACACTGGTTAATATAACAGAAGAAAACAGTTTGTTGAAAAGCTAATGCTGAAGACCAAATGCTAACTGCTGCCAGTAAACAGTGTGCTATGGTACAATTTTCAAATAAATCTTTATTTCTATAGTGCTTTTCACAGGGGGGCGACAGTAGCTCAGTTGGTAGAGCATTGGCCTTCAGGCCTGAAGGTCATGGGTTCAATTCCCACCTCTACACCTTCTCCACCGACTCCCACTGATGACTGCTGTCGTTGTGTCCTTGGGCAAGACACTTAACCCTACTTTTCCCAAATGCCCCCACTGAAAGATCAAGGCTATGCTCACAGTCAAAGAGCAGCCGCCTGTGGACTCACCACCTGCAGAGTGGCTGGTGCTATGAGACTTGGGTGGCATCTCTGATTGCCACCCCCCTGACCCAGAAATGGATTAAAGGGTAGAAAATGGATGGATGGATGGATGCTTTTCACAGACCAGAGTCACAAAGTACTTTACAATTGTGGGCATTTGTCGCTCACTCCACACAGTGGGTTGCCAAATCTATTGTACAAGTGTTTTAGTGGTAGGGGAAACCGGAGAACCCAGAGGAAACCTACACAGACACAGGGAGAATATACTAACTCGACTCAGAAAGGCCCTAGGATTCGAACCCAGAAACTTTTTGCTGAGAAGCGAGCGTGCCATCAGTTCATACACAAGGCCACTCAAAAAGCTTATCAAAACAAGATAGAAACAATAGAAGGCATTAAACATAATTAATCACATAAATAGAGAGTATAAGGTTAAAAGTTCATGAAAAGATTAATCAATAAAAATGTTCTGTTGTTTAGAACATTTTCTGTCTGTTTGCACACCTCGTTAATATTTATGACAAACATGACATGTAAATTCCTCCATTGTGAGATCAATCAAGTTTATCTTATCTTATCTTTAAAAATAATCACAATAAATAAACTAATAACTACATATAGAGACAGAAAAAGTCAGAAAGTTTGGAAGACCAAGAATGTACATACAATTCCAAAATAAGGCCGTCACTTTAACTGCTCTGGGAGTTTGAGTGTAAAGCATGAGATCAAGAGAGAATATAATTTAAACACTGTTACCTCATGGAATCCATGATTAGCGAGTAATCCTCGGACAAGGCGGCTCTCTGTGCGTACAATCTTGAAGGCCATCTTGTAGCGGTCTTGAAAAGGATGCAATTTATGTTCATGCAATGTAAGATAATAGTCATTGGTTTAACAAAAACAATAAACAGCATCATAAAAGTTTTAAGACAATAGTTTTTCTGTGTTTAATTAAGGTGGACATTACCTCCAACAGAGCAAATTCTGTCATCTTTAGAAACAATAGCTTCAGGGAAGAACAGGAGAATGGGAATTGTCTTGCTGGCACCGCTCCAGGCAATGCAGGGAAGATCTCTTTAATAAGACACATATCATTCTGAATGTTATTCAGGAAAGGCAAGGCAAGTTTATTTGTATGGCACATATAGTTCATACACAAGGCAACTTCAAGTTGGTTGAAGACCTCAGAGAAGAAGCAACTTCAAATACCCTGGTATTGTATTTCTGGACACTCCCTCACTTGTGTTGCAAACTCTTAGTACCCCAAACTTGTATAGTCAATTTCAGATTATTCTTTTGCCAAATAAATCTGTTTTTAATAATTGATATACTCTTATTATATTGAGAGACATTCAGTGTTAGTAATTACATTGTATAGTGAGAAGATATACAAGTAACCACATATAACTCAATCAACATCCATTTTTTATCTTAATTATATTCAAAGTATGTAACATGTATTTATTAAAGATCATCAAGTCTTCTTCAGTCGGACTTAGCCCCACAGACAGTAGTAATAGTGGTAGTAAAAATTGGGACCATGTAACGATGAATGTAATATTTATATGTGTGTTATGATTTAGGCTTAGGCTTAAGACGTTCATTGATACAGCTAGATTATTTTTGGAACACATACACTAATTAGACTTGCATTATTTAGTGTAGTGTTGTCTGTACTTTTCATGGAGTACTCAAGGTGAGTACAAAACAGCTTGACCTTAGTATATATATATTATTCAAAATTGATCAAGTTACACACCCATAGCAGAGTGTAAAGAGATGGGATCAGAGGTTGAATAATAAGTGCTAGACATATTTGACATATCTTCACACATAATAGACATTCCTTAAAACATGCAGTTGATATGAGTTTAAAACATACTAGCATTATTTCTGACAGCAGGTAAAGCCATAGGTCTGTCTAAGGACTTACTCATGCTCATCCACTGTGGAGGATTCAGAGTCCTCCTTCTCCCGGGTGACAGCTGGCATTTCGCGGTGAAAGGAGACAGCAACACACGCTCAAGATGTAGAGTCGTGCTTTACCATGACTTCTTATTGTTTCTATTCAAAGTACAGCTACATGAGTCATACAGTAAATCTCTTGTTAATAGCATGATTAAAAGCACCGTATCCATTCAGTTTAACTCATTATATCCTGCAATTAATATTTCTAACGTGCCAAAATAAATCCATTCACAGGCAGAGGCTATTTACGCATTCACAAACAAGTAACTATGCAGCAATAGGCGAATTCAGTCGAGCTAAGCTACCAGTAACATAGTCTTATACTCTTAAGCAGAAAACAAAACATTGAGTATTATTAGCCAAGATTTACCTTGCGCAATGCACGTATAGATATACATTAAATCGATCGGTATACATAGCAATATTCTTTACGCAAGCATCTAAAATAAAGCAGTAGCGTCTGTATATTTTTAGCGCCTGTCTAACGGCTCGCGGTGGTGTGGCATACAATCATCACCGCTATGCTAATCCCCCTGGTTACTAGCTACAACAAGTGGCTACATACGCGTACTCAATGAAATACAATTACAACATTATTCAGGGATGAACTGTTTTAGGTGTTTAATTTTATGAAATATAGTATAGCTTTATATTGATTCATCGTAATATGACAATTTGGGAGTTTTAACCCATGTTTAACCTCAGAGAAGTGTAGCAGTAGCATTTAATTCATTATCACTCTTTGAACAAGCCAAAACGTGATTGGCTCATTGTAAAAAGGGCGTGTGGTGTGATTGGATGGAGCCATAATACGGTCTTCTGATTGGTGGAAATAACGGAAAAGGCGTGAACACCAACACGCATCTGTTTTCTAAAAGGACAAAACACTCAACGAACTAATTTACCTGTTCACTGTGGTCTTTAAATGTAAATGATCTAATTCAAGAGGCGTTCAAAGGTAAGAAAAATAAACATTGCGTGCAAACGGGGGGCTAGCGTTGAACAACACTAGCTATCTCGTATCTGCTGCAGGAAGTGTTGCTGTATGATGATTAGCCCATTTATGTTATAATAGCGATATTAATTTAGTGTTAAGATTTAGTCCCTTTTTAAAATGAAATAATGCTGGTGCCGATTTTTTTATACGGATTAATTATTCGTGTTATTGTTTTATTTCGATCTTAGGGCATGTGTTTTTCAATATTTACAATTTTAATGTTATTCAGTTCTAGGCAAAGATGAGTCGCTTTCTGAATGTGCTGCGGAGCTGGTTGGTGATGGTGTCGGTCATCGCTATGGGGAACACTGTGCAGAGCTTTAGAGACCACAGCTTTCTATCCGAGAAGCTCTATACAGGAGCCCCAGAGTATGGTAAACTACTACTCCTACTTCAACTACTACTGCTACTGTTACTTCTACCCTAATGGAAAAGGAGAGATTCCACATGCTGCTATCAGACTCCACAACGAACCTTGTATGTTATTCACCCATCAGGCTGTATATTGTACAATGAACAGCTGACTTCGTTTTTTTATAAATATAATGTAGTAATATTGTGCATTACTGTAGTAGTAGTATGGTAATGCTCGTAATATTGTTGATTACAGTATCATAATGTGCCCTCACTACTAAACAGTAAAATAAATGACTAATACTTGTATTATACAATCTTATTATATCCTTAAAGGTATAAAGGAGGATTTTCCCATATTTTAGGAAAGAACCGCCCTTTCTACTTTTTGAACAAAACTCTCTGCTCTTATAGGACAAGGACGTATAAACAGAATGATTGACATTTGGGAGGACCAATAGTGTTGATGATCCACCCGGAAGTAGAAAATCCTCTTGTATACCTTTAAGGCGCACCATCTACTTCGAAGAGGACATATTGTGAATACTACCCTGCTACTACGTGTACTTTACTTCTTTTATACTTCAGCTGGATACTATATGCCTCAGTCTTATTTTTGAGTGCTATTTCTACTGCTCTGTAATGGAAATGGAAATGGAAGCACAGATCTCTCCCTTATAGTGGGAAAAATATATAATATATATACTACTACTATTTGTAGTTTTATTTGATTTTTTTTCTCGCAATTTACTCTAGAATGATTTTGTAGCTAGAGAATTCCTTCTCACTATTACTACTATTACTACTACTGCTGCTGCTACTACTACTGAATTGTAACAAATCCTGCTTCCACCACTACTGCTGTTAATCCTATTACAACTACTACTACTGCTACTACCACTACTTCTACTGAAATATAATAAATCCTGCTTCATTAACTACATGTAGATGACATCTTTCTCACAGTAAATGGACTTCAGGCGCGGACATTTGGAATCTGGACACTTCTGTCGTCCATCATTCGCTGCACTTGTGCCATTGATATCCAGAACAGAACGTGAGACCCCTTCTGGTATTTTCAATATAGGTTTTGTTTGTTTTGCCTTTTAAATTTGGTCACCTCTGCAGGCTTTATCATATTACTTTATGGACATTTGTTCTGGCATTGGGACATTTTGTATCGGAGGCCTTCATTTACAAAACAGCCCCCCTGACCATCGGTGTCATGGCCCCTCTGATAGTAGCAAGTAAGTAAATGCAGGATGTTTCAGTTTAAAATAATGCACTCATTTATTTGGGATGTAGGTTTTTCTATTATAGGGATGCTCATAGGTTACCAGTGTATCCCAGAGACACAGGATGACATCGGAGCCAGACAGAAGAAAAGGAATTGAATATGAAACAGAAAAAGAAATTGACAAATTTGCAACATGGAAAAAAATTTGATGTGCATCACTTGTAAAATAAAATAGTAGTCTAATTTATTTATTGTGAAGTATGACAATGTATTGGAAAAATACAGTAATTTCATAACGTTTTTATAGATTATTTACATTCAAAATGTAAAGAGTATTTCCAGTCTTTTGATGACAATGGTTTGACTGATCAAAACAATTGAACCTTTTCACAATGTTCTACTTTTTTTTAACTACCTGTGTAAATTCTGCACAATTTCACAATTTGTCATGTTATAATCAAAATGTTTATATTTTAAATAAACCTGTAAGTTCACTTTTGTTCACATTTGGTCCAATCATTGTCCATTTTGTTTATCAAATGGTAATATATCGGTGGATCAAAAGGTTGGTATTTAACAAGTATTTGTTATCAACAGTTTTGTAAAGTTCTATAAAACTACACAAACACACTTGCTCTAAATTGATACACAGACACATAAGGTGGGACAATGCACTCAGTTTTACAACTATTAGTAATCAGCAACAATGCAATCTTAGAAACCGATAAAAAAGTCACGTAAAAGTAAGACGAGATTTGGCTGAGTGACTGAAGAACGGCCACCACCTGTGGACCCCTGTCTGGAGTCACCATTAGAAACCGCAGCACTGTTAAACAGAATAATAAATATACAATTTCAAGTATAATTTACTCTCTTTATAAGATATGATTTCATCTTATATAAACACGTAACAAATAAATATGAAGGATAAAAGTGTATTTCTTATATTGCACAGTAATATTCAAACATTGTCCTCAGTGGAAGTGTAAGAATAGTCAAGGACCTCAGGTGCGTGTGTGTGTGTATATGTGTGTATGTCTCTGAACATGTCAATTTAAAAATCTAAAAGAAAATCCACTTTACAAGCTCTGGAAAAGTGTTTAAACTACATCTCTATTGGCTCTTTGCTTCATTGGATTGGCAGCCAATGTACATGTATAAACATGTGTATATGTATACATGTCAATGCTCATTACAATTATCATTACCTTCTAACCCCCCAACCCCTGTTGTTCCCTCCCTATATCTGTTTGAATGTCTAAGTATCATATGTTTGAGTATGTGTATGCTTTCGTTATATTTGTTAATCATTTAAAGAATAAAAATATTAAATAAACATAAATAGTCAGAGAAAACAAAAATGTGTTTTTGAGCCATTGAAAAAGTCAAAGTTTGATCAATTCAGAAATATCTTGTGCTTTTGTAAAATCTTGACAAAAACCATCCAGCTGGTGGGAAGAACTCTACTGCACCTCATCAACTGTTCTCAGCGTCTGAAAGGGAAAAGAAATATATATATTTCAATATGAGTCCATAAAATGCATTTCTTTTTCCACTTGAAATGTACCATGTTATTGATAACCCTGCCTGTTCACAGTATAAAAAAAACAAGAATAAGTGATCTATATGTTAAACAAAATAACTAAACCTCAACTCAGACTTAACTTTAGGTGTCTTAGTAATATACACAAGGATGTGTTTTCTCTATTAAATAAGTGCATAGAAAGTCCAGTAGAAAGCACACATGCAACATATGAATCATGGAATTGTTGCATTGCCCCATACACAGTCATAATAGTATATAGTAGTGCCATAATAGTACTTGCAATACTTCCATGGTACTTGCCCATACCTTGAAAAATAGTCATGTTTAATATGTGAGCAGCCGCCAGAGGGCGCTGCAGGACGTGGCACCATAATCCTGAAGGGAAGCCTCAGGGCCTGCAGGCTGCAAACATCTTTGAAGTCACTTATTTCATTATGAAGAGACACTACTGTAAGTACATTCCCAGAATACTCCGGAAGTCCAGGGGCTAGCGCCATCCACATGGAAGCTCATAAAAGGTTCTATTCTCCACTTTAATTAAGGTTGGTTAAAAAGGCAAACAAGTTAGGGGTAATTTTTGCGCGATAGATAAGAGTTAAATGAAACAGAGTCAGACAAAACCATCCAAACCTTTGAGTGCAAGAGACAATTAGTAAGTAATATATTGACAATAAGTCAATATATACAAATAAAGTGAATGACTGAATTCCAGGTTTTGAGATTCACAACAATGTATAACATGCCTATATTGGTGGATCTGAAGTTGGCTGAACAATACCGTGAAGTTGTGTTTAGGATTTCAAAGACTACTTTGTATTGGCAAGGCAGGGGGCCACATAACATGACACTGAGGACCGCAATCAGCCCACAGGCCTTAGTTTGGACATACTGGCTGTAGACAAAATAAAGTACAATGGAGATGAGTCCCACTGCAGCACACCCAAAGCATTAGCAGCATTTCAGATTTATACAGCTAAAGTCAGGAACATTCTTCCTGATAATGTGAGACAGGCTTTTTCTCTGACAATTTTCAAATACAGGTTTAAACAGTTCTGTTTAGCTGTGCATACAACTGAAGGATTGGATCCTCATTCTTTTTAATATACTGTGATTATGGATTATTTTAAAAAGGGATGCACCGATACCACTTTTTCAAAATGTTAAGAAATGTTATGTGTATTATCATATTAATAAATGTGTGTAGATTAGGGTAGTCAAGTTAACCAACTAATGCATTGAGCGTGGCGAGAATGCAGCCCCCAGGCAAGAGTGAAAGAGCATAAGTAAACAAGAGCAGAGAAAACAAAGCATGAAGCGAGAAGACATCTGTGTTGTGACAAGAAGACACTTCTCCTGACAGATGAGAGGAGATTGTTTTCTCACCTAGAGTTTGATAGGTCATATTGTCACCATTTGGTCACATGTGTGTTTTAGAACTTTGGTATAAGAGGTGAGGCGTAACTTCCAGGGTCTGTCTTTTTGCTTTGCCTGTAGTCCGCAGCAGACCCAGGTTGTCTCTCTCTGCCTGTCTTTTATATGTATTCTGTTTTATATATTAAACCTTCTTTTATATCTACCTAAGTTTGTAATTTCCTTCCTTTCATCGGACGACTGTTTAAGGAAACCTGGTGAACCAGCATTAACACAAAACCAATATGAGTACGAGTTCGGCATACCATTCTCAATACCAGTATCAGTATCGGTGCATCCCTAATTTTAATGCCTTGTTTGACTGTTTCCATCCTGTTTTGTTCAGCCCTTTGAGTTGCCTTGTGTATGAACTGTGTTACACAAATAAATACACAAATAAAAATGCATGTGTCTGCATTCAAGAGCCATGCAAGAAGCACACCAGCAGTACACACAAGCACCAGCAGAAGTCAACAGATACTGACTTTAACCAGGTTTGTACAGCATCATGAGGCTCAAGAGAAACACTCACTGGATTCTGGATGTTGGCCTTCAGTCTCCGCAGATCGGCTTTAATCAGAGCTGCCAATAATAATGAGAAGAGAAAGAAGATATTAGAGAGCAAACATTCACCATTGTACCACACCAGACAAGTACATAAATAAAACAAGCTAAAAAGTGCAGGAAACCATTGTTACTGTGAAATTGATCGTGATACAGTGCAAAATCGTTAAACTGCGTTGGTTAAACTGATAAGAGTCAATTTGTAAATGTTGTTACTCTTTATAATTGTATTACTTTTTTTGTTTCTACATGTAGTATATATATCAAAGTGATTAGTTACCATACCAACACACAGTTTAGTTTTGCTTATCATTTATATTAACCATTTTTGGCATGTATGATAAAATTAATAATCATTGTAAAGATTTCTGAGTGGAAGAACTATCTAGCCTCAGTGTAGTCTACGCTCCGACCACTAGGTGGCTCTTCCTTCTCACATTTCTCCTCAGAAATAGGATGTTACTAGGGGGCGGATACCAGCTCAAAAAGGTCCATGAGCAGGTGCACTGACATGCTCGCAATCTCACTCTGGGTGGACCCGGAAAGAGAATTACGCAATGCTTTTGTATGCCGTCTTCTTTCCTCTCAAAAACAGCTTTACAGGATGGTCCAAAAGTTGGCTCTTCGCCCAACGCTACGTTCCAGATGCTGAGGGGAGTTTTTTTTTTTTTTTTTTTGGACCAGTCTAGTTTAGTTGCTATGACTTTTGAAGGCACTCGTTAAATGAATGGGGCTCATGCCTCGCACCAAAGTACATAAGTGACATGTCATTACTAGGGCTGTCAAACAATAAAAAAAATGTAGTATGGCAAATTAGATAAAATAGCTGTGTGATTGGCAGGCCCTGGCGGGCCCTGGATGAGAGCCGTGGCCGGTCTTTCAGTCTGAATTTGCGCGTTCAGCTTAATTTGTCTGCACAGCTAAACAGAACTGTTTTAACCTGGATTTAAACATGGTCAGAGAAGAAGTCTGTCTCACACTTCAAGCAAGATTGTTCCAGATTTTAGCAGCATGAATCTGAAGTGCAGCCTACCCAGGTTTAGTCCTGACTCTGGGCACTAGCAGGAGGCCAGTCTCTGTGCTCCTCTGAGTCCGAGTTGGTTTGTATGGTAATGACTAGGGCTGTCAAAATTATCGCGTTAATTCACGTTAATTACCGTTTTCATTAACGCGTTAAAAAAAAAATTATTAACGCTTTAACTGCCATTGACGTGTTAACACGTCAATTGCGTTTCCCGCTAGCCCCCTGTCAACCCACTGACAGAAGTGGGCAGTTTAAAAGCAGCCACTCCCCAATAAACGGCCCTCCCTGAAGCTCTTAAAGAGCAACTAAACACCTGTGCCCAGCCTTACCCCGCCCACATGAAGATTTGAAAATGTTCTCTTAAAAGGGCGTTGCCTGGAGGACCAAGGAACAAGAAGGGGGGCTTAGAGTTGGGCGTGGTCTGGGCTGTGATTGACAGCTCACTTGTCACACAAAAAAAAACAGACAGTTGTCATTGCTGCTTAAAGCAATAGTTTACAGACCAGAAAGTCTCATTCCACCCTTGTTTACACACTAAGATAATTGTAAAGCTACACACCTGAACCTAATCACACTCAATAATCTCAGAATGACTCATGTAATTTAATTTTAATCCACCAGATGGCGCCAGAATACTCTGTCAGAATACTCTGACAGACTGACGTCACACAAAACAACTGATGTCATAGAGAACTTCAGAGTCAATGGAGAGACCAGGACCAAATTAAAATGTAGTACCACCAAAAAGGTTGAGAGGGCGCCACACAGACGTTTTTTGGCTCAAAAGTGATATTTTATCTAATTTGAACTAAAATGTCAAAAAAATGACCAGGATATGTAGAGAGCACTACAATAAACATATTTATGGAGTTTATGAGTTGAAAAAAGTTGATTTGGCGTTTTGTCGCTCTTTAACATCCACCACCTCCCCAGCGCCTCCTCGGCTACGGCTCTGGCTACGGCTCTGGCTACGGCTCTGGCTACGGCTCTGGCTACGGCTCTGGCTACGGCTCTGGCTACGGCTCTGGCTCCTGCTCCGCCTGCGCCCCATTCACACCATTCTTCTAGCCACCACCAGTGCTCCCCTCTGAAGGTGTCACTGGCGGGGTCAATGCGCCAATCAAATAAATCTCTTTCATGCATCAATATTTCTGTCTTGGTCTCTTCAGATTGAACTGAGGACATTTTCATTTTTATCTTTCTTTGTTTGTTTCTTTGTTTCTTGATTGTTTCTATCTTGTTTTGTTCAGCACTTTGAGTTGCCTTGTGTATGAATTGTGCCATACAAATAAACTTGTCTTGCATGTAAGTAAGCAGTAAGTAAGTAAGCTTTTATTTATATACCGCCTTTTCACTGCACATCGGAGTCTCAAAGCGGTTTACAATTGTTATTTTTTTGGGAGTGGGGGTGCCAGTACAGGAGGCACATGCCATACCTATTGTACATATTTTTAGTGGTAGGGGAAACCGGAGCACCCGGAGGAAACCTACGCAGACACGGGGAGAACATGCAAACTCCACTCAGAAAGGCCCTGGTCCAACCGGGATTTGAACCCAGGACCTTCTTGCTGAGAGGCGAGAGTGCTATCCACTCAGCCACCGTGCCGCCCGGTGCATGCCGGCTAACACATGCACAAATGCATTTTTTTCACCCTTTCCTGCGGGAGGGGCTGCCTACAACCATTTAGAAGAAGCCCACAGAAGGCAAAAGTGATGGCACTTAAGATTCAACAGCGGAGATAGGCGTGACTACGCCCATTAATATTTACAGTCTATGGGTGTTACACTTATTCAATTCAATTCACCGTTATATTAGATGCGTACCGGTTACTGCAGTTCCAATGAGTAACATGAAAGCCAGAAATATGTTACCAGCAAAAGTGCCCCATTTATCAATAATTTTTCCTTGCAATATGGTGAAAATGATCCCGAGGATCTGAAATAAAAGGAATTGTGTTTAGTACTTCTAATAAAGGCTTCAACAACAGTAGCGTGAATGTTTGGACCCACCTGAGCAGAGCAGTTGAGAAGCCCAGACGAAGTTCCCTCTGACTCTGGAAACGTCAGCTCCACAGCAAACTCAAAGCCCAGAGGCAGATAGCCGGTCATAAAAAATCTGTGGACAGAATGTCCAAATGTCAACATACAACATTTGTTAAAAAAGTAAAATTAAAGCAAAAAAGTAGTCATACCTAATACTCAGAGTTTGTACCGTTTCTAGCTAAACTCCATCAGGTGGATTGCATCAGTAATCAGTGTGTATGCTACAATGGACAATCAATCAATCAATCTTTATTTATAGAGACAAGGACATGAGACATAGTTTATTTATATAATCATGTTTTTAGCCAATCTGAAAGAAGATGGAGTCCTGGGTTGTTGCCAGGTTCTTTGGTGAAACCCAGAGCAGTGTGTGTGTGCGTGTGTGACCTATTCACTGAAGATAAATTATCTTGTGTGAGAATGCCTTGGTGAGAGTTAAGTTGTCATTATCAGTCTAGTTTAGAAAAAGTCATGAATAGTAAAAACGGACTCACCCTAAAACACCTGCGGTCACAAACACCAGCCAGAGACGTCCCAAGTTTAAGGTGAAGGCAAAAACCAGCATCCCACAGAGAGAGAGGAGGTACACTACCAATGTGGTCTGTCTGCAAACAGGACAACACACACACAAACAGACCGGCCATTAGGAGACACAGAGTAGCATCATATCAATAAAATAAAAAAGACACCGGGACAAATATCGTGAGAAATTACTATTATTTTGTTTATTTTAGATCAGAGGTGTCAAACCGGTCCTCAGAGGAACAGTGTTGCTCCTGTTTTATTTGCATCCAAAGAGAAGCAGACCAGACTCCACCCATTTCCTCAAGTGACTCCAGTTTCAATGTGAACACTTGAGGAAATGAGTCTAGTGTGCACCCGCTTGGTTGGAATGAAAATCTACAACACCGGCCCTTTCTGCAACCAGTTTGACACCCCTGTTTTAGATCAATAACATGAGGAATGAAAGATTTAGAGTTCTAATCTCTGATATGAAGTCCAACAGTGTGCTTGTTCAGACGCACTGTTTGCATAGGAGGTTTCATGTTTATATAGATCTGATGCCAGCCTGTGACTGTTAAGGGATTTGGTCGGTTTCTTCTCCTGTCGTAGCCCTCCCCATATTCTTCACTCTTTAATCCCCCAAGCAAACCTGGTTAATTGTTAAAAGAAGAGTGCTACATCAGAAGGCAACTTTAGAACAAAATATCCACAGACCTTCTTGTGCCATTGTATTTATATAAATCTCTTATCACATATCAAAAACTACTTTAATTGGCTCTCTTTAATTTAGATATGTTTGTGTCTAAAATGACATTAGCCTCATGTGGTGAATTTCAAAAGAAGATGCAAATATGCAAAGACTGCCACGTGCCAAACAGCAGTGGTGCAATGTAAATGTTATTGGCTCTCGACTGGTCACATGTCTCACTGTGACTCGAGTCCAGAGGTCTGCAGAGTTATCCATCTCCACTCTTCTTTACAAGTGTCACCTACTTATAATACAAGAGTTAACCAACACAAAAAGAGTTGGGTATCAGATTGACCTTTTATTTACATGAAGATGGTGTTTGAGGGGGCTGAAAGCGCAAGCGTTGAGAAACAACCTCCAAAGTGGAATAGAACAAATACGCTGCACGGCAAGGGACTATTTCACACCTGTGTGTTTACACCTTCATTCATCTGAACAAAGCCATGCAATTTCTATTTTTTCAGCCACTGTTAAAGGTGCAGTGAAGGAATCAGGTTAGCTTAGCATTAGCATCCGAGTAGCACCAAGTCAAAACCACTCCCCCCTCACCCCTGCGCTCCACCAAACCCAACACCCAGCACACAGGAATGCCGTTTCTGTAATAACCAGCGGCTGGCCGTGCATTTAATCAGTCAATTGGAGTCAATCAATCAGTCCATTGTAAAATAAATCGTTTTTCACTGTTTTCTTCTTCGTCTGTGTTCCCTGTTTCATATATGTCTGGGGTTTGGCTGTAGACAGTGTTTTAGGGAGCCAACAGGGGGCACCAGCGCTCTGAGGGTGTCTTGGTTAAAAGGGAATGTCTGAGTGCTGTGTGCAGGAGGAGAGGGAGGCAGGAGGAATAGAGCCGGAGGAATAGAGCCGCAGGAACAGGCTTCATTTGGAGGCAATTTGAGCAGTAAATGTATCTCTAGAGCTGACAGGGACCATGTGGAGGGTCAGAGCAGCAGACCAGCAGTGCACCCCAAAAAAGCCACAGAAAAGTGGGTTATCGCTAATACTATCACTGAGCCTGCACCAGGAGCCAGCAACAAAGTCCGGTTATGACACTCTGTAGATGTAACCACACAAACACATACATTTGCGCACAAACACACATAGACACACAACAGCGTTCTATTGCACTTATACTAAAGGTATATAATTTGTCCACTTTGATTTATTGTCATTCATAGTGTTTATCATTGTAATTTTGTAATTTTGTGACTTGCTCTTATTGACATAAATATAGCATCACCTAATGGATGAATACTGGCCATTCTTTCTGGCATACTGCTCTACTTTCATTATATAAATGTTGACGTTTTTTTGAGTACTTTGTGTTTGTGTATATCATAAAACATATTAATTTGAATCAAAAACACTTTCTCATAACTTGTTGTTGATCATATTTAACATTAGTCATAGCACAAATTATTGAGTGAGTGTTGAATATCAGTGAAATCATCAAAAACGGCAGTCAAAGAGCTAGAGGCAGATTTTGGGCCATGACAACACATGATGCTGTCTTAGAAGCCAGACCTCACAAATGTCGACCTGGAGTTGGAAGCAGCGCAACCAATGTAGTTTATGGAAAATTAACACCGAAGAAAATATATTATTGTTGCGAGATGGTCTTTTGTCCATGTTAAGTTATACCAAAGTTGGGTATGCTAACCACGAGGAGGCACTGGAATCTTGTTGTGAACCAAGCTATGCGGGGGCCTGAGGAGGATGTTGTTGAGGAAGTGATTATACAGTACTTGTGGGGGTCGCTTGTCTCGTGTTGTAAAGTTCCACTGCTCCCTACTTGCCGGATGCTAGAACTACAGTACATTGTTTTCTCTCGTTGTGCAGACGCTGTGCACTTCGAATAAGGAGCCTGGTTGTTTTTGCTAATTGCTTTGTAGCGTCTCCGTCTAATCAGGGTTTCCGACACGACCCAAGACCTCTGCATCTTTTGTCTTTTTCCTCAAATCAATCATTCATTTCTGAGGGCAGACTTGTAAAGTATGCATTTACAATAGTCCTGTGGGTTCTAAAATGCCAAATATTCAGCAGATTTCTTGAGGGTGTTCCCACTGGCTGCTCTCATGGGAACTTTAAATGCCTTACTTGTAGGTCTTTGTCTTATCAAGCCAGATGCCACATATGAGGGACCCCACCATACCAGCAATGACAATCGTCAAACCAATTCTTCCAGCATTCACCTCTTCACCCTGGAAAGTAGAATACATGTTACAGTACAGTATACAGTATATAGGAGTACAGTATAAAAACATCTCCACAAATATAGATTCAGATTCCGTTTATTTGCAATTTGCATGTGCATTTGTTCAGACAGATAACCAATTGTGGGTGTTAGCAAATCCAAAGGTCCTGCTTCTCTCTCTCTGGCCTCTCTCTCTCTCTGGCCTATAGATTATTTTCTAAATGTGTGATTTGGATTCACCCGCCTCGCAAGGTCATTTTAGCTCATAAGAAAAATGTATATGTATAATCCCAACTTTGTCCCAGCTGTACAAGTCATTCCAGCACGTTTGCCTGTTAAAGGGGCGGGGCTACGTGGGACTTCAGGTGGAGCTATGTGAATCGTTTATTGTATAACATTGTGCCAGCTCAATCTAAACTTTTCACATTATATAACCAATTATATGACCAATATATGTTCACTTATCTTGTGCTGTGTGCTCCTCTTTCCTACTGTTCTATAACTTGTGATGCAACACTGAAATTTCCCCACTGTGGGACGAATAAAGGATCTTTTCATCTCAATGTATATAAGAATTCCTATGAGAATATATGAGGGAGGGTCATAGATCCCCACTTCTTTGGGGAATGTCCTTTTTATGTCAATCAATCAAATTTTATTTATGAAGGGCTGTTCATACAGGAAATGCAACAAAGTGCTGCAGTTTAGTCAAAGATTATTCCACATGCCCATGACCCCTCCACCCCTCAGACCCACCCCAAACCACATATATAATTGAAGTACCAAATCACCTTTTTAACTTAAAAACTATGCTTCTAATAGTGTTCTCTACATGTCCTTGACACTTCTTTGATATTGTATTATGCTGCACACTTCTGTCTTTTTGCACAATCAAAGTGATCCTATCTATGCCAAATGTAAATATCTCCATTGTGAGATCAATACAAATTTTGATCAAATCTGACTTTTGAGGCTAAAACCGTCTGTGTGGCACCCTCCCTACATTTTCGGTGGCACTACATTTGAATTTTGTGCCTGGCCTCTCCATTGGCTCTGGAAGCTTTGTGACGTCCCTTTGTACTGAGTAACGCCCGTCGCTCTGGGCCTGTGGTATAAAAGCAGCCAAGTCACACCCCTGTAGCGAATAGGAGTTGGAATAGCGAATGAGCTTTTTACATCGATTTTCAGGTTAGCAATTTATTAGCATAGAATTTAGTTAGTTCTTTAGCATAGCGTTTCTAGTGTAGTTATAGGTAGTCGGGTAGTTTAGTTGCGGGGTTAGTGTAGTTTAATTTAGTCATTGTGTGAAGAGGATAGACGGGCTGTATTCTGGCAACATCTAGCAGTTTAAAATCAAATAACATCAGTTGAAAGCGACTACTGCTACAATTCTGTGGTTTAGGTTCAGCTGTCTAGCTATACAATTATCTCAGCCCCCGTTCTTGTCCCCTGGTCCGTTTAGTTATTAATTTTAGTGACCTCGCTCAAAACTTTACAGTGTATTTTTTTATTTATTATTAGTTTCCTTATGTTAACAATTTTTCTCTTTTAGTCCTGGTCCTGGCATCATTGGTCCAGCTGCCACTCCTGTGTTTGTATTTATTCTTCCTCTCCCCCCTGTCTCCCACTATAAATTTCGGGTTTTCCCGCAGCCTCTTCCCTTTGAAATGTCAGTCGCTTTATGTTTTTATGTCTCAAAATTTCTTTTCATTATAATTGTGTAATTATTTATACTTGTTATGTCTTTTTAGTTTGGGCTGGGACTGTAAGAGAGGCACAGGATAACAGTATTTTCTTTTTGTGAAAAAAGAACGGCTCAAAATCTTGTCTCCCAAGTGTTCCTGCGCACCACACGCAAAACAGCACAACCCAGAGCGTTTTATCAGACTCGCTACACAAGTAACTAATAGTCCTTTATACAAATATTTGCTCAGTACTCACTCAAACGTCTGTATCTGCAGGTCCCGTCTCTAAGTCTTTACTCACTGCAAATATTGTTTTTTTTTTACCCGTTTGGATCTGTGTTGGCGTTTTACCACAAGGATGAAAGGAACAAACTCACAACTTTCAAAATTAGGTCAATAAGGTAAAAAAGTGTAAATCTCCATTAAACATATAACTTTAAAGTGCTTCAAAGCCAAATTAAGACAAATGAAAATGTGCATATTGTTGTACTGTGACTTACTGGATAATGTTCAACAATGATTCGATTCAGCAGTGTTGACACAGCATAAAAACAGCCAACATTGAGTCCTGCAAAGACCAAAAAACAGAACTGAGCTATTTTAAATAAGACTCAATTAGATTAAATTCAAATAACTTTGTAAAAGTTCAATTGCAGACGGAGCACCAGTGGGGAGAGAGACAAAGTTATTTTGAGAAAATCTAATCCAGTTTCCTTTAGTAATTATTTGATCATTAAGTATCATCAGTAAGCATTTGATCCTTTATTTGCGCCACAGTGGGGAAATGTCAGTGTTGAATCACCAGTTACAGAACAGAAGTGATCATTGAGAATAATTGTTAGGGCAATGTGTGTGTAGAGATTTTATACTTGCTTCTAGGAAGAACAAAATCTCCAGCTTTAGCAAAATAAGAAGCAAGTATAAAATCTCAACCTTTAGCATAATAAAGTAGCAAGTATAATCAACTATTATCTGAGGAAACTCACCATAGCTGAGCACCAGAAGCATGAAGGGCTTGTTTTTCAGTAACCTCAATATTGAAGCAGTATAAGAATATTCATCAGGATGGATGCTTCTGGCCTGGGCCTGGGCCTGGCTGGGCGGGAGCTCAGGTTTATCCTGGAAGACTTATGTATGGGGAAATTGGAGCATATTAGTACAGCACATGCCATATGCAATTAAATGTGATCATTTTCAATCTATAGTCTTGTAAAGCCCTAAATTACAACAGTAGTTTTCTCAGAAGGCTTTACAAAATCATTGAATTTGCCAACACAGATCAGAGAATTAAACAGTTCAACAGGAAATGCAATGATAAATTAAAGCCGCAAGCGGCGTCAAACGGCCCTCGCCGCCCCGCGCTCACCACCCCGCACCAAGCCGCCCAGCACCAAGCCGCCCCGCATCAAGCCGCTCCGCACCAAGCCGCCCCGCATCAAGCCGCTCCGCACCAAGCCGCCCCGCATCAAGCCGCTCCGCACGAAGCCGCCCCGCATCAAGCCGCTCCGCACCAAGCCGCCCCGCATCAAGCCGCTCCGCACGAAGCCGCCCCGCATCAAGCCGCACCAAGCCGTCCCAAATTAAGCCACCCCGCATCAAGCCGCCCCGCACCGAGCCGCCCCGCACCAAGCCGCCATGCATCAAGCCGCCCCGCACCACGCCGCCCCGCACCAAGCCGCCCCGCACCAAGCGGATCTACACCACGCCGCCCCGCACCAAGCCGCACCACACCGTACCACGCAGCACCGTGCAACGAAGGTGGGGCCGCCGTGTGATGATTTGTTGCTGTTGCCATAGAAGAACGTTAGTCAAATTGTAATGAATATGATGTTTAGAGCTGTTTGGCACCCCATGTAAAACTTTGCCTCAATCTGTAGGGGGCGCTATTGGGCCAATATTTCACTTTCACCTGACCTAAATCCTGGAGTTGAACATTGGATTCAAGTTTTGTGCAAATCAGACTTTGTTTGTGCAAACGGGAGCAAAATTAATGTTGTGAAAAACGGTCAAAAAACACTCACATTTTGCCGCTCCGCTGCTCAAACAATGTTTCACTGATCAAAAATCCCTGAGGTCATTTTGATAGTACATGTGTTTAGACAATGTGGAGTGATATGGAGGCCAATCGGTGAAACGGCCGAGGAGGAGTCGCTTTCCAACCGACATGTATGAAAATGATTGCGGATAATTTTTCCATTTTGCAGTGAAATTTATGGGCCTCCTGTTTGTCAGAGGGTCGTATCTTGACTTGAGGAACATGTGTACTGTATTTCATGGCTCTACAACAAACTTGACCTCTGAAACTCCCATTGGCTGTTGTAGGTGGCGCTGTTCTGGCATTTTTTGAGTCCCATAAAAATAAACACCTAAATATCAAATTTTTCACCAGGTCTGATGTTTGGGCAAAATTGTACAACTTTTCATGCATGTTCAGGGGGTCAAATTAAGGCTCAAAGTGCAGAATTTGACATCTCTCGAGCAAAAACAATAGGCCCTTTCCCCGTTCGGGGCTCGGGCCTAAAAATACATAAAGCCATTGGTTCATATTGAGCAGATGACCAATGTCCATAAATGTTGGACATGTTTTCCGTCTAATTAAAAGAACCTTCTAAGCCAGTGTAGCTGTATCTACCCACATAAATCTAATTGTGTGTATGTGTATGATCCACCCATCATCTCATGCTGCAGCTCTGCACTCACCGAGGGCAACGAGGACAAAGAGGACTGTTGAAACTCCAGCAGTGATGTAGAACATGACTCTGATATGCTCCGCCAGCTCTGCTTTGTCCTCCACGTTTGGGACGAGCATGGGGGGAACCAGAAAGCCCACTGCAATGCCCATCTGTGGAACAAGCACAATCATACAGGAGTGAGCCTTGAATATACATGCAGCAATCACAATTGTACAGAGATAATCATCAAAGGAACCTACACAAATATGAAAGCCCAGTTTCCACCAGCTCCCACTGAGATTGGGAGTGTCTCTACCCGCTCTGTTTAACCGGTACCCCATACTTTTATAAGTACCTGCTTGGCCCGGGTTCTATCCAGGCTGTGCTGGTACTGAAGTGTTCTGACTGACAGTGATTGGCCGGGTTTAGACCCATCCATCCATCCATCCATCTTCTTCCCCTTAATCCATTTCTGGGTCGGGGGGGTGGCAGTCAGAGCTGCACCCAGTACACTTAGCACCAGCCCCTCACTGATCCTCCTGCAGGTGGTGAGTCCACAGGAGCTGAGATCTTTCAGTTGGGGCTTAGGGCAAAGTAGGGTTAAGTGTCTTGCCCAAGGACACAACGACAGCAGTCATCAGTGGGAGTCGTGAAGTAGGTCTTACGGTGGGCTCGAACCCACCAACTGAGCTACTGTCGCCCTTGGGTTTAGACCCAATCAACTCAATTTAAATGCAACATATTTAATCGCAATTTGCACATTAAAAATCCTGATGTGATTACTGGAGGTGGGAATTGGCCAAAATTATTCTATAGTATTGAGATATTTGAGCCATAATAAAAAAATATTGCGATTCTTAACATATTGTGGTACAGCAAGCATTGTGATTTGATTCTGCAATTTATTGCGATTCATGTCGCTCATGTTATTCAAAGGCAAAATAAAAATTTGGAAAAATAAGAATCAACTCAAATGTCACATTTATTTTGGTCTGCACATTAACTGCAGTGCAAAAACATTATCCTTGAACATTCAGGACACAGGACCTTAATACAGGAAATGACCTCATTATTCTCTGAAGGTAACCTCTCACATGAATGGTGAGAGGTAGCTTAAATTATCAAATACAATAGACTAGAGTCACAAAAACAGACATCAAGAGGAACATAAACCACAGCTCTAAGAGATCTTAGAAAAAACATGAAAGTGAAACAGATAATTATTTATCTAAATATCACAATACTTTGCACTCCTATATTGATTTAATTGTGTGCGCAAAAAATTGGATTACTGAACAGAGTAATTTTTTTTCCTCCACCACTATTGATAAGATAAGATAGACTTTATTGATCTCACAACGGAGATAAGTATATTCTATAGTGGGTACATCTTTCCTGGGGGTACTGCAATACCAGGTCGATGTCAGATTCCATCTCCTTCCAAAAATCAATTCAATATATGGTCCCCGGGTACAGGACGTATCAGATATTAAATTGATAAGTGCACTTGATCTTAGCCAATAGGCCGAGAAGTGATGATTACACACCTGATTTCCAAGAACCCCAATGGAACAGGCTGTGGACACCTCCTGTTGCCCGAACCACAGAGATGCCAGTCTAGACGGGATACCGAGAAGGTAAACTGTGGCCAGTGAACACACAAACTGACCAAAGAAGGTCATAGGAAACATGTTTGGCTCTGCGGTGCCCGTTTTGATCCAGGCACCGATGCAGTTGAAGGCCGAGCCTACCAGCACAATGTCCCTGAGGCCACGCTTGTCCAGCAGCCATGTCACAGGCCAGATGAACGGGATGTAGGTGAGGAAGTAGATCATGGAGAGCCAGTCCAGGGCCAGAGAGTCGACACTGTAGAAGTGCATGAAGATGTTGCTGATGATGCTGTACTGGAGCCACATGAAGGCGTTAGTCATGGAGAACAGACAGAAGATCAGGAGCATGAGCCAACGCCGCAGGTACAACTTAGTCTCCATAAGCGGGAAGAGGTTGGTGTCAGAGTCCAGACTGGCACGACCCTGAGCTCCACGCTGTGAAGGATCGTGCTCAGCCAAAGAGCAGCTGCTGTCATTGTCCAGGTAGCAGTCTGTGTCTCTGTGACTTTCAAGCCACGATTTAACACGGCCATCCTTGTCACTCATCTCCTCCCAGCACTGTCAGCTCCTTTCTCAATCTGACTATGGAAAGAAAGAGGAAAGCAGTGTCTTCTAGGGCACATATTTTGCAAGAATAGTCCATTGTAACCCACTGTGTCTGCCTTGTTAAGTAATTTTGTGTTTTTTTTAATTATTATTAAATAACTACATGTGTGATTTTGTGCATTTATTTATACCTGTTTAATGTGATTTGAAGAGATTATGCTAATTATGCGTCTGCTTGACAAAAACTGATAATCTATTGTGATGTGATACAGAACTACATGTATACTTATAATTCAATATGTGTTGAATACAATATTAATGTAATACTATCTTCATGATACTGAATATGTATTGCATACTTTGGGCTATTTACAATTTATTCATGATTGATTGTGCCGTGTATCACATTCACAATTGAGTTATTGATTTTATTTTATTACACTTTTAATCCTATGTAGCATCCTATGTTATGACCCCTTTGATTAAGTACTTTGCACATGTGTAATGATGGAGATGCCTTGTGTTTGATTAACTGAAGGCTCTGTCACATTCTATGAGTTATTTCATAGTTTGTATTTAGTTGTAAAAGGTCTTTGCATTTTATAAGAGATCCCAAAGTCCAAAAAACCTGCTCACTAGTCATCAAGAAAGCAGCTCACTATATTTACAAAAAGTTCTAAGCATGAGTCTCGTCTAGCTACACTACAGATGCATCCACCCAGTGACATGGTCGACATAAGTCACTACATTTCTAGGATTGGAGGCAGGGGGATCATAAACAGCTAAATAACTATCTAACCAAATTAAGTTCTGTATGTATCTAATAGTAAGCTCCCAACTGACGTTGAATACTGTATCACAATAATGGTAATAATAATACTACTGATAATGATAATAATAATAATAATAATGCACATTTAACATGCAAACTTACTTCACTCTCACTCAAGAACGAGCAGAACTCTCTCGACGTCACTGTTGGACGTGACCTACCGAGCGGCACAGAATCCAGCTTTATCAAAGCGAACACATAGTCACTTCAGTCACTTCGTAACTTCAGTAACTTATCCATGGCCTCTGTCCGCGAGCCACCGCGGAAAAAGAACTCACGCGCACAGCGTGACGTCACTTCCTACCTGGACAAGCAGCCCAGTGAAAGTGTTATTACCACTGTGGAGTGTTCTTTTTGTTCTTGTTCTTATATCTGTCAGAGTCCAAGGTCTGCTGTTGCAGTTTTTATCCAAGACAATAAATGTGGGCAAAATGCTCATGAGCTACATGATACTAAAACCTTTAGGTCAGAAATCTAGGAGCCACATCAAATCAGACTTTTAAGTAGAGATGGGATGATGATGCCTCAAGGAGTGTATTGACACATTCTACAAACTTGACACTGTATTGGCACTGTGATGGTCACTCAATGGCGACCTCTTCTATATATGTCAAATCATGACAGGTATACACTATGATGGAAACACGAACATAAACCCAAACCAAATGAGTTGGCATATATAATATAGATAATCTATCTTGAATAATATTCAGAGTAAATGTTTTAAGTTATCCATGGGATTTTGTGATTAATCATATAAAATAACACATAAATAATATTAATTCTTTTTTTTTTTTATTGAGAAACAATCCTTGAGACAAACAGTCTTTGCTCCAGGGCAATTTCTCCTCTTGGAAACTAGTCCCGGACTTAGAAAAACACTTGGTGCGACAGAAAATTCTTTAACGAGCCCGCAGCATGTTGACACAGTTCGCTTCATTAGAAACACAGCACCATAGACTGTACACAGCACATACAAACAGTTTTGGGTGCATACTAAGGGATTGTATACCTTTACTCCTTTGATGAATTGGTTGATTTTAATGTTTATATTATTGATTGATTCAGCAGCCTTGTGTATGAACTGTGCTATATAGATCAACTTACCTCGCCTTGTCTAAACATGACACGTTAATAGGTCAACTTTAATTTTTACAAAAAAATAGACCCTGCTGACCCCATTATGAATTTGCTACCAGCCGAAAAGGTTTATCCAGTCATGAGTTAAAGATTACGGATTTCTCAAGATTTCCCCTTGAAAACCCAAAGACGAGGCCAAAACCAGAAGAGAACTCTGTCTCACCTGATTCCCAAAGACACCGATGGCACAGGAGGACGACACCTCATCCGCGCCGAACCACTCAGACGCCAGTTTTGAGGGTATTCCCAATATGAAGACCTGGGACAGCGAGGATACGGTCTGTCCCAGCACCGTGACCCAGAACAGGTCTTCTCTCGCGCTGCACACTTTGATCCAAGTCCCGGCGCAATTTAAACCATTGGCCAAAAGCGCGCAATAACGCAAACCTTTGTTATCCAAAATCCAAGTCACTGGGAAGATAAAGGGGATGTACATCAGCATATAAAGCATAGACAGACAGTCGATGAAAAATGTGTCCACGTTGTAGAAGTAGCTGAAGATGTTGCTGATGATGCCATATTGTATCCATTGGAACGCGTTGGCCAGAGAGTAAGAACTGAACAAGAATAGTGTTCCCCAGCGTCGTGCGTATAAATGAGTTTCGGGGATGTTGTCCTGGGTGTTTTGGAAGTTTGAGAGTTCATGCGGAGTTTTTTCATTTGAACTCGCGGTTGAGTCCTTAACCTCATCCATCTCTTATGATAGCATCTCATTCGCAAAAAAATACTAGTCACCGCTTCAGTTGCAGCGACAATTCTGCTTGAAAGGGAACCAATAGAAATGACTCAACTTGCAACAGGTCCAAAGGGGACGGGCTACGTGCGGCATTTATAATTCTCACATCAACAGCTGAAGGGAAAGTTTGTGCTGTTTGATCTTAAAGCTGCAAATCTGAAACCTCTGAGCTAATGACTTATTACCCTAGTATCTTGCAAATTGAATTGTAATTTCTGCTTGATAAATGTATGGTCAATTGGTCATGTATCAATACTTTTATTTTGCTGTTTTACAACAACCTGCTCAGAGACTACAGGTGTAAATCAGCACTGCTGCTATAACCTGGTAATAAGCATCTCTCCTCTTTGCTAATATTTATTGTGAAAATAAAAATAGTACCATTTCACTAGTGCAAAGGCCGGAAACCTTTTTAGCTAAGAAAGCCTAAAAGTCTCATATTTTCAAATGTGTTTCTGTGCGAGCCATGCATTTTTTTTCTTTTAAATTGGAACACATTTAGAGTGTAATATTAGTCTCTAAATGTATTCATCCATCCCCATCCATTTTCTTCCGCTTCATCCGTTGCTGAGTCGATGGTGCTCAAGTATAATCAAGATCTGACTTTTTTGCAATGAAAACAGAGTGAGTAAAGTGTCACAATGGAAACATGACTAAGTCATTTGACTGTGTTGTTCATAAACACTGGTGTCAGGACATTATTTTGAGACACAGTTTCATTGACATGAAGACTTGCTTTTGAGGAATTAACTTTTCATTTTGAGAAAGTGATGCACTTTTGCAGGTTATCCACAAGGTTCTGCAGTTTGTACTAATTGTTCAGAGAAATGCACTAACTTTTGTGCAAATGTGAAGAGTGATGTGAGAAATGCACCAAAGCAACTGAGAAAAACTGTAAAAAGGTTTGATATAACAACATACCTAACAAACATTGTTGTGAGTCTGCTTCGCTCATAAGACAGAGGTTGTCAACGTTGTCATACAAAGCTTCTTGAAAGCAGTGCAGGGAACACAATACCTGCAGAATACACCCAGTACTATTAGGTTTCTGCACTTTTGTTAGGCTGAGCTTTTTCTGAGAGCCTCAAGGGAACTTTTTTATACCTGTTTGGTCTCTCGAGTGACATCAGAGAGTGGAATGGAATTGGGGAAAAAAAGAGATTAAACAGGATTATAACTCAGAAAGGTGAACACATGAATTATTTCTCTAATCACAAAGAGCTCCTTTTAGACAGTAGACACAATGACGTGCCGATTTGATATTGATTTGAAAAAATGTCTTTAAACAATGGAACAAATAGCATTTCAAGCACAGATATAACAAATGTATCTCTTGAATCATTAGCAAATCTTGGATAATTTCTATGATTTTTGGCATTTTTGTTGTTTAGTGTTATACCTATAAAACAATACATCATTATGTATTAATGCAAAGAGTTGCACTACTGTAAGTATCCTTTGGGACTTTAAGGAGGGTGGCAAGCTACTAGACCCATATGGTCATTTCCCATATAAGTTTCAAAGCTGAATACTGAATCTAACTTAATAATACTCATGTTAAATTCTGTGATTTTATAAAAGAAAAGAAAAAGAAAAAAATATCTGCCATCTTTTACATTTACCCGGAAACTGATGAAAAATATTCAGTTCTGTCCGAATGATTTTAAACCTTTGATTTGCTTTTATCATTAAATTATGTGCGTGTATATATATATATATATATATATATATATATATTATATATATTTATTATATGACTTGCTAGTTATCAAGCGGTCAGCAAACTCTTAAATAAGCTGGCCAGCACAAAAAAGACTTTTGAGGGCAGAGTGGGGATGTCGGGGGTTTGGTAATAATGACAAGAATCAATGAAATATTAATAATATATATGATGTTAATTCATTAATTTGTGGTTGTTGTGTAGCTAACAAATGAATACATAAAAAGTCTGGCAAATTTCTTGGGAACGAGCTTATTTTGTGAATTAGGAAAGAGCCCTGCCTGAAATCTCATAGTTGACCAGTAGGTGACGTAAGAACCAAAAAAACTGAGCGCAAAGTGATTAAGTGAATATATAGAGCAGGGGTCTCCAAATTTGTTTTGCAGTCGTAATAAAACTTGTCTACGTCAGCGTTCCCCGACCTTTTTGAGCCGTGGCATACTTTTTCCAGTAAATACAATCACATGGCACAATATCAGCTGAAACTGGTACAAAAAGGAATCATGCAGCCACGATTATAAATGGAAAGTCCTTTTACATCACAAATGTTTATACAGCGAATCAAAGCACAAAAAAGGCTTTCTACGGGTAATAAAAAAAATAAAATAATTCACATTACTTTGATTAACGTGTTGAAAAACACTGTTCTGTGTAATAACTGCAGATATCATGGACAGCAGTTATTATACTTAATTGTATAGTAAAGTGTAATCATTTAGGACCAAGTGTCTAATTTCTGAAAACTAAACTACCTGAAACGGGTTGGCGAGCTGGTTGGCGCTAGCCAATTGACAGAGTATAAACCAAGTACATTTAAAGACTATGGTATAAATGGTATAAACAAACATTTATTATTGAGGGATACAAAAAGATTCTTTAGATTGCTTCATGTTTGAGAAACCATATACCAAAAAGTAAAGAAAAACACACTAATATTAATAACAAAACAAACAGGCTATATATAATTGTAAACATTTACGTATATATTTATATAGATATGTGCATATGTGACGCCTGCGCCAGTCAACAGAAATGGTATGAGTGTAATCACTATATATTGGCCTTTCCGACCAAATGCATAAGTGTGCTTTTACAAATGTAATAATAGTTTCTTCCTTAAGTTTTTGAACAAACAAACATTGTGAAACTGTAACAAGGTAAATACTCTCAAGTGCAAGGTTCAAGAGATGCAGACGTTTGTTTCGAAAGGTAGTTTTGCATCAATTATCAACGTAACCAAAGTGAAAGTACACCCTAATGTGTTTGTGCTTACCCATCACAGAGAAGCATTAGCATGTTTAGTCTTTTCCAGTCAGTCAGTATAAATTCTTTGGCTTCATTCATACATGTTTAGTTCTTGTTCGGCCTGAAGCTAAGTGCTGGTAGTTGGCGGTTCCTTCCTCGTCTGTGAATGTCATTCGTCCTCCAGCTGCTGCAGTAAAGGGTTGGTCTCGCTCTCCGGCGTTTTCACACTGTCTGTCCGGACTATACATGTGGGGCGGTGACGGTTCAGCATTAGAATCAGCTGCTGGCGTTCCATTTTCAGCTCCTCGATCTGTGCTTTCAGGCCTGAGTTCAGCATCTCTAGTCTCTCGGATTCCTGTGAGAAGGAGACGCAAAAGGACAAGGGCATACTGTCAATAAAACAAAATCTGCGCCATAAGATAAAATAAAAAGATAAGATACTCCTTCATTGTCTCCCATAGGGGAAATTCGCCTTTAGACAGGGGTTCAGATAAGATACATTTCAGATGAATGGAATATTTAATGATGTAGTCTGAAGAGACTAGTGGATTATCAGATCAGGTGAATGGCATGTGTACAGACTCAGCAGTTCTCATTGTACAGTCTGACAGCAGGAAAAGACCGGCAGAAACTCTTATTCACACATTGAGGGCTTCACATGCTTACACCACATACATTTGCATACACTGCAGTAGACAGAACAAAAGAAAAAGAGTTAAGTGCGGTTCATACTTTCTGTAGATAATCTGTTCTTTCCTTCTTCTTGTTTCGACATCTCGCTGCAGCTACTTTGTTTTTTTCTCGCCTCCTTTTCCTCCTGTCTTCTTCCTCATCTCTCTGGAAGAAAAATAAAGAATAATTCAATTACAATTATTTTTGTATAGTCAAAATGGCCAGGTCAAAGATAGCACAAGGGTAACAGCAGTTATCTCGGAGGACTTTACAAAGTTGTTGATTTGCCAACACAAATAACACAGAAACACAGAAAATCAGAACAATTCAAACACAGGAAAACCACAATAAAAAAACACATTCAGGGGCAGATGATCAATTATTGCCCTAAATCATCACCACTGTCCTTAGATGCTCCTGTATCAGCAGGGAACACCTAAAAAAACTCAGTGGTAAATAAAAGCCGACAATAAAAACAATGGTATCTTCTACTAAAAAAACCTATTGGATCAGGCATCTTTTTAACGATGATTGGTCAAGACTAGTCTCAGTCCTAGTTTCTATGTGTATTTTGCTTGTTTGACCTTGCAAGTCCTCCCATTTAGAAAGATGACTGTAACGATAATATGTATTCATGTAGATTATAATGTAATTATTATGTAATGTATGTTTAAAATTGTTTAAATTATATTCTTTGTGCCTGAAAATAAACACAAAAAGAGCAATTCAACAGTGATTCAAGTTTTCCCCCCAAGGCCCAACTCTGGTATTGGTTTATATTGAGAGTAAGAAGACCAGTACTGGACAGGAAACATGCAAAACTGAAAATAAATCGCTCAATTTCCTTAAATGTACACAAAAATAGGCATACAATTCATACAATTTCTTTAAATTACTACTATATAAGTGCACACAAAGCACACGTCCCTATTGAACTGCATTGAGCTAGCGGGTTAGCATTGTCTTCCCCTATTCACACGAGAAACTTTTGGTTGGCTTGCTTAATTAAAACTACACATGTTTACTTGATCAGTTGGATGAAAATCAAAAATATTAAACATCTACAATCCACTGATCTGATGAAGAGGGGAAAAGAATTTGATAATATGAAAGCTTGTTATGTTTAAACATTTTACAGAGCCAAGATTACTCTTCTATTATGGAGAAGATCTAGACATTTCTTTCATACCTCTGATTTGATGACGAGGGGTCTCTTTCCTAAACTTCCCAAGATGTGCAGGGGAGAAAACAACGTCCCAAAGTCTTGGAGGTCACCATACTTGAGCTTGTCCGTCAGTGTGGTGGCCGAGATCCCAGCGAGGGGCCCGAGGCTGGGCAAGGAGCCTGCTGTCACAGAGGGATCCGGGATTTGTCCAGGCATGGTGTCGGACTGAGGCGTGACCACAGCTGAGTTAGAGAAAGCAAATGGTAAAAACATGAAAAAAAATCCATTCACATGCAGTCTTTACATACATGAAAATTAATATTTAGACAATGGCTACTGCAGTGAGAATATAGATTACGATTTCCTTAATTTGTCTGAAAGAGAGGACATTTCAGTGTTGTATCACAGGTTACAGGAGGCGCACACAATGTTAGGAGAATGTGATACTACTGTACATGTTAGCAGCATGGCTGGGTAAAAAACCCATATTGCACATTCTGACATTATTGCGCAATATTGCACAGATGTATACAGTATACATCATTAGCCAACAACAATTGTAGCATTCTTGTGGCCAGGCCATTGGTCAAATAGAAAGCGGAAGTTTGTCTTCAGTGCGGCATTCACCTTACGTAACTTTGTCATTCTGAAAGACAACTGCAGTGATACTATGCAGCCTTCATCGCGCGGGCTTTTCTCTTTTACAAGTTATTTTAAAACAAATCACTTCAACACATTCAGGAAGAACACATCTCACTGGGGAAAAGGAGAACAAGAGAACGCTGTGTCCCGAATGAGTTTTCACAGCACGAGTCCAAACGAACATGCAGACAAAAGAATGTCCAATGTCAAATAAAGCACACAGATCGCCTTGAGTAAGAAGGGTCAAGAAAGACAACACGAAACATGTCTTTAATGAGAAAACTAAAACATAACGGCTGTCTCTTCGCTTGTCCTAATGTGTGGTGAACTGTGCAACAATACTGCGTTCGCCTTCTGAAGTTTTTTACAAACCTGACTTGGATCCCGTTAGCAACAAATGCCCTTTCTTCTGCTCAGCTGCGGGTCGAGAGTAGATTTTAAAAAGTGGGAATCGTTGCATCAGCTCGATTTTTCAAATGTGCTCCAAATCTGGGAGGATTTGGGAATGCGGAAATCAGACTGTGCCAGCCAACGCGAGCCAGGGATGTAAAAAGTGCACAGAGGGGGCAGAAGTGGGGAAGTCGCACCGCTCCTCCCAGAACTGATGCTGCGATCCTTCATACTGCGATCCTTCATACTGCGATCCTTCATACTGCGATCCTTCATACTGCAGCCGACAATTCACCTCGTACATGCGGCCGATCCAAACATTGAAGCAAGCGTTGTCCGACCTATGGCCCGTGGGCTTTTCGCGGCCCGCTCAGTCATGTTATGTGGCCCTTCTCCTTGCTAACACACAAACATTTACCATTGAGATTATAAACACTTGGCTTTAGCTCCGTCAAAATGGAATGCTACTTTTTGCTAATGTTGTATGCTAAAGTTAGATATATTATTTTATTCTCTTAGAGTTATTGTTAATTTATCTTGTGTTGTGTTCCTGATCTTTTTACTGGTCTGTAAACGGTGATGCAACACTTGAATTTCTCCACTGCGAGACAAACAAAGAATTTAATTCTTAATTTAATTTTAAGCTTGATCTCACAGTAAAGTTTAGAACCTCTTGGAGTCATTAATGTGTATATTCTGTCAATTGTGTTTGATTATAAGACAAGGCAAGTTTCTTGTAAAGTTTATACACAAGGCAACTCTAAAATTAATAACTACAGTACATTAAAAAGAGTGGAGATAGCTAAAACCTAATGTAGCTGGTGAGAATGTAAATATTTGTCATCCAGCCAACTTCATTTCTGTCAAATATGAATCAACATGGTCATGGTGGCAGTCTTCCTTTTCAAGCTCAGAGTAGGTCGACTCCAGTCAAAACGGTTTTATAATCTGTGTTGTTCTGAAGAAATTATCTTGCCCTTTTTAAAAATGGAGGAGCACAGGGACTGGTCTCCTGCTGATGCCCTGAGTCGGAACTTAAATGCTGCCTCCCCATTTTAAAAGGATTCTGTCTTCACTATTCAGTGATTATTTATGGGCTAATTATTTCTTGTTTTGTTAAGCACTTTGAGTTGCCTTGTGTATGAACTGTGCAATACAAATAAATGTGCCCTGCCTTGCCTAAAGCAAGAAGCAAGCAGAGAATCACAAAACACTGTTTTCAGCATACATTTATTATACATATTCAGCAGAATTGATAAGCAATCAGTGCTGTTTTGAGTTAACAAATAAGTACAATCCGAAGGGTAAAAAAATAAAGAATAAGGTACATCTTGATAGATATAAAGTACTGTAAATAGCACTGGATGTTTTCATGGAAAACTTTAAACATTTTAACAATGAGGTCAAACCACAATCAATGACATTGAGGTATGCAATTATTTATGGATGGATGCAATAGAACATTTACAGCAATACACTGTCAATACTATAAACACAATACTGTAACACTGATGTCAATATTAGATAGATCTAGTGAAAGATCAAATATATGAGCCTCAGAATTATTTGATGTCCTCAGCATGCGTTTTTAAATTACATTGTCAGTCCCCCTTGTACAAGTGAAAGCCATGCTTGGAGCTACATCACTTCCTTTTTTGCTATATATCTGGATAAAAATATGTAATATGTTTGTGACACACAAGACGGTGTGTTACAGCATACTGTGGTATATCTTACTCATTTCAACAATTAGACAGCTGTGAAAGTTATGTTCCTTCCATTTATAAAGCTAGAAGAGTAGGAGAGTTGAGAATATCTACAGACTCTCCTTTGCCTGAACCAGATTTATGGTTTTCCAGTTCGTCGGTGAGTGAGTCCAGCTCAGGACATGCAAATGTAAAGACAGACAGGTAGCTGCTGCAGGTGGGAGTTGAGGTCACTACAGGAGTGCTGAGAGGCTCCAGATCATTAGAAACAGACTTGTACAAAGTTTCCCAGTCCGACACACCGAGAGAGCTGCTCAGATCAATGTCTGGCACCGACCGAGCGGTCTCCATAGGAATCTTTTCCTCCAGACTTGGTAACACATTGTCCAGGAGTCCTTCCTTAAGGTCCAGCGATGGTTCGAGATCGCATATGTTGATTTCAGCACTGGAGCACAGCAGAATGTTTGAGTTCCCAGAAATGGCAGTGGACGGATCACTGGGTATATCCATGTCTTGTAGTGAAGGAGCCTCTTGGATGCTATCCTCTGGAAGTCTGTCCTCGTCTGCACTCGGGAGGAGCTCGGGAGATTCTGTCGACTCCGGGAAAATAGTCTCCATTTCCTCTGACATTTGGCACACTGGTTTATGTGTTGCAAGGATAAATTCAAGGCGTTCTTTTTCTTTGAGGAGGATGGCTATTTCGGTCTCCAGCGCCGCTTTCTCCTCCTCCAGCTTGTCGGTCTCCTTTACATAAACAACATCCAGATTCATCCACATGAGAAACACACAGTAGGTGTAAACGATGACTGACTAAATGCATCACTGTTTACTTACAGCTTGCAGTGTGTCTGTCAATTCCCGCCGTCTGTTGCGACACTTCGCTGCAGCCATTTTATTCCTCTCCCTCCGTATCCTCTTTTTCTCCTCCTCTTCTGGAGAAAGCTACCATATAAAAGAATGGTTTTTGTTACTTTCATTTCAACTAGTACTTCATACCTCGATGGCAAAAGTATGTTCTGCAGCAATGCGTCTAAAAATAGACCATTGTTGCAGACTTGCTGTGACCTGAATACAAATTGCTTGGCTAAGAACGGCACACAGCCAGCCCACAGCACCCAGAGAGCATGCACAATAGCACTGTTGCACACAAGGAATTCAGACGGACACATTTACATTTACAATACTGATGCTTGTGCTTGACTAATCTACCTTCTCTGCTTTTCCCTTTCTGACAGATGTCTTTCCTTTACTCCCGCCCGCTTTGGGTGTTGCCTTGCTGGAGCTTTGCAGTTCATTGGCTTGTTTGTTTCCCAGAGATGGAGAGGCAGATGTAATAATGGTTGGCTGCACCATCCACTGAAAGTCTGGGGTAGAGGAAATTGCAGTGACTGTAGGAACAAATGGAGTGTCTTGACCCACCTCCTGAAATACATTAAGAAAAGCATCCACGTTTGTGGCATTAGTGCTACAAATTCATTACAGGGTTAAATGAATAATCCAGAAATCATAAGACTGTGTAAGATGATGGTTTCCTGTTACCAATTACACCTTGAAATATATCCGACCAGAAATAGCACCTTCAGATCAACATTTGACTTTATCATTGTCTCTGACGTCAACCCTGACGCAGAGCTGCTGTGGAGTCTCCTGAATGGATTTATTTTTCTCAATGAACCGCTGCATCGCCGCGCTCACATTTGATCCCAGGACGTCAGAATCATAACAAAACCCCACGCACTGGTACTAGCATCGTTATCACAGTTAACAACATGCCGTCTTCAGGAATTGTACCAATACAGCAAATACGATTAATGACAATTAACACATATATAATTAAGCTAAAGCCGTAAATGAAAACCATTTCAATCATGCCACCATCCCCCACACAGAAGCTACCTGACAGTTCAAAGAGGCTTATTTTAAAGCTGATGTGTGTGGAAAAGACAATACCTTTGCGCTGTTTTCAAAGGAGGAGGAGGAGGAGGGGGAGGATGGAGAGCTCGCATCCTCCGGTGTCTTCTGGCCCACTGCCCCGGTGGGAGAGTCTGGCCGGCTGCTGGAAGACATGGCATCCATGTCAGACGGTGGTTTCGTAAAACACAACAGATGAGATATCCTCCTGATAGGTATCCAATAATGCGCTGTCTGTCCACGGGCAGAACGCACGGGTTCTCCTCCAGGTATATACCTGGTAACTGGACGACAAGAATGCAAGCCCCTCCTTTTATTCTCTGCTAGAATTTTATGAATGAACCAAGACTATACCATGCACCGAGGGGAGGGGTGCACAGTAAAAAAAACGTACCCCAGTTTGACAGGAACGCCTCCCGCCCCCTTCCCCCGGACACATTGTATTCATATAGACACAAACATTGATAAAAAAAACATTTGGAAGATTCATTGTTGAAAAGAATTGTCGATTTTTACAGAACACAATGGAACCTTCCGTTTCATTCACAATGTCGTCTTCGTCAAATGTGATGTGAGGGGCTCAAATGTGAGAAACGTGAGCCTATTTTTATCCTTCTCAAAGCAAAATGCTCTGAACAAAGGAACGACACACGCGTTTGGATTAGTCCCATAAAACCACCACACACGTCCACTGTAGCTAATATCATGTCAAATAAAGCTTATTTTCATGCAAGGTGAAGGCACAGTGCGAGTTCCCATCCTGAGTCTTTCGCAAAGAATCAGAAGAAACCCACTGTAAATATGGCCTGGTTGGAAAATCTGTCGTGAGTGGGCGAAAGCAGGCATGTTTCATTGTTTATTTTATGAGGAGAAAAGCTGCCTGATGCGTTGGCTCGGACCAGTCACGTGGAATTATGCAGAACACATCCTTGTCCACGTGCGTCTGTGTGCTTGTCCGTGCATGTTTAACTGATTTATTTCCGTACAATCTCGACCATAACTAAACCATAAAGGGAAAAAAGAAGAAGAAAAAGAAGACTACTGGTACCCATCCAACCCACCCCTAACTCCCCAGGGAACCCATCTCAGTAAATAAACAGTAACACACCAACTTATCTATTTCCAAGCTTTATACAACCGCCTGAGCTTTAGTAGATTGGGTCTTGGTAGTTCCTGAAGAAGAAAAGAAAAGTATTCACAGCCTATATGATATAAACTATTAGGAAATATACATGAAAGCATTTGCTATGACAGATACCATGTCCTCCTTGTCTGTGTGATTGAGGTCCACAAGTGGTGCAATAGATGGACGTCCGTGGGCACACTGGAATGGCAACTGGCACTGTGAGAGCGATGCTACCAGGCTGAAGCACTCATCTCTACTCAGGCTGTCGTTAAATTTGATCGCACCTGTAGAGAATGCATTATAAGTCTGTAGTAAAAAACAGAGAGGCTAAAGAGACGCTATAGCCGTCTGTCTGTTAGGGTTGTTCCTTGCAGGTACAGGAGGGTCTAAGGACAGTGGTGAGGATCCAGGATACTTGACAATCAACATAATTTATGGACATTTATCAATATGTATGGGTATTGGTCATGTGCCCCTTATAGAACAATGGCACTGTGTTTTTTTGCATTTCTTCCATCCATCCATTTTCTACCCTTTAATCCATTTCTGGGTCAGGGGGGTGGCAGTCAGAGATGCCACCCAAGTCTCATAGCACCAGCCCCTCACTGACCCTCTGCAGGTGGTGAGTCCACAGGAGGACGGCTGCTCTCTGAGTGTGAGCATAGCCTTGATCTTTCAGTGGGGGCTTTGGGCAAAGTGGGGTTAAGTGTCTTGCCCAAGGACACAACGACAGCAGTCATCAGTGGGAGTCGGTGGAGAAGGTGTAGAGGTGGGAATTGAACCCACGACCTTCAGGCCTTAAGGCCAATGCTCTACCAACTGAGCTACTGTCGTTTTGTTTTGTTCTCAGAGATACTATAAGAATACATTTGATTGGATTGAATTGAATTAAATGAGGAACATACCATGACATGCAAAAGAAGCCAGCACTCTCTGCACAGTGAGCGGCAAAGTTGCGCCCAGTCTCCCCGCGGACCGGAGCAACTGGGGGAAGGAAAGATAGAAAAATAAAAGAAAAAAAACCCACAAAAAGCAGCAGCACAAGAACATGCTGTTCATGAGATACCTCGATTTGCTCCCGAAGATACTCCTGGCAAGCACAGAGGTGAGTGAGTTTGTTGATACATTTCTATTGAGGGAAAAAAAGAAATAAAAATGTACCTCGACTAAAGCTTTTATAACTGAAGGTCTTCCTCGTCTTCGTTCATTATTATCCTTTTCTGTAAAGCACATAGGTACTTTTCCTATAAAAACCCTAGAATCCTCCATCAGTGAGAATGTTACTTCCAGCCCCAGATCCTGTAGATGTGCTTCACAAGACCTGTGGAAATATGCGTTATGTTTGTGCTAGTTCTGGGATTATCAATAGAAGTAAGCTCACCTAAGTATTCTTTGATCTTCTACAGGTAAGCAAACTTCCAGAGGTGGTGAAATAATGGATGAAGACAGCCTCTTGTCTCCTGATCCTTCTTCATAAGCATCTAAAGTTACAGATGACACTAGCACTTTGATTTGAAACTATTTATAAATGTATCAAAATATCGTTGATTTACCAGCTATAAGGTTTTCAAGTCTGACACGTTCATGTGCAGCATGTTGATCCACGAGCACCAAAAGGTTTCCTGCTTTTCAAATGTACAGGCAATAAGAATAAAGTTACAAAATCCATTTATCCCTGTGAGTCAAATTACAACTTACTTACAACTGTATCTCTATTTCCACCCCTCTTCTCTCCTCTCCCCCCCTCCCCTCTTCTCCTCTCCTCTCCTACCCTACCCTTCCCTACCCCAATCTAGTCTAATCTACTCATTTTTGTTCTAACTGCCAGTCATTGCTTTCAGCACCACCCTGGTCCACCCCCCCAAAAAAAAAACTTTTGGATAAATAGAATAACCTGTAAGTGCTTCCTTGTGTATGAATTGTGCGATACAAATAAACATGCCTTGCTTTCTGAACTTTTTTGACCTCTTTTAATGTTTTTGTAATGAAGTGGTTTTGGATAAGTACCGTGGTTTGCAATGAATACACCATTATTGATCCTTGTGTATATTTACAATTGTGTTACGTACAGTATGCGATAAATCTCACCATTTGATTCACCAACGGTCAAGTCTTCTCTAGTATTAAGGAGACAAGCGAGAAACTTCTTATCCACTTGATTGATTACCTAAAATACACAAGTATATTAATAATCATCATCCATTCAGCTCTACTCTACCCTGATTGGGAGCGGCAGAGCTGTTGAACTGTTTGATTCTCTGATCTGTGTTGGCGAGCCGAGTAGAGTAGAGCCAAGTAGGGCTGGTGTATTGCACCAGTACCTTCATAGTGGGGATCATGGCCTTTGAGAACCGATAGGGAAATAAAATGTTGTGGACCTTCACAGCCAGTCCGTCTGCCTGACCACATGATATATCCACACCAACCTGAAAGCAAAGAAAGCTCAGCGAGTTTAATCAATTGTATTTTTCAACTCAAACCACTCAAATTAAATTAATTTTTTTCGCTCACGTTTGGAGGTTTGACAAAGACTGGATTATTCCATTTTGAGTATATTGAATAAAGAGAATTGCCCCTTCCACTGTCATCATCATCACCTTGAGAAAAGAGAATTGGAGCAAAATTATCATTATTGTAATTTGTGTGAGTCTTCAATCTCTGTCTCTACCTGTCACTCTGTCATCATGCCCTGACCAACAAACTCTTTCTGTCCTGGATTTGGGCAAAAATGGTAGCACTACATCCATATGAAAAGGATAGCATATATATTCCATCCCTATGTTTCAAAAGTAGAGCTGTTGAACTCTTGGTCATACAATCTTTGATTGCAATTTCGTCTACTCACCTGCTTCAGACAACACACTGACGGCCATCGTGGTTACATCTGAGGTGCAACGAGTTTGGTCACTTCCTGTTGAGGGTTCTTCGTAACTGCTGAGTCCGGTGACGTTGTTCACATACACCGTCTTTCCGATAGATGAATCGTAGTGAGGATTCCAATTGTCCAATATGGTTTTCTTATCTTCTTCTGTAGGGTTAGGAGCTGACTCAATGTCAAGGTGGCAAGAGAAGTCATTTCTCTGAGCTAAATTGTCTGTGATGCTGAGTTGGTTGGTCTCTGTAACTGGCAACTGTGAAATACTTGGGTCTTTTTTGCCTTGTTTCATTTGGTAGAGCTTGGATGCTATAGACTTCTTCACTTTGTCAACAAAAGTGGGAGGTTTTAGTGGCATTAAAGTGGGATTCAGAGGATTTGGAGGACAAACACATTTGTTTTTAATGGTCTCTGTCTTGGCGTCATGGCGATTTCTCTCACAGTTTGAATTATGGTTGAGATCCTTACTGGTACTACTTTCAGGAACGTCAGAAGCGTCCGGAGGTTTATTATGAATTCGTCTAAATTGGTCTAGAGACTGAGAGATGTTGGATAAGGAAACTAGCTTTCTGATCTTAATGGGAACTGGTCTGTGGAAAGATTCTTCCCAAAGTCTCTTCTGGCTGTTTTCTAATGAAATTTGCTGTCCAGTAAGTTTACAATGTTTGCCAATGTCAAGGCTTTTGTGGACAAAGGGATCTAACAAAGTGACTTTCCTTGTATCTGTGGAACTGTGAGATGCAACAGATGTAGGACACTCCGCACTGTTTGAGGTTTGAACTTGTAATTTACAACTTTTAAAAAGCTCTGTCTGTTGAGTTGCATTTCTGATTTTTTCTTCCGTTGCCTCTTCTCCTCCACTGTTACACCGCATATCTAAATCTACCACAACACATTTCTCTGTAGGTGCTTTTGAATCCTTATTATTTGCAGAATCTTCAATCTGCGTCAATGTATTTTCTTCCTGTTTTTCCCTATCATTGTCTTTACCGTCCATCTGATTGTCAAAATCATGAGCATGGCTTCGATAAACAGATTCAGATGACAGAACTGTTTCTATTTTAGGAACATTACTGATCGAAACTACGGTCTCTGCATTAGTATTGTCTTGGTATTGATCGACAATGTCTTTCTGTGGAGACTCACTTTCTAGATCATCTAGGGAGAATACAACTTCTAGGTTCTCCCTTTTGAGAAAATCTTTTACACTCTCTTCAATGCAATTTACAAGATCATTCCAGTCTTTGAATTCAATAAGACTTTTGGCAGGCTCTAAACATACATCATATTCAGTATAAGGACATTTAATATCAACAATAAATACTCCATAAAGGTCCTGGCTACGTTTGAACTTTGGACTTCTGTTCAAGTGGCTCTCCGGACTGTCTGTTTTCAGATTCATGCTGGTTAGTCTGCGTAAAAGAGCATTGAGGAGCTTGTGTATACGCGTCTTCTGCAGCAATCTCTTATTAACATAAAGAAACTGTAGGCTATTGTTATAATGCACTTCTTTGCCAATGTAGCCAGTGACTTCAAATTGTCCACTGGTGTAGTTTATTTCTCCCAGTTTCTGTGCACGGGAAAGACTGTGGATCTGGGCAAACCTGTAATAAGTGTTTCTCGCTTTGGGAAGCTGCACCACCATGGCTCCTGTACAGTCATTCTTTAGAGTAAAGGACACAGAGGGGTGCATTAAAGAAATGGCTTCAACCCTTTGTCGGATCCTCTCATTCTCCAGGACTGAATCCATTCTCTTCCTGCGGACTGGCATGTTGTAGAAATAGTTACAAACTGTGATTGTAGTTCCCGACGAAGGCCTGCTCGTCTCTGCTTCAAACACATCCAAACCAACGCCTTCTTTATACATCTTCACATGAGTTTTCATCGATTCTTTTGTCCTGGATGATATCTCAACAAGAGTGGCAAGGGTGACCATACTTGCAACAGCCTCCCCCCTGAAGCCATAAAACCTGAGATCTTCCAAGTCCTCCAGGGAGTTGCATTTGCTTGTGAAGTATCTTTTACCAACACATTGAATATCCTCAGCACTTATTCCCTTTCCATTGTCAATCACTTGTATTTTGAAGGCGTCCATGTCCATTCTGACACCAATACAAGTAGCTCCAGCGTCAATGCTATTCACTACAAGCTCCTCCACACATTGTTGTAATGAAGGAAGTGCCACACCAGAGCGAAGTTTTCCCTGCACCTCTACGGGTAAGCATTTAATCACAGCGTGTTGCATTTTTTTCCCAGGAAAAGTTAGCAAACGTTCAAAACATGCAGGTCAGATGGTGGAGACTAGCTAGGTTAGCGGTTAGCATTAGCATCCTTTGACAGCGGAGTACACATTATCGCGTAAAAATAAGGACAAGAAGACAAAAAATAAATAAAACAAATGCAGCTGGAGCATTTGTTTACAGTCAACAACAGCGCCGTGATGGTCAGGAAGTTGTAAAAAGCCAAACCCGAACAGTGCTGCCGTCGTGTGGTGTGGCGCGGCTGACGAGTCTCCACAGCGACATGGTGTGGTAGAATGTAGAACTGCAACGCCTTTTTCAACTGTGCTCATTTTAAGTGTGCATCTACTATAGACACACATTAACATTATAAATGTATTACTTTGGTTTTTGCGTTGTATTCCAACATTTATACATACAATTTGGCCCCTGAGTGTGTGTTTCTAAAAAGCACACTAAAGATGAGTGCAGGCGGGGTGGCATTACTACAAACGTGAATCATACTTCAAATAGTTAGACATATCTGTCTCCATTAAGAATGTCCTATTTCACTGGAATCAAGCAGGTAAATGAAGTTTCCTGTTTTTAATATAAAGAACAAATTAGAGAAAGACACATTTGTTAACTTAAACAACTTAGGCTCAAATTGAGAAGTTCAAGTATCTCAGGTGTTGTTAACGAAAGGGGGAACTGGCAGGGATGCGTTCACTGTATTTGGGTGTTGTGGTGAAGAGGGAGCAGCATCTGCAATCAGAGCTGTCTCAGTGTTTTAGTGATGAGAGTGCTAAGCTGAAAGGTATGCCTTTCGATTAAGCTCTCAATTAACAGCTTGGTCTATGTTCCCACCCTGAACCTATGGTTGTGAGCTTTGAGTAGTGACTGAAAGGATGAAATACAAGATACAAGTGCTCCCTTAGATATAGGGTGAGGGGCTCAATCACGCAGGAGGAGCACAGAATAGAACTGCTGCTTCTAAATGTCAAGAGAAACAAGTTGAGATGGCTTGGGCATCTGTTTCGGATGCATTCTGTATCAGAAACGCCTTCTTGGGGGGGTGCTCTGGGCATGTCCCACTGGGAGGAGACCAGGGGAAAACCCAGGACACGCTGGAAGGACTGGTCTCAATTGATCTGGGAACAACTCAGGATTCCCCTGGATGAGCTACAGGAGGTAAAGCGTGGAGCAACAGATAAGACTGAAATGGCTCATTTGTTTCCGTGCCAGAGGATAATTGGTACACCATAGTAATAACATAGAAGCAAATGCATAAGAAAAAATTTATCATTTTATTATTAGCGTTTTATGTTCAGTTAATTCATAGTGTGACTTGCCACTTAATAAATAAATAAATAGTATGCTACAGTGGGTCAGTAGAAGTCAAAATTCATATTGCATTACCTCAAATTACTTTCTAATGTCAAAGGAGGAATGCGACAAGCTTTCAATAGTTTTTTCATTGTTGAATTCCGCCTTTGTAATGTGTGACTTTGGGCTCCCAGTAGATCTTAACCATTCTTGCATTTCTTTCACTTTGCTTTTGGGGCCTTCCAGTTGTCCCTGAACAGTTCCAGCGCTTGTATTTCGGACCCAGCCTACAAGACCAAGCTTTCGCCCTTCTGCCTGGAAAATAGGAAACCTGCAATTAACTTCAAATCATGACATGACACTCATGGTTTCAGCATCTGGTTAAATAAGATTGTAACTCTTTCCTATGTTGGCTTTAATTCTTACATGTAAAATAAAATAATGCTTTGTTATCATTATTACCTCTTTCCCAATCTTGCAATTTTAGACAACGTTTAACACGCTAGGTATTTATTTCAAAGATACTCCATCTAATCCCCTAAATAATCATGAGTGGAATCCCGTTGTTTTTGGAGTTTTTTTTTCCGATCATTCACCAAATGTGAAGTGTAGTAATAAAATACTAAAGACCACATCCAGGGGTTATAATAAATAAGCTTGAAGACAAATATATGGTATGCAGTTTTCACAGCGTTTTATTACATAAGCCATATACCTATGTACATGGACATTGGAATGCCATTGTAAACATTTTGAAACAAAAAGTTTCTTATTCATGAAGATAGCATTTTGCATGTATAATGAATACATTTGTGATGAAATAAAAAAATCAGATCTTTGCCATATTCTCTTTTGAAAGTAAAATTATAATCAAGAGGCTTCATAATGAATGTACTGAAGTCCTTCTAGAATGAGCTGAGAGCAGCTCTAGAGGTTTCCACAAAAACAACACCTTACAACTGTACTGTTAATTTTTTGATATTATGAAACAATTAAACCATTATCACCGATGCCAGTTAGTAAAGAATTTTAGATTTACGTATAATGTCTGACGACATATTACATATCTGAGGTTAGGGGATGTTAGTCTGGGGATGGATAACCTTTGACCTTGAATAGCAGCAATGGGAGAAACCGTTTATAATAGCATTTAAGTACAGCTCTATAAAAGTTTACAATAGTATATTAGCTAATGTGTGTACAGTCATTCAAACTATAAAGAAATGTGTTAAACGCGAAACCGCAGGATGCTTTGAGACTCACTTGTGTGAATTTTCGAAAAAACACTCCTTGAACTTTGCCATAAACTTCATAATCCACGGAGATAAGTTCTTCCTCTGACATAGTAGATCTTGAAAAAAGCCAAAAGTGAATAATGGACTCATTAATCAATAAAGTGAATAATGGACTCAGAACATCTAAAACATAGGCGCCTACAGGTCACTTTCGGACACTGCTCAAACTTTATTTTACATTTATTTGAAAATATTTACCTGGAAAAAGTCACACAGTTGTATAATAACAGCAGGAGAAGCAGATCCGTGTGATGTGGTAGAAGCATGTAGGACCTGGTAGGACCGCTGACACAAAGCGGAAGTGACGTTTTACAGTGACCAAATAGGCTGCATCCGAATTCATAAAACAAATCTTCTTACTTCTTCATCCTTTGATTTCTTTGACCTAACCTTGGCATCAATACCAAAATTAAAATCACATTTAATCAAACTTCATTATTTTCTACCCCAAGAAAAAATAATTTAAAAGAACCAGTAGCATCAGGAAAAGGGTATGTTGTATGTATGATTTCGGAGGCACCCGGTCTGTTTCTAGGCAACGACAACAAAACGGAGAGGCTACCCGTACTAGCGTTACCATACTTAATTTTGCTAAATTGTTTATGGTGACATTATACATAGATTTTTATGATAAACAGGTGAGCATTACGTACTTATTTTTCATTGTCTGTTGGAACATATGTTTGGTCTTGGCTGTTAAAGGACAGTTTTACAGGCATATTTTGGATACAACCATAGACAGTAACAACACATCTAAAAAGGTGGACTAGCCATACGTAAGGTATTTTAATTTCAGGCATTTGAGAAGGGGGTAATTCAGGGAAATCCAGAATCTTGCTGCTTCAAATGCAATTGTAAACAATTATTCCAAACTTGTTTGAAAGATCTTTGCTAATCACTTGATCATGACATATTCAAGTGTAACCTAATGCTGGCTTTTAACAACATCAGTGAGGGCTTTGTTTGGTTTTTCTATACCAGCCAATTGTAAGATAGTGATGTTTTAACTATATCCATCCATTTTTAATATATATACATTGTATATATATATATATATATATATATATATATATAAAATAAAAAAAAATTGTCCACTCACCTTTGGCCCTCCGCGGGCGGTTATCCCTCTCTAAGCTCGGGTCCTCTACCAGAGGCCAGGGAGCTTGAGGGTTCTGCGCAGTATCTTTGCTGTTCCTAGCACTGCACATTTCTGGACCGAGATGTCCGAGGTTGTTCCGGGGATCCGCTGTAACCACTCATCTAGCTTCGGGGTCACTGCCCCGAGTGCACCGATCACCACGGGCACTACTGTCACCTTTACCCTCCAGGCCCTCTCCAGCTCCTCTCTGAGACCTTGGTATTTCTCAAGCTTTTCATGTTCTTTTTTCCGGATGTTACCATCGCTTGGAATTGCCACGTCAACCACCACGGCTGTCCTCTGCCCTTTGTCTACCACCACGATGTCAGGTTGGTTTGCCATTACCATTCGGTCGGTCTGTATCTGGAAGTCCCACAGGATCTTCGCACGCTCATTCTCCACCACCTTTGGAGGAGTTTCCCACTTAGACCTTGGGGTTTCCAGCCCATACTCTCCACAGATGTTTCTGTACACTATGCCAGCCACTTGGTTATGGTGTTCCATGTAGGCCTTCCCTGCCAGCATCTTGCACCCTGCAGTTACTGTATGTGTTGGATCGTCTCAGGTGCCTCTTTGCACAACCGACACCTTGGGTCTTGTCTGGTGTGGTATATCTGGGCCTCTATCGCTCTGGTGCTCAGTGCCTGTTCCTGTGCAGCCATGATGAGTGCCTCTGTGCTGTCCTGTAGGCCAGCCCTTTCTAGCCATTGGTAGGACTTCTTGAGATCAGCCACTTCTGTTATGCTCCGGTGGTACATGCCGTGTAGGGGCTTGTTCTCCCATGATGGGCTCTCCTCCAGCACCTCCTCATCTCGCCACTGCCTGAGACATTCACTGAGTACGTCATCCGTTTTGGCCTTCTCCATGATGTAGTTATGGAGTTTGGATGTTTCGTCCTGGACAGTGGCTCTCACACTCACTAGTCCTCGGCCTCCTTCTTTACGGCTTACGTACAGTCTCAGGGTGCTGGATTTGGGATGGAACCCACCATGCATGGTAAGGAGCTTTCGAGTTTTAACATCCGTGGTCTGAATCTCTTCCTTTGGCCACCTGATTATTCCTGCAGGGTATCTGATCACTGGCAGGGCGTAGCTGTTAATTGCCCGGGCCTTGTTCTTGCCATTGAGCCGGCTTCTTAGGACCTGCCTTACTCGCTGGAGGTATTTGGCAGTTGCCGCTTTCCTCGTCACCTGTTCGAGGTTGCCATTTGCCTGTGGTATACCGAGATACTTGTAACTGTCCTCAACGTCTGTTATTGTTCCCTCTGGGAGTGAGATCCCTTCTGTGTGGACTACCTTGCCTCTCCGAGTCACCATCCTGCTACATTTCTCGAGCCCGAATGACATCCCGATGTCATGGCTGTAGATCCTGGTTGTTTGGATCAGAGAGTCGATGTCTCTCTCGCTCTTGGCGTACAGCTTGATGTCATCCATGTAGAGGAGGTGACTGATCTTTGCTCCGTTCCTGAGGCGGTATCCATAGCCAGTCTGGTCAATTACTTGGCTTAGAGGGTTGAGGCCTATGCAGAACAGTAGTGGGGACAGAGCATCTCCTTGGTAGATACCACATTTGATGGTCACTTGTGCGAGCGGCTTGCCATTTGCCTCAAGGGTGGTCTTCCACATTCCCATCGAGTTTGCAACGAAGTCCCTTAGAGCCCTGTTGATATTGTACAACTTCAAGCATTCCATGATCCATGTGTGTGGCATTGAGTCGTAGGCTTTCTGGTAATCAATCCAGGCTGTGCACAGGTTGGTGTGTCGTGACCGGCAGTCTTGGGCGACTGTTCTGTCAACCAGGAGCTGGTGTTTGGCTCCTCTGGTGTCCCTACCAATGCCCTTCTGTGCTGTGCTCATGAATTGTTCCATATGCCCACTTATCTTAGCCGCAATGATGCCTGACATGAGCTTCCATGTTGTGGAGAGACAGGTTATTGGCCGGTAGTTGGATATATATATATATATATACATATATATATATATATATATATAATATATATATACATATATATATATATATATATATATATATATATATATACATATATATATATATATATATAATATATATATACATATATATATATATATATATATATATATATATATATACATATATACATATATATATATATATATATATATATATATATATATATATATATATATATATATATATATATATATATATATATATATAATATATATATATATATATATATATATATATATATATATATATATATATATATATATATATATATATATATATATATATATATATATATATATATATATATATAATATATATATATATATATATATATATATATATATGTATATATATACATATATATATATATACATATATATATATATACATATATATATATATATATGGCCAAAGGAAGAGATTCAGACCACGGATGTTAAAACTCGAAAGCTCCTTACCATGCATGGCGGGTTCCATCCCAAATCCAGCACCCTGAGACTGTACGTAAGCCGTAAAGAAGGAGGCCGAGGACTAGTGAGTGTGAGAGCCACTGTCCAGGACGAAACATCCAAACTCCATAACTACATCATGGAGAAGGCCAAAACGGATGACGTACTCAGTGAATGTCTCAGGCAGTGGCGAGATGAGGAGGTGCTGGAGGAGAGCCCATCATGGGAGAACAAGCCCCTACACGGCATGTACCACCGGAGCATAACAGAAGTGGCTGATCTCAAGAAGTCCTACCAATGGCTAGAAAGGGCTGGCCTACAGGACAGCACAGAGGCACTCATCATGGCTGCACAGGAACAGGCACTGAGCACCAGAGCGATAGAGGCCCAGATATACCACACCAGACAAGACCCAAGGTGTCGGTTGTGCAAAGAGGCACCTGAGACGATCCAACACATAACTGCAGGGTGCAAGATGCTGGCAGGGAAGGCCTACATGGAACGCCATAACCAAGTGGCTGGCATAGTGTACAGAAACATCTGTGGAGAGTATGGGCTGGAAACCCCAAGGTCTAAGTGGGAAACTCCTCCAAAGGTGGTGGAAAATGAGCGTGCGAAGATCCTGTGGGACTTCCAGATACAGACCGACCGAATGGTAATGGCAAACCAACCTGACATCGTGGTGGTAGACAAAGGGCAGAGGACAGCCGTGGTGGTGGACGTGGCAATTCCAAGCGATGGTAACATCCGGAAAAAAGAACATGAAAAGCTTGAGAAATACCAAGGTCTCAGAGAGGAGCTGGAGAGGGCCTGGAGGGTAAAGGTGACAGTAGTGCCCGTGGTGATCGGTGCACTCGGGGCAGTGACCCCGAAGCTAGATGAGTGGTTACAGCGGATCCCCGGAACAACCTCGGACATCTCGGTCCAGAAATGTGCAGTGCTAGGAACAGCAAAGATACTGCGCAGAACCCTCAAGCTCCCTGGCCTCTGGTAGAGGACCCGAGCTTAGAGAGGGATAACCGCCCGCGGAGGGCCAAAGGTGAGTGGACAATTTTTTTTTTTTATATATATATATATATATACATATATATATACGACTATACGGTATTCAAAAAATTGCTATCTTACAATTGTCTGATAAAGAAGAACCAAATTACTTTATTTCTTAGTCATATTCATAATGTGATGATACATTTTGTTTAGCAGGTCAGTCCCACTGAGACGTGAGAAGGTGGATGCAGGCTGTGATTTCTTCAGGACTCCTTCACTCTGCCTCTCTCCTCAAACACTGCTGTTTCCTGACTGGGCTTTTGTTTTGAGCTGCACTGAGACATTGTGTAACTGTATTTTGACATCATGAACACAGATGCAAGGAAACAGACATTTTCGCAAGAAAGCAGTGATGCAGGAAATTCTCCTTTAACACCAAAACACAAAGACGTGATTACAAGAGATATGACGAAACCATTTCCAACTAAACCTGTTTGTCACAGGAAAGTTGACAAATCCATCTCATCTGTCATTGATATAAAGAAAAAATCCCAAGATCCTAGACATTGTATGTTACTGGATAAAGACCAATCAAGATCACTTGCTGGAGAACTGGATAAAGACCAATCAAGATCACTTGCTGGAGAACTGCACCTGACTAAATTAATACATGAGAAACAGCTGATGTTGCAAAAGAAGCTGTTGAAAGTTGAAGATACGTTAAGGGAAAAGGTCCAGCCGCAGAATGTGGGTGTTGATCATATTTATAAAGGCAATCAGCTTGTTGAGAAGAAACAAAGTGGGAAGAGGCAAGAAATACTAAAGCCTGACATTAAAAAAATATGCAGACATCAGAAGTAAAATGTAGTGAAATTATGACAAAAGGACAGATTCACAAACAAGAGCAAAAAATCAGACCAGATAAAACAGAACAAAAACCCAAGTGGGATCCAAAAAATGCAGGAGGAACATTGACAAAAAGGAAGGAAGAAAGTAACGCACAACCTGGTAACAGTGAACAGACTACACACTACAGAAAGCTAGCTACAGAAACTCTGCAGAAAGCTACGAATGACAAAGCTGCAGAAAGGACTCCCCACAAGGAGCCTTTGCCCCAAGTCTCTGTGAGTCCGTCTGAACTGGAGCACACGGACCAAAGCTCCCCAGGCCTTCCATGCAGAGTTTGCAATCGAAATTTTAACAAGCCGGATAGACTTCAGAAACACATGAGCATCTGTGAGAAGTTGAAGACAAAAAAAAGACCCATCTTCAACGTTACATTGCAGAGGATCAAAGGAACAGACACGGAGAAGTATTTCAACACTCACATCAGGTGCCCAACCCCTGAGGTAAGATATCTGAATTATACCGCAAAAAATGATAAAATATGTGGTAATAATTGCTTGAATGTACTTTTTTATCTTAATTTGAGAATATTCTGAGATTTGCCAATGGGACAAAGCCATTTATTTCAACAACTGTTGCTTTTTGTTCCATTCCTTGGGAGACATTTCCTGAATCTTTTTAAAACAACATAATTTTGATTGTCCCACTGGCAAATCTTGTTTTAAGGCAGTTAGAATGTGCTCAAATTAAGATTTGTGCCAAATTTGCACTTTTTGCAGTGTACGTTACCTGACCCGTTTACACGCAAGACATTCACCAATACCTTGTTTTTGTCTTGTAGATACTGAAGAAAAAGAAGCAAGAACGGCGTCAAAAGAAGGCAACTTGAATTCTGCTGCCATATAATATTGAAAGAGAGAGATTATATACATATCAATGGTTTAATAGAGTTAACATAATAAACATAGCAATAGCAAAACAATGGCTGTAATTCCACAAAAAGGAGAAAGTGTATTCCTCCACATTTGTCACAATTTTCACAAAGAAAAAGTAATATAAAGTTGAATAAAGGCTGGGAGATAAAGCAAATTCATTTGATTATTTGACCTTTTTGAAATTCAAAGAAGTGGAAAATCGCAGTCAGGATATAATAAAGATTATTTACTTACCAACTTACTCTTATGATTGGTTTGAACAATTAATATTTAGCGTTTTTGGTGTCTTTGATTCAAAACAATGTAAAATCATGCAATGGGAGGATATAAAATGTACATTTACCTTCACTGCCATATCACCCAGCCCTATTCTTAATGTTAACACGCAAACATTACAAAACATTGCCGTAGCAAGTAGCAATGTATGGCTTCTGTATTTGCCCAAGGACAACAGTACCCTATGTAGATAAGTAAAAAACAAGACAGACAATTGTGAACGACTATACGGTATTCAAAAAATCTACTGGACAATACAACTATGCGTCCAACAAACCATCCCATAATAAACAAAACACGTAAAAAGTCAGTAGTGCTGCATCACCCCACACTATAAAAAATAAGGCATGCTTTTAAATATATGTCTTTCTCATGAACGTGTGAGACTCCTTGGCACAATAACATGAAAATATATTCCCCATTTAAAGACCATGTGTTTCCACCAGGTCTTCCCTACCTTACCCTACCCCACCCCTACTCTACTCTGTTGTATTTCCATTACGCTTTAGTATGGCACCTCATTCTAGCAACTTACCCACAAAAAACAGTGGAAATTCTCCCAACCAAGGTAGAGTAGGACCAAGTAGGGGTCGTGGAAACGGGGCTTTAGAAAGTAATCCCACTCTGGCTCTATACATTCTGTTGAAGCCAGCCAACACGCACACATCTGAACTTGTTTGTAATGTTGCGTACAGTTGCCCTTACAGCTGAACGGTAAAGCCAGAGCCGCTGTATTTTGGGCACACCGAAGGCACTTCAACACAGATGCTTGTGTAAACCATGATTAGCATAAGCTGTCACTTATTTGTTGTGATAAAGCTAGCTCACACACTCGCCCCTGCAGACCTGCCTCCATAGTTCTTAAAGCCTGCTGCTCTCCCACCTCCGTCTCGGGGCATTTGGTCAGGCCGGTGGTTTCCATTGCTGTCACATCCTTGTTGTGATATTCGAGTAATTGCCGCCCAGAGTCTTTCGTTCTCCTTCTTCTGCTCGCTCACCTGAGGACATTGAAATACAGCTTCAAAGTCTAGCACCATAGAAAAAAATTACAATCTACTGCTATGCTTTCAAACCTGCTTCTCCAGAATTTGTATCCTAGAGTCCTGCTGTATCATTGTCTCGCGCAGCTGAACAAAAGAACAACTATTAACTAATGGTGATGATCCAAGATACTTGACATTCAACAAAATGTAAGGACATTGGTCATCTGCCCTTTATGAACCAATGGCTTTATGCGTTTTTTATCATTGCATTTCTTGTGCGTCGGTTCAGTTTGATTCTCTAATCTGTGTTGGCGAACCCACCAGTTTTGTAAAGTCTTCAGAGATAACTACTGTTGTGATTTAGGGCTACACAAAAATACATGGAATTGAATTGAGCTAATCCATTGTGATTTCTCATGGAGACAAGATCTTGATTACCTGTGCCACCTCGCAGCTAGCTTTGCATTCTCCTCTCTTGCACAAGTCATCTTCATCCAACCCATTCACTCTTCCAGAACTCATACGCATTGTCTATAAACAAATGACCGGTCATCCATCATATTCATGTTTTTTGTTGGTAAAAAAAAGTACAGAAAGGTGGGATAGGATTACAGGGAGGTCTTTCTTGGTGCTAAGTGCAGCCGCAGCAGCCTTTAGCTCCTTCAGCTCTTCATACGGCAGGGTGACACTCTCTGAGAAGGACGAGAGTTGGCCTGGCATGGACTGCATTGGGATAAACTCGGCATCTTCTAACTCCTATCAGTATAAAACAATACAATGCATATTCAGTGAAAGCAGTGAAAATGCATGCATGATACCAGTTTGTGTAAGCTCCATGTATGCACTAGTTATTAAAAACCCACCCTTCTGAGCCACAGAGGACAAGAGCTGTCCCCAGATGTTCTTGACATCATGGGAGTCTCCAAAAGTGATTCGTCCGTCTCTATCTCCACAGTCCCACCGAGACCCCTGTCCTGACTCTCATTGTCCGAGCCAGCCTCTATGTCCAGATCCACGGTGGTTGTTGAGGCTCCCTGACCAATGCCTGGAGATGGAGGGTTAGTCATATTGTGTGTAATATGTATCAACTGAAATGTATGTCACAATTAAGTTGTATTTACCGCTACCGATTGAAAGTCCGCTGCTGTTGGAACGGATTGTCTTGGAATTCAGTACTTTTTCTGCAAATGAAACATGTTTTAATGTGTGGAAATCAGCCTCAGTCCTGGATCCACAGCCCGAGTCCTGGATCTACAGCCTCAATCCTGGATCTACAGCCTCAGTCCTGGATCTACAGCCTCAATCCTGGATCTATAGCCTCAGTCCTGGATGTACAGCCTCAGTCCTGGATCTACAGCCTCAGTCCTGGATCTACAACCTCAGTCCTGGATCTACAGCCTCAGTCCTGGATGTACAGCCTCAGTCCTGGATCTACAGCCTCAGTCCTGGATCCACAGCCTCAATCCTGGATCTATAGCCTCAGTCCTGGATCTACAGCCTCAGTCCTGGATCTACAGCCTCAGTCCTGGATCTACAGCCTCAGTCCTGGATCTACAGCCTCAGTCCTGGATCTACAGCCTCAATCCTGGATCTACAGCCTCAGTCCTGGATCTACAGCCTCAGTCCTGGATCTACAGCCTCAGTCCTGGATCTACAGCCTCAGTCCTGGATCTACAGCCTCAGTCCTGGATCTACATCCTCAGTCCTGGATCTACAGCCTCAATCCTGGATCTATAGCCTCAGTCCTGGATCTACAGCCTCAGTCCTGGATCTACAGCCTCAATCCTGGATCTATAGCCTCAGTCCTGGATCTACAGCCTCAGTCCTGGATCTACAGCCTCAGTCCTGGATCTACAGCCTCAGTCCTGGATCTACAGCCTCAGTCCTGGATCTACAGCCTCAATCCTGGATCTACAGCCTCAGTCCTGGATCTACAGCCTCAGTCCTGGATCTACAGCCTCAGTCCTGGATCTACAGCCTCAGTCCTGGATCTACAGCCTCAGTCCTGGATCTACATCCTCAGTCCTGGATCTACAGCCTCAATCCTGGATCTATAGCCTCAGTCCTGGATCTACAGCCTCAGTCCTGGATCTACAGCCTCAGTCCTGGATCTACAGCCTCAGTCCTGGATCTACAGCCTCAGTCCTGGATCTACAGCCTCAGTTCTGGATCTACAGCCTCAGTCCTGGATCTACAGCCTGTTCACTTAATTCGGGCCTCCCTGAGTTTTCTCACTTTTTGGGACTGAGACATTCGTTTATGGACATTTATAGACACTCCACACCCTATGTGTTTGTTATTATTGTGTTTAAACGGTTTGATACTCTGAACTGTGTAAAGTCCTCCAAGCCCTGTTTTAAAAATGTAATTGAACATTTAAATCAAAGTACAAACCCATTATAATAATAGTGTGCCAGCCACGACAAGAGAGATCTGGGACATGATGAAGCGATCCAAATATGGGCCTCGGCATCGAAGGGCAAACTTCTGATCCGAAGCCTTTATCTGCCGGCATTCCAAGTCGTCCATTTCCAGCATTTCCCCACGCAAAGATTTGATTGTCTGGAAGCAAAAAAAACCCATTACGATTCTCTAACTACAAAGTTTGGGCGTTGTCAAATGGCAAGTAACTCACCCTCAGTAGCAGCGATCGTGAATCCGTCCCCACACGACACTTTGGTCACAGTTTTCCCTCCGAACGGTCCGACCAGGACTTGCACACCCTGATGCTTTTTGAAATCCTTTACACCCAGTTGTCCATACTTGTTGCAACCAAAAGTGATCAGACGCCCACGCTCTGAAAGGCATCGAAACGATTCTTTGTGGGCGGCAGTAGCTCAGTTGGTAGAGCGTTGGCCTTTGAGCCAGAAGGTCGTGGGTTCAAGCCCCGCTCAAGACTTTCACCATCGACTCCCACTGACTACTGTCGTTGTGTCCTTGGCAAGACACTTAACCTGTGGGAACACCAGCCACAGTGGGGCGGCTGCGGCTGTAAAGTGCCAAACTGCTGTTGTGTCCTTAGGCAAGACACTTCACCCCCATTGCCTAGAATGAGTCTGGTGTGTGTATGAATGGTGGCTGGTGGTCGGAAGGGCCGATGGCGCATACTGGTTGCCTCGCTTCTGTCAGTGTGCCCCAGGGCAGCTGTGGCTACAGTAGTAGTTTATCACCACCGTGTTTGGAGTGAATGAATAATGACACATGTGAAGCGTCTTTGAGTGTCCAAAAAAGCGCTATATAAAACCGATGCATTATTATTATTATTATTAAACAACTTAATACCAAGGTTAGTATAATTGTCTTTTCTTTTCCGTTTGTCTGCATGGCATTGGCTGTAGATTTGTTTGACAAAATACCTGTCAGTGAATTAAAGCCCCATCTATTTATTCATTTATTTTCATTATCATTATTATTATTATATATCATGTCGAGATGTACTGTGCAATAACACATTAAAGTATAAAAATGATATTCTAATAGCTTCTTTCCACAAGCTGTTTTTGTTGATGGCTTCAACAGTGACAATTGTTTTCAACTTTATTTTATGTACTTGTCTGGCGCACACTGGGGTACTGTAACACATGTTTTCGAATATGGTTTAACTGTAAATGGCAAATAATCTGAACCCAATACCATCAAGAGCAGCAGTGTGGCTTTTTCCTGGAGCGATGGTTTGGATTTTAAACCTCGACAATTGCTTCGCCAACGTCAGTGTGGTTGTATATGGGATTCCCTGGAAGCCCTGAAAGAAACCAAGTCTTATGTTGAGAGACTAAGCTGGTGTTTACACGGAGACGCTGCGACAGTAAAACGTTAGAGTTGGGTATTGGTTTGGCCTTTCGTTTACATGAACAGTGTTTCAGGTGAAAACTCATCTGTCTGAAGAAAAAGGTGTGAATTCTCTGGCTGCAATGACTTTACTTTGAGCTCTACAAAGAGGAGAATTCTACTCCTTCGTCCGTCCAAACAAAACAACGTAAAGCTTTAGTTTCTGTTTCCATTTTGGCCGCTGCTATTAAATGCAGAATGACGTTATTGCAGTGGCCTGAGGAGGACGTTGTTGAGGAAGTGAATACACTGCTGGGGGTCGCAAGTGTCGTGTTGCTAGAACTGCATTGTTTTCCGTCGCCAAAAGGCTGTTCCTGGAGCCTGGTCATTTTTTCTAATTGCCTTGTAGAGCCTTGCAGCGTCTCCGTCTAAACAGGGCATTAAACTATAAAATCATGATTAATGTTGAAAGTACCTCTCCGGGATGGTTCTTAATACCAGAGAACCCCTGGTACAGACCCAGCTTGTTGAACTCATTGTGTCCACATGCTAGCACTTTCCCAATGTCTGTTATGAAGAAGGTCCCATCGCTGCCACAAGATACAGACGAGATTGCGGCTCCTTTGGGTAGCTCCACCTATGAAATAACCAAGGAGCTTCATATTTTAGCACCCGAAACACATGTGAAATACACTCCACACACTTCCTTACTTGCATTGGAGAAGAGAAATCATCCTCACATTCAAGACCAAGACGCCCTGTTGCAGATAAAGACATAAGTAGCACATTCAACTGCATTCAACCGTTACTAAAACAATGTATTTATTTATTTGATATGAACACGTGTTACATTGGACAGACCAGATTCAGATGATTTTTAGTGTTATAGCAAAACAATGCAGATTTCCTAAACACTGATCCATAAGAGGACTTTAGGACTTTTGAAATGTAGAAATATAACATTGATCAAATATACAATTTATTAAACATGTGAACAATTTTGCTGAGTCTGAGTCCTGGATCTACAGCCTGAGTCCTGGACTTTCAATTTCAGCCACAGTTTCAGAAATCTGGTCAAGATGTTTACTGGTAAGTCTGTTTGTCGTTTTAGGTCAGAGTTCCAGACACGTTATACTTAATTCTTTATTGTGCTGAAGAGGGAGATTTTAGACTTGCTGAATTATTATGCTAAAGCTAGAGATTTTATAGTGGGTTATTATCTCTGCTAAAGTTTGAGATTTTATTCTATTTTTCTATTTATTATTGTTCATTTATCTTGTTCTGTGTGCTTCTAAATCCCAATGTTCAGGAACCCATGATGCAACACTGAAATTTCCCCAAAGTGGGACGAATAAGGGATCCTTTAATCTTAATCTTAATCACACAGAATAAAGGTAAGTACCATACTCTCCGCAGCCCCAGGAGAAGATGGTTCCGTGCTGGGTCAGGACCACAACGTGATGGTCCCCACACGACACCTCCCGCACAGGACGCTCTTCAAAGAACTCCAACAGCACTGGTTCCAGAACCTCCGTGCCCATGTCCCCTTCCACACCAATGCAGCCGTAGTAGTCTGAGCCAAACATGTACATCTGGTCCTCATCTGGAAGGGAAGATTCATAACATTCTCTAAACTACATGTTACTCGATCAAACATGCTGGGCGGGCTGCACACCTTTCAGATGAATACATTTCAAACTGGCTTTAGGTTGAAAAAAATAGACATTGCTAATTGTTTGATCTATTCTTTATTCTGTTTGAATGGTTGACTGTTGAGTCTATAATCAATAATGTGCATTTGTAGATTGTTTTTTGTCCTTTTTCTGTACTATTTTTTTTATTGTGATATGAAAAGTCAAATTGTAATTGAGTTTTGAGGGCGCTCATAAGATTCTTGCTTTAGCCCACTCTTTTTTAGCAAAATTAATACTGTTCAATTGACAAAATAAAAATAAATAAATAATAATGATACCTGTGACACAAGCCGTGAAGTCCGCTCCACATGCCACCTGACGTACTGCCTTTCCCTGAAGTATTTCCACTCTCTTTGGTTGTCGGTATGAAGCTTGGTCTCCGTGCCCGAGCTGTCCCACCATCTTGGCCCCACATTGGATGTTCTGGAAACATGTTAAAGTTACAGGAGCAGCAGTAGCAGAAGTTGTATTTGGAACAGTCTTCCTGAAAATGTGAGACAGGCTTCTTCGCTGACAATGTTTGAATCCAGGTTAAAACCAGTTATGACTAGCTATGCACACTGAGGGATTTTTCCTTCATTCTTTTTAATGTACAGGCCAGAGAGAGAGAGACCAGAGAAAGAGCAGAGAAAGAGACTAGAGAGAGTCTAGAGAGAGAGTCTAGAGAGAGAGTCTAGAGAGAGAGTCTAGAGAGAGAGTCTAGAGAGAGAGAGAGACAGCCTATTTGAGTGGTGTTTGATACTCACGGCCCAGGTGTAAAGCTCCTTCTCCACGGTCACCACAGCAAAGTGACTCTCTCCTGCACACACATATTGGGCTCCACTGCCTCCTTTGAACGAGTCCAGTTTCTGAGGGGTAAACTTCCCACCACCCCAGAAGTACACATCCCTCGATCGCGTTGTTACTACAGCAACAGGTGTCTCCGTTACTGTGTTTAGCCTAGAAGGAAAAACTAAAAATACTAATGTGCATAAAAAGACCAAACTAAAAGAAGAAGAACATACTTTGGTTTCTTCATAGCTGAGTTTAGGAGTGCAACACGCTCTTCCAGTTCCCTAAAACAAATGAACATTTTATAACAAAAGGAAATACTCTCTCTCTGGTCTCCCTCTCTCTGGTCTCCCTCTCTCTGGTCTCCCGCTCTCTGGTCTCCCTCTCTCTGGTCTCCCTCTCTCTGGTCTCCCTCTCTCTGGTCTCCCGCTCTCTGGTCTCCCTCTCTCTGGTCTCCCGCTCTCTGGTCTCCCGCTCTCTGGTCTCCCTCTCTCTGGTCTCCCTCTCTCTGGTCTCCCTCTCTCTGGTCTCCCTGTCTCTGGTCTCCCTCTCTCTGGTCTCCCTCTCTCTGGTCTCTCTCCCTCTGGTCTCTCTCCCTCTGGTCTCTCTCCCTCTGGTCTCTCTCCCTCTGGTCTCTCTCCCTCTGGTCTCTCTCCCTCTGGTCTCTCACAGAGAGTGATCAATATTTTGGCTTTAAGGATCCGCTGATATCATACAAGTGTTGGGAAAGTTACAATCTTATTCATTGATTTGGCTTTTTAGCTGTGTGTGTATGCCTAAGATGTGACCAAGCGTGATGAAAGTTAGTGGGATCAAAACATTGCACCAGAATAGGAAGCGGTATAGAGACTTATGAGACCAAAAGAAAGACCCAGACAAGGTTAGGTTATCGGGGATCTCCTGTCAAACACCAGTTATCTGATCCAATAAATGTCCAGAGTTTGTTCGTTTTTTTGACCTTTATTCAACCAGGAGTGGGAAAGAGAGAAACCAACGAGAGTGACTAGAGAGAGACCAGAGAGAGACCAGAGAGAGACCAGAGAGAGACCAGAGAGAGACCAGAGAGAGACCAGAGAGAGACCAGAGAGAGACCAGAGAGGGACCCCCCCTGTAGGAACTAATAGCGTATCAACTTACGGTTTGCAGCTCAAAATGAAGGGTTGGTCCAAAACCTGATCAGCCGTGGGCCTCTTTGAAGGATCCTACAACACAAACAGAACAGTACTTCTTGGTAATACAATACAACATATCTGGCAACTTAGAAACATAAAGATCACCGTGTACTCACTTGATCAAGGCATTGATAAACCACATCAATTAGCTTTGATGAGTAGAGATCAGAGTTTACTTCCATGGTCCAATTGCCCTGAACTATTTTGACACAGAGATTAAGGGGGTTCTGTGAAAAAACACAGGAAAGAAACAATATTTTAGATGAACTTTAGGTATATTTATGAATATGTTTGGAATAAGGAGGGAATAATACCGTAGCATCAAATGTTCTTGTAAGGGTTAGCACTTCATACAGAACACAGCCCATGGCCCAAATGTCTGATTTAAAGTTATATTTTGATCCTTGGCACAGCTCAGGTGACATGTAATATGGCGTTCCCACACACTGCAATTAGAATAAAAACATCAATAACGCATTCCAATAATTATTCATTAATCAATATAAGAGGGAGAAAGACCAGGGAGACCAAAGAGAGACCAGAGCAGAGCACTCCCAGTGCAGTAAATTTGACAGCTTTTAGTTTTAGAAGTGTAAATACAGTGTGTGTAAAAAAAATTCTGTTTAAAACTTTGTCACCTTTTCTCTATCTATAATGTAGTTTAAATCTATAACATCATTTTTCTACCGGAGAAGAGCGAGTAAATTGCAGCAGTTAGCATTGGGTCTTTAGCATTAGCCTTTCAACAAACAGCTGTATTTCAGTTATAAACACCAGATTTAGCAGTTGATAAAAGATCAAAAAAGGTAAAAAAGCAATTCTTTATTCTGTTTAAAGTCCTCGTGTTAAAGTTGCCTTCACACAGAAATGAGATAATACAAACAAACTTACCGTCTCTGCCATTGAAAATTCAGAGTCTAGTTTTTTTGCAAGACCATAGTCACCCAACTTAATGAGGTCTGTTTTAGTGAGGAAAATGTTCAGGGTTTTGATATCTCTGCAACAAATACAAACTCATATCATCCAACATCTCATTTGAGGGAACACATCACCCCAATCCTCAAACAACTCCCCGTCCCATACCACACACAATATAAGGTCCTCCTCAAAACCTTCATGTTCCTTCATAACTTGGCCCCCTTATATCTCGCTGACCTCCTCCATCACGACTGACCCCGTCGCCTCAGATCTGGCGACCCCAACCTTCTCCCTCCCATTAAAACATAGTACCAAATCCTGAGGACCGAGGCTTCTGAACCCTGGGGGACTGAACTTTTAGAACCTTGAATAACCGGGCATTCTGAATCCTGGGGACTGAGCCTTCTCAACCCTGTGGGCCGAGACTTCTGAACCTTGGGAGACCAATCCTTCGGAACCCTGGGGGACCGAGCCTTTGCTGCAGCTGCCCCCACCTTCTGGAACTCTTTCCCACAACATATAACAAACTTGGAACTCACATGTTTATAACTACCTACATCTAACTGTTTATTCTAGCTTTTATTTATTAACCTGCCCCTTTGTAAATCATTATTGACTGTCCAAAGAGGCGATACATATGTACGAATACGTATTATTACTATCTTCTCCTTACAAATAAATTAAATTTTGCTTGTAAATAAAGGCAACAAGTACCTGTGTAAGATTCCCGCTTTGTGGATGTGAGTCACAGCTGAGGCAACCTGATACAAGTACCATATGACAACCTACAGAAAAGAAAAGGTTAAAAGATAGCCACAAAGTTAATGTAATGTGATGTGGTAATGATACCTCCTCACTGAACAGCTTGCCCTTTTGTTGAACTATTTTATCATACAGATTTCCTCCTGTGATAGCAATGTATTAAAACAGGGTTAAAGAAAAGGTACAGAGAGAGAAAGAAAGAAACATCAAATATATGTATTTACCATTACAATATTCCAACTCAATCAATAAGGTGTTTTTATCCATGAAATGGTTGAAATAGGCGATGATGTTGTTGTGCTCTAAGATGGACAGGATGCTGATCTCATTCATCACATCCCTTCGTTCCTTTTCAGACAGAGAGTTGAGCTCCACCTCTTTCCAAACCACCAGGGAATTATCCTGTGGAGAAAGGACAGAGATGTCAGGGTGTCACCAAGACTTCAAAACAGAGCCCTTAAACCGCCACCGTATTCTCAAAAGATGAAAGAAAGACATTTGTAACACTAAGTGCAACATTGGGGTGGCTGCAGCTGTAAAGCGCCAAACTGTTGTTGTGTCCTTAGGCAAGGCACTTCACCCACATAGCCTAAGATGAGTCAAGTTGTTCCTTGCCGATGCAGTAGGGTCTAAGGACAGTTGTAATGATCCAGGACATTCAACATCATTAATAACAATCTATAAACATATATGACATATATGAACAGCTTGATGTTCTAATCAACAACTTTGTAAAGTTCTCTGAGATAACTACTGTTGTGACAATTCAATACTTGAAAAAGTATTGAATTGAATTGAATTAGTGTGTGCGTGAATGGTTGGTGGTGGTGGTGGTGATGGTGGTCGAAGGGGCTGGTGACAAACTGGTTGCCTCACTTCTGTCAGTGTACCTCAGGGCAGTATGCAGGAGGGTCTGTTGGACAGTTAGTGTCTAACAAAAAGGACTGTGGTGATGACCCAGGACACTTTAACATTCTACAACATGTATGGACATTTATCAACATGTTTTCTATATTCTTTATGCGTTTTAACTGTAGATTCTCCAATCTGTGTTGGTGATTTCAATGGTTTTGTTAAGCCCTCTGAGATGACTACCGTTGTGACAAGAATAAATGGCATTGCATCGTAGTAGTAGTTTATCACCACAGTGTATGGGGTGAATGAATACCATGTACACGTGAATCGTCTTGGAGTGTCACTCACAAAAACGCGCTACACAAAACCAATGCATTATTATTACTATTATAAAAGTTAAATACCCCAACTTTACAAGCGTAATTATGGACATGCAACAACTTGACTACACATGTCTTGTTGAGAGGAGAGGTCCACACTTCTCACCTCTGTCCTCCTGTATAGCGTGGCCTCACCAAACGCCCCCCTGCCCAGAATACGGATCGGAACGTAATGTAACTTCTCCTCTTCGCCAGTGAACGAACTAGAAGCAGAGCCGAGCAGCGAGCCGCCGCCCAGCTCCGAGTTCAGGGAGCCGAAGTGCCTCTCGCCGTCCTCCAGTGACATGTTTTCTACTTCTTGATGGAAATAGCACGATAGGCCCGATGTACAGTATCAAAATAACTTGCAGCAAAGCGTAAAACCGCGTCCAGAGAAACACACACAGACACACGAAGCTTAGGGGGAGATTCGTAGAGTCCCCGTCATGACGAAATTAGACTTAAACCATGCATAAAGTAAAGTTATAACAGATATTTACGTGCTAGAAAAAGTAAATGTACGACTGTAAAGTGGGATGAATGTTGACGCCGGAAATGAAGTATGACTGTATGATAATTTCAAAATAAAACCCAGTCACAGCGACGTCCACTTTCCCATTTTACTTTGAAAGGTACACTTCTATTCCTGTGTTTGTTAAAATTAACTTGACTCTTCAGGAATAAAATCAAATGTTGCTTCTGGTTTGCTTTAAAAAGTAAAAGAGTTAGGTCGGATTAACATGACTGTTCAGGAAACACACAGTGCAAATCTTTATAGAAGTGACAAATGTTGTAAATCCCGATCCATAGCAATGTGTAAAAAGACAATTTGTGAGTGGAACAGAATATAACAGTTTTGAAGTTTATAGCTATAGATTACAGCCACTAGATGGCAGCAGTGTGTTTGTTTTTGGTTGATGATGACGACGATGCAGTGGATTATTATAATAAATAATAATCAGTAGTACAAAAAGCTCGACAAATCATAAGCTAAGACAAAAACCCAAATAATTATCAATTTTGTGACTATGACCTACATAGTTTGATAATAGATTCACATCTTACGTGGGGTTTTCTAAACTGGAGATTAAAATCACAAACGTCAAGCCTATATCCATTTCCGTGTGATTTATTCTGGATTAAAAAAACATTGCATTTATATTTCATTTGTTGGTAGATAGTGCACCTGTAGCAGAATTATGGCGTAATAACCCACAGTTTTCCTGTTTAGTGAACAAACAAATCAATAGTGAGTTCCTTCTGCAGTGACATGGATTCGGAGTCTGACCAGTCATTTGAACAAAGAATCTCTGAAGATTCAAACATCAGAAGACAATATCAGCGTCCAAAAATTAAAAAAGGTACAAATCCAATTCTTCACGTTCCAAATTTTGAAGAGTTATTTGTTTGTTGTGGCCACAGGAGTTGTTTTTGGATTCCGACAATACCGCGTTGTGGTAGTATGCCTCGGCCTGCTGGACACGGGGCTGCTGATCGCTGCGTTGGTCTTGGGCATTTACTGTGAGTATGTTTTATGTACAATATTTGCTGGATTATACACACATTCAAGTCAATGCACAAAAGCTATGGATTTGAATTAGAATATGTGCAGGATATGAAGATTTTTAACATAGAAAACAATTGCTATAATTAAAACTTATTGTTCCTCCTATTATGTATCTTGAAGTAGAGGGATGTGATTTATTCTTTCATTATTCCAAACCAGATTATGTCAGACTTCTGAAGCAAAGCAGGACAGGGCCTGATAAGTGTTGTGATGGGAGACCTCTGGGAAGACCAGGTGCCACAGTGGGGCGGGTGCGTCTGTAAAATGTAAAACTGTTCTTGTGTCTTTAGGCAAAACACTTCACTCACATTTCCTAGAATGAGTGTGTGTGTGTGTGTGTGTGTGTGTGTGTGTGTGTGTGTGTGTGTGTGTGTGTGTGTGCGTGCGTGCGTGCGTGCGTGCGTGCGTGTGTGTATGAATGGTTGGTGGTGGTCAGGGGGGGCGGATGTCACTTTCCTCACTTTTGTCAGTATGCCTCAGGGCAGCTGTGGCTACATTAGTAGTCTAGCACCACGCTGTGCAAGGAGTGAATGAATAATGCTGTGGCGTGTCTTTGACTGTCCAAAAACTCCCTGCATGAAAGGGATAAATTATTCTTATTATCATAAATTATTCTTGTGGTATAAACAAAAATATATTTTAGAATACTTGAAATGAGTATTTTACTAGTATTATAGTATTGAAATAGAGTTTTGACGCTTGTATTGCAACACCATTAACCTCCTATGTGATTTCATTGGTGGAAATTTTGAAATCAAGTTGTTATTTCTTGATTTCGAAATCTTCTATAAGATAATACATGTAATATGCATCATTAGGCTTGTGCTTTGCTCTGTGCTCCCAATTTGTAGAGTTTGAGCCAATATCTCATTGAGCAAGACACTTTACATTCCATAATAAATAAATACAATCCATTACAAACAGGTGCCAGGGCCAAAGACATGCAGCAGGTCTCAGATTCGGCTTTTGCACCCCTCGTCATTGAGAGAGACTTTCTGCGGAACCAAAGTGACCTGACAAAAGCCTCGGCGACGGTTCAGAAGCTGGAGTCTAGACGCAAAGATCAGACGATTCTCAAGCTCAAGGTGAAACAGCTCCAGGTCGTGGGGGACCACCTGCAGAGCCACATTCTGCTGCTGAGAGTGACACAGACAGACCTGGAGGCCAACAAAACTCAACTGGGTACGGCAATTAAAGAACACGTACTATGCATTATTTTACGTTTTAGAATTTTAAACTCTGTCTCTAAAAAACGCTTTCTGCTTTTATCTCCATCTGCTACCACCAGAGGGAGGAGTAACATTTTTGTTTTGTTTTGTTTTTCTCCAAATATAACAACTACCGCAATTACAGCCATGTGATTGAAGTAGAAGAATGTCATATCCTCTGAAAGAAAAAGAAAAAAACGAATTCATGGGCAATATTTTAGTTTTAAAAGACTGCTATAAAACTGTTCTGAGTGTGATGTCATAGTGGTGCAATGACATCACACTATTACTGACTGAGACAGGAGCTTTTAGACATAAGGGGTGTTATGTTTGTGCCAGAATTTCCTGATACTAGTATGAATGGATCTGAAAACAGCTTCAGGTCCGTGACTTATGAGAAACACTGTTAGGGGAAAAAAGTTATAATATGTCTCTTTTAATGCCCATATTAAAGGTGAGACCACTCATTTCACCAGTGCGATAGGATCTGTATAAGATTTCACTCAAGATATTAAAAAAAACATCAGTTTTTAGTACATGTGACATCACAACATTCCAAAGAGCCAATAGTTTAAAAGTACGATGACAGGCAGGTTTTGAATCTTTTATAGATGATTTTTTCAGTACATACCAACTATGGTCAAATTACTTTCGCATTGATAGTGACGTTATAGGCAATTAAAACTACTATTGCCTTTGCATCCCACTAAAGGCTACTCACAATATTTGCTTCAACAGAAAGCTAAGGTTCCCCCAAAATCTTGGTGGTTTAGGGATTGTCTATAAGTACAAAAATAAATAATATTACAATTAAAGGTAATGAGGTGAGTTTGACACCAGAAAACACTCAACTCAATGGGAGTAGTGAAATAAACTATAATAGAATTGTCTTTGTGGCAGAGAGAAGCTGTGGCAGATGTCCTCCTGGATGGTTGCTTCTCAAAACGTCGTGCTATTTTTTCCACATTCCTTTGTCCAACTTCAGAAAGAACTGGCCAGACAGCCGAGCCGACTGCGTGAGCCGAGGTGCCGACCTGCTGGTCATCAACAATTTGGACGAACAGGTAAATAATGTGGTCAGGGGAGTAGTTTTGTTTCCTTGCAGTTCTGCTAACACTTTTCCCTGTCCATGGCACCACTGTATTCTGGCTGACTTGCACACCACAAAATGGATGAAAAATAAGTCAGTCAAAAGATTACATAATTTGAGCACAGTCTGACTGCCTTAAAACAAGATTTCCCAGTGGGACAAGCAAAATGATATTGTTTATAATATCTATAATAAAGGGACCATTAGACTATTGTGTGTTATGTGATCCCAGCTTCATAGTTTGGTTTTGAATGCATGGTTACCTACTGTATGTTCTAATACAACATTAACTATAGACCCATTAATAGCTCATTAAGGTACTATTCTCTTCTCCACAGAAACTAATTAACAGCCACTATCCAAAGTTACTTTTTCAACATCAATGGACCTCAAGTTTCTGGATAGGGCTCACTGATGCCGTGTCAAGCGGAGTCTGGACCTGGGTGAATAATGTCACTGAAGACAACACAATGTAAGCCATAATAATAATGATCCAAAAACAAAACAATAGTCATTTGTGCACTACTGTCTTTTATTGTGTGTGCAAGGTACTGGTTCCCTGGGCAGCCCACCACTGGAGAAAAACTGAACAAACACTGTGCTGTATTTGGTCGCAGTATTGTGTCGTGGAAGTCCTGGTTCAATAGAGACTGTGAGCATGATCGGCTGAACTGGATTTGCGAGATGCCGCCGAGATAGTGGCGTAATGAAAGAAAGAACAATATGATAAAATAAATGAGCTGATAAAATAAGTATGGCTTTACTGGTCTTTTGCATTTCTTTTGTCATTAAAACTAACGCATCTCTGACAAGTTGTCTCAAAGCTATTAAATGTGGTACAATGTCTGATATTGTCCCGTAAGAATGAATGGAGTTGTACAGTAGTGTCACATATGAGGAGGTCAGGGAGAGAAGTAACTCATAGAAAGCTGAACATTGTGAACATACACATAAATTACAGCATACCTCTATCTCCTATTGTTTCCCATAGGAATGTACAGAGAAGTAAAATGAGAGTGCTGTATGGGGTGGAAGTGGTCAAAGATCAAAGGGAGATGGCATTTGGTTCTCCTTATCGTGGTAACACCATGAATTTTGCACTATAATACATAGGACTAATGCTAAAGTACTGTACGTGGTTATTGTCTAAATGGGGTGAGATCTTGATGGGAGACGAGGAAAGAAATCAATAGAAATAAATGAGCTGAGAAAACATGTGGTTTTACATGTGTTTGTTGCAGGGTTGGTATTTCTTGTAAGTTTGGTGAATATTTAACTGGGGATTCTGATGTTTGATCTATGTCACTCACACACACAAGTAAACAGCAGAATACAGGGAGGGCAATGGTCCACTAACACAGATCAATCCAAAATGGAGGACAGATACGACAAACTGACTTGTCCTGACGGCTCAAATGATGACCTCAGTCTCGCAGCCTACCAAGAAGAACAACAAGGTACAATTACATGAGGATGACGAGGACGATAACTGGTTATTGTGATATCAAAGGGCCACATTGTGAAGATGGACTCATGTTATTGATAGAGATCTTTATTTCACTATTTGAACAGTTCATTTGCAAAAACCGCATCAGTGGCAATAGAAAAAAATGTGCTTGCTCTTTACTAATTGTTTTTTCAGCCAGATATATTGTAAATAAAATAAAAGTTTAAACCCTTCTTGAGGAAATTACAAACTTACAAATTTACTTAAGGACAGTTTTGAGGAATGATTTGTCAATGATGCTGTGACTAGGGCCATTAGCACCAAATATGGTCCTGAAAAAAAACCGAACACATGCGTTTGAAGAAAAACATTAACGTACTTTCTGGACTATTATTAGGCGCACATGTACTGTATATAAGCCGTACCAACAATATTTTAAAAGAAAATAAACGTATAGGCCGCACTTTCCACGTGTTAGGGTTAGGGTTGTAAATACACAAGTTTTAAACTATTTTAACTGGTCATGACATTATTTAATGACAAGGTGTGTAATAGCTGAAATGTTACCTTCCGGTTCTCATTCACCTTCATCTATTTTGACAATAAGCCAGTGTCCTATATCTACAAAAATTTGGCAGTAAAAGTAATAAGTCCATAAACTCTGCTCTGACAACAGCTCATCTCTACCACAATCAAAATAGACATTGATTGCTACGTAATGGGTCAAAGGATTAGAAAAAAGTAGCAGCTTATAGACCGGAAATTACAGTAATTGATTGAGTGTATTTGATTTTGCTTTTCTTTTCGCCCAGTGTCGCTGTCCATGGTGAGGTCCGACGCATACGTGAACCACCAGAAACGATTAGCCGTACTGCTGTCTATTCTCGCTGGGCTCCTGCTCTCTGTCAGCATTGGTCTGGGAATGTACTGTAAGTATAACATCACAAACATGTTTTTATACCGATCGTTTGCAATTGATCCGGACTGTTTCCCCGTATAGACCGTACCTTGACAGACGGAGAGCGCATTATCAAAGACATCCAAGCTGAAATCGCAAAGTTTCAGCAGGCCTACAAAGCGGCAATCAACTCTAAGCTTGAATTCAGTAAGATTTTGGTGGATGACGCTAGAATCCAGCAGCAAACCAAATGGGATCTTGATCACCAGGGCTCCATCAATGCGGCCTATCAGAATGAGTTAGACAAAATACTATCGCTCAATGCAGGCCTGAAGTCTCACATACTGTTACTAGGTGAGTCCATTAATATAATGGTAATGACTGGTATTATTATTATTAACCCTATCACTTCATAACCCATTGTTTTAACAGAGGACGGTTGCAGACATTGTTTACCAAGATGGAATTTCATAAAAGATAAATGCTACTACATCCCTTTCTCTGATGATATGCAGCTCAGGAGATGGGAGGAAAGTCGAGAGTACTGCAAGAACTTTGGTGCCGATTTGACTGAAATAAACAGCAGGGAAGAACAGGTGACTCAGCAAAGTTCAGTTAAATGTAACAATAATAATTTGAATAACAATGTGCAACATGGAACCATATGTGCCCACTGTCACCATACTTAGTCACTTTGTCCCATATCATCATGCTGCTAACTTACACCGACGCTGGCCAAACTTGCATGCAAAAGCCAGATCCTATCAGACCTTTGATTTAAGCAGGGCAGGGCCTGGTTAGTGCTGTGATGGGAGACCTCTGCAAACACCAGGGGACACAGTGGGGCAGCTCCGGTTGTAAAGTGTTGTTGTGTACTTAGGCAAGACACTTCACCCACATTGCCTTGAATGAGTCTGGTGTGTGTGTGTGTGTGAATGGTTGATGATGTTTGGATGGAACTACTGTAATTATCTAATGAATTTCATTAATTATTATTTTTTTAACCACTTTTTTTTAGAAGATGTATTAAACTATGAACCTTGTAATTATGCTAAAGATAGAGATTGTATACATGCTTCTTTATTATGAAAAAAGTAGAGATTTAATTTAATTTTAGTTAAGTTGTTGTTCACTTATCTTTAGCTGTGTGCTCCTCATTTTCATTAACTGATGACGCAACACTGACATTTCCTCTGCGTGGGATGAAGAAAGAATCTTTTCATCTTAAACTTAGTTATAAAAAAAACCAAAGATGAATAGCATATTTCTTCCTACAGCTGGCCATCAATGATTTAATAACGACCAATCACAATCAGCAACAAACTACACATGGTTATTGGATCGGAGCCAGAGATGAGGAAGAGGGGATGTGGAGATGGTTGGATGGGAGACCGGTCGTGGAGAGGTAAACTGCGCTATGGTTTGTACGTTGTATCCATTAGAACTCTAACTAGAATCATGTATTTTAGTTTCTGGAACATTGGAGAGCCAAATGATGTCGGGGATGAAGATTGTGCTGGTATCTTTCCCAAGCCAAATAAAAGCCCATATAAGGACTGGAATGATGTCCCCTGCAGCAGCCATCTAAAATGGATATGTGAAAAAGAACCCAATTTGGCTCAATAGGGATTTGCAATTTCTCATGTTTTATTATTAATACATTCAGAACCTACTTGTCATATAAAAATACAGCAGATTGCAGAAGTGCATTTCAAAATTCAAGTTCAATAAATACTGTACATCTCTCTATGGGGACATATACACTGATCTCGTACAAACATCTATTCACTAACTATGACAATATTGCAGGTTGCGGGTTTTAGTTTTGAAAGTGTAATTAGTCAACGTGTTTACCTTTTTGATCTTCCTTAATTTGTGACTTTCTGCATCAATGTATGAAATGTGTGTTTTATGGAATCATCTTTTATTTTTTTCATTGTGAGGAATAATAACTTTAACTTTCTTTTCCACTTGAGAAAGGCAAGTGCTAGTTACCATGGCTACAGAACATTTTATGTTAGAATATGGTAGCTGTTCAACAAATTATTTTTTGCTCCATTTCAAGTAATATTCACCAGTTTTACCAGTTAATAAAAGTTTAAAATGTTTAAAATTACTTACTTTTATCAATGGAACACACACAAACACACAAACGCAGCTCTCCACATACACTCTGTTACATTATACCTGCACTGCCATAAAGCAGGTCAAAGTGCTGAAAAGTGTTCCCTGAGCTGTTTCAGGAGCTGCTGTGTGTCCACGTGTTCTGGAAAAGCATCTTCAGACTTCTGAGCTGCTGTGTAGCTGCTCTGAAGATCACCAATCTAAAAAACAGGCATTCGTTTTCAATATAGGTAGAACCTAACATGTTGTTTGTTCATGAAGTAAATAAAGACTTACTTTTTCACAGAGAATGGCGAGGTTGAAGTGAGGCTCATACATGTGAGATGCCAGGGATGCGGCGGTTTGCAGGAAGGCCTTACTCTGCAATAGACACAGTATGCACAAATGTGTTGACCCTGAAATAAGTCATCATATAGCCAGTATTCAAAGAGCACTAGGAAAGATAATAACAACGGAGGGTGTGTGACAATAAGACAACGGACTAGTCTCAACCCCGTTAGCCTGGCCATAGCCATCTGTAAACCCCAATTGCCATTTCCCTGCAAAATGAAATGAATACGATGGTATGGTAAGATCCTGTAGAAGCCAGATGTAACGCAATATTTGTTGAGAATAATTTATCTGTCCCATTTTTGGAAAGCAGCATTTAATCACCAAATTTGTCAATGTGGCATAGTTTAGTAATAGTAGTAGTTGTTTACGTGAGCAGATTCAAATTTTCACATGACATTCCTGATTTTTACCATCACCATTATAATCAATGTATGTTCCATATTTCACCGCAATAATTATTTTTACCAAAAGGTCAAAGTTATTTTGAAGGTGCTACGGGGTTTACCAAATATTCAGAGCTGTGTGGAACATGCACTGCACGTCTGAGAAACACTAGTATAAGTTGAAATCTTACTTGTTCAACGCGACCTTTGCGCAGCTCCAACACTGCAAGATTGTTGTAGGCTTCAGCGTGATCAGGGTTGAAAGTAAGAGTCAGTTTGAAGCACTGGTAGGCCAAAGTGATATCCCCTATTCCCTGGAAATTCAATAACAAACAATATTGTTAGAAATACTGCTGAAATAGACTCAATCCACAAAAAGAACTGAATTGACAGAATAAACAGATGATTTGAATAAACAGTCGTATATTGTTCTGGAGATATATTCTGGGGTGGGATGGCCTCCTTTGTGCACCAGGAGGTTAGAACACTGGTACACAAGCAATGCTTGGCCTACTGCCTCTTAAATGTGTTATTTAATCACACACAGAAATGCTGGTTCTTACTTTTTGCGTTCAAATTACTAATTGTTGCTCTCTGTTCCTTTTTCAGAGAACTGGGAAAAAAGGCTTTTGTATACTCTTTACTTTCTACATGAAAAGTGTCTAAAAAAAGACTGGAAATTAACTTATTTAATTGAATGCTTTTAAGGGACAACTAAACACCAAATCAACTTCTTTTTTTAAAATCATACTGCATCAACTGCATAAATATGTTTCTTATAGTGCCCTCTACATGTCCTGGTCATTTTCTTGACATTTTAGTGCAACTGTCTGTGTGGCGCCCTCTCTACCTTTTTGATGGCACTACATTTGAATTTTGTGCCTGGCTTGAGATTTAGACACATTGAGAGACAGGGAGCGACATCCTCATTGTCATGTAATGGTTTTTATAAACATGCATCAACACTTATGGACATTGGCCATCTGCCCCTTATGGACCAACATCAATGTGTTTTCTGTTTTATTTCTTGTGTTTGAACTGTTTGCTTCTGTTATCTATGTTGGTGAAAACAGTTTTGTAAAGTCCTCCGAGACTACCACTGTGATATCGGGCTATACAAAAATACATTTAATTGAATTGAATTGTACAATCTGTAATTTTAGGTGGTTGTGTATTTTTTGCTGCCTCTTGTCCAGGACTCCCTTGAAAGTGAAGTTATTAATCTCAATGGGAATGTACCGGTTAAATAAAGATTAAATAATATAAAATAAGGCATGACTCACCACGGCAACATGTCCGATGTTATACCACACATCCGCCTGCTCCTCATCATTGGTGACCAGAGACAAAGCCCTCTCAAACGATGATAAGATCATGTCGTACTGCTGAGCGTAGAAGCAGCACAGGCCCAGGTTGTTGTACAGCTGGCAGTTGTACACACCCATCTGCAGCAGACGTCTTAAGGCAAATAAGATTAAAACATAAAAAAGCAAGAATAAAATCAACTTTATCACAATAAAATTTGAAGTATGAAATCTATAAATATTTTCCAAATATTGAGACTTTCCTCACCTGTAAAACCTGAGGGATATTTCAGGCTGGTCAGTGTAGAAATGATTGCTGCCGATGCAAGCTATAGCCTCAATGTGCGTGTTATCTTGCTTCAGCACGTCCTTGTAGTATTCTGTGGCTGATGTTATGTTGTTCATCTCCTAACAAGAAAAGTATCAATCAATCAATCATTTACATGTATTTGTATAGCACAATTCATGTACAAGGTAATTCAAAGAGCTTCGCAAGGGCAATTTATGAAATCATCTTTTAATCTTTGCAAGATCAAAATGCATACTAAAAAAGTCAATACAATACATTGATTTCATCTTGAAAAAGAGCAGCATAATACTATTGGGTTTAAAACTCTTATTAAAATGTGGATTTAAAAAGAGATATTAAAGCAATACAAAATTATACACTTACATTTTAACAGACATAAAAACTATGGTTTAAAAAGGGTAAAAAAATAAAAAAAAGGAAAGAGAAATCTTGATAGATACCTCATGGATACGTGCGATTCCAGTTAAAAGAGTGACTTCGCCAGGGAAGTGGTCGAGGCCTTGCTTAAACAAGTTCAGAGCTGTGATTGGTTGATCCAAACGATGATAGACCTGTCAGTAAGCAGCAGCAGTCTCACAGTAAGGCATGGAAGGTTTAAATGTATAGCACCGTTCATACACAAGGCAACTCAATCACTACCAAGTGCCTGAAAGTAAATGGTCAGTGCACTATGCAGTTGTGAAGCTGTATCATTACCTTTCCGAGATAGAGGTAGCTATCCACAATCTCCTGATGGTTAAGTGCCGATCGAAACTGCTTCTCTGCTTCTCGATACAATCCAAGTCTGCAAAAACAACCTTAATAGTCAAAACTTCTATGAGAAACAATACAATGTTACTGTGTGTTGTGGGTGATGAGTGTTACCTGTAGTAGCATTTTCCCAGTTGTACCTTCCACCACCAGTCTTTGAACTGGGCATGCGCTGTTGCCTGTGCGGCTAAATCTAAGGCCTATGGGTGAAATAGAAATTTCATATACATACAGCTCATCCCCCTGAACTGGTAAGTTTTATAACAATACTTACATTTTTTATGTCATTTTCATGGTGAAAGATGTACTCAAATAATGTCTGTTGAGAAAAGGCTTGTTACTTAAATAAGCCTGAAACAGGATGATTCTAAATGTTTTATTTTCTGAAAGTCTTTACCCTTGATACGTTTGGTTTTTGGCTATACTTGGCCAGGTTTAGTCTGGACAGGTTTATAAATGGCCCATCTGGATTTGTAATCATTGAAGCCTGAAATAAATGCATTCACCATCATTATCAACAATAACATTATTCTGTGAATGTATTTGTTTAATATACAGAGTGTATTAATGAATTAGCAGTGTGTTGTTCCACAGTTGTATTCACCAACATACACTCATTCACTCTGAACTATTTTACAGGTTTTTAGTGGTCGCACCGGGAGGAAACCAGAGAAGACACAGAGAGAACATGCAAACTCCACCCAGAAATGTCCTGTCTGAAGGTGGAATCACACTGCTAACTTGTGCCCAAACAATTTCAAACATGTAAAACTGGACATTACTTAACTGTTCCCAGACGAACGAATCTTCCAGAGGAGCTTGTGACTGGTCGGGCAGTGCTTGCCGTGCGAGGGGTCTTAATGGCCTGCTCCATTGTTCCAGGGCGACCTGACTGAGTGCTCGGTCTCACAAATCCAGTGATGGGGCGTCCTGACCCCGTCATGGGTCTGAATTAAAACTTAAGATTATTTGTTATGTCTTTATAAAAACAACAGCAAGTTAAATTCAGATTTGGATTCCGATTCAGATTATTGTCATTTTCCATATTCAGTAAAAACAAAAACACATAAAAATAAAACGACAGCATGCACAATACAATACAATTTACACCAGACACCATGCACCAGACAAATATAAAGTTGTCCCTGTGAGATCAATCAAAAACAGTTTCAATACAAGAGAATAATTGTTATGTCTTTGTGAAAACAACAGAAGGTTAAGTTGCATTTGTACCTGACAGCGGGGGTTGGGCCTCCTCCCTGACTTGTACCAGGCAGCCTCAGAGAAGTTCCAGGGCCTTGAGAAATAAATTACAAGTTACATCTGCTGTAGATTAAGGTCAGATGGCCAAGTGTAGTTTATCTCATCTTATGTCACTTACGTGCCACTTGAGCAATAGAGTTCTCATCAAGCAAAATTTCAGCAAGTCCTTCTTCGTCAACTTCAACTTCATCTATGTAGACCACCTCTGTTAGAGCACGGGTTTTCAGGCTCCAAGCAGCCTGAGACAGACAAGTGGCTCAGTTTGCAAACACACTCACATAGCTTTGTACATGAATGAACAAATGCATGGTTTTGAGGAAAAAGGGTGCATGAGAACGTTATTACCTCTGACATAAATAATGGCGAATCCTGAATACAGCAAAAGTGGTTTAATGAAGAAATGAAAGTAAAGAATAAGTTAAAGAGAACATGGAAGACTGAAGAAGTAGAGAAAATCTATATTTGAAGCTGATCAATATATCTAGATCTACTGGGAAAAGCTAACGAATGATAAAGACACAAAACATTTCAATGTGTTATCTATGGATGGATCAACTACTGTTAATCAGGATTAGCAAAAGAGAAACTACAGTACAGCCCTGACAGTCGCTAGCATGCTAGGCTAACTAGCTGCACACAAACCTGATCGTATGGAGCGTCTTGTAATAACTTTGTACAGATATCTGCGCACTGCTGGAACTTTCGTCTTCTACAGTAGCTCCACGCCAGAAATAAAGGGTCCATTGACACTTCCATCTCTTTAAACTGGTTCTGTACTTTGGGCTAATACAGCGATAGGGGCCAAGGTACAACGGCGAAAGCGCTTCCTCCGTTACCCAGCAACGGCAAACGGGGGCGGTCCCTTTGAACGAAGATAACTTTTGTAAAATAGTTAATAAAAAATCTGAAAACTTAAATTTGATTATTCTAACTGTTTTTTTGTGAAAGTCAAACTTGTTATATGCAAGTTATTGACATTTATTATTTTACTTCCTCATTGTGATTTCTAACGTCGACGTAGGGATGTTACTGAGCAACCATGCAAGCCGGTACGTTCGAAAAATATATTTTGTTTGTTTGGTTCAACAAAGCATTAAAATGTGTCTGTTGTAAATGAAGCATATTTTTCACATACCACAACTTAATTTTAAACTGGTGTGCTATTCCACCAAATAGGAAGCATTGTAAAATCATAAAAAACAAACATTACAGCTGAGGTTCCTAAGTTTTGCTGTTTAACAAAAAAAAATCAACCGAACTCTCTGTGTTTGGCCCATGTGGTTTGTTCACAAATAGTGGCTCTATTTTTCAAGTATGTAAAAGTTTTGTTATCACGATTCTGTTGGAACAAACAACAACATAGGTACATTTTGTCATTTGAAAAAGGATCAAAAATAGACTTGAAGATTTGTCCATGTAAGCTAGTTATCTCCAGTAGGTTGGACTACTGTAACGGCTGCTCACTGGTCTCTACCATCATGTACCATCACATTAGTCCAGTTAGGTCTCTCCAATGGCCTTCCTATGGTTCAGAGAATAGACTTTAAAACAGCTCTGCGTGTGTACAAGTCTCTCACATGATGTTAGTGCCATATGACCCAACTCAGACTCTGAGGAGCAGGGACTGACCTCCTGCTGGTGCCTAGAGTCATAACTTAACGTGGGGAGACAGCATTTTAGATTCATACAACTAACATCTGGAACAGTCTTCCTGAAAATGCCAGACCAGCTCAAAATCAAATCAGGCAGGAGGAGGACTTTATGTTGGCTAAAGAACTGTGCAATATACCTTGTCTTACATCAGATTCAACTGCAATACATTTCAATTAAAAACACTGAATTACGTTTGCGTCTCATAATCTGTGACACACTCAAAACAACGTCAATAGATAACATAATACTAAATAGACTTTTCATTGCTACTCTCTGTGCGAACACGTGTGATTGGACGAGAGCGGTGCCCGTCATCTCTGTGGGCGGTTCGCGCGGAACAACAGCGCAGCTCCATCTTTGCAGGATTTGACAGGAGCTTTGACCTGTGTCGAACGAGCCCGACCAAACCTGCGCCTGTCAACGCGGACTCTGCAAACATGAAGAACGCACGGTAGTTCTCCTCATACCAGGAAGACTCTCAGCGGGCGCGCACCAACTCCAAGCATGCCCAAGCATTTCAGCTCGGGTAGAATTTTGACGAGAACTGAACCTATATGGCAGTCACGGGCTTAGAATAAATCCTCTGTTTTTCCCCCTGTCTTTGCGAATGACAGTTTATAGAAAAACCTTAACAGACGGAGAGTAGACTCACGGAAACGCGCGCACGGCTATGGCTGACAGGACTGCTCCCAATTGCCACCTGAGACTGGAGTGGGTGTACGGATACCGGGGACATCAATGCCGCAACAACCTGTACTACACCGCCGCGAAGGAGATCGTCTATTTCGTGGCCGGAGTGGGAGTCGTGTACAACACCCGGGAGCACAAACAAAAATTCTTCCTGGGACACAACGATGACATAATCAGGTAATGCACTAATAGTATAGAATAGTAAGACAAGCGTGTCTTCAGCACCAGGGACAGCTCCAACGCAAATTCCCTCTGTAGAAAGCGACATGGCAAGTTTCGCGTATGTGTGACACTTTATATAATAGTATGTGGTCATTCGATTTTTGCTGCATGGTTGTGGTGTGATGGAATGGGAGCAGGGCCAGATAGGGACTTATAAAGACAGCACAAGGAGACTCTACTACCCTAGTCTGCTGCCAATCCCCTACACGCGCATTACACCATAACCTTGTGAACAGGCGTGACTGAATGTAGGACAGTGTCGAAATGTGTCACTTGGTGGATTTTGTAGAGCAATTAATTCACACATCAGTTGGTTAAAGTGATAGTACATAACTTTGTGACATTTTACAAGGAAATAGAGCAGTTAAATGCCACACTGGGGAAGATTGCAAGCCCGAAAGAGCAATAGTTCAATGGGCATATTGAAGACATATTCGTCCAACCTCTGTTTCAAGCAGTTCACTTCTGTTTATTTTGTATCTTGTTTATTTTTCATAGTTTAATTTTGCTTAATGTTTTAAATAAAATTATTTGAAAATATGAAGTGCCAAAAACACAAAAACATACTTTTATAAGAGTATTTTTTGTGTGGCCTTTAAAGTTACATAATACGGCTTCAAAGCAGTTCAGGATAAAACCTATCAAACGCGTGTCATTTGTAATGTCTTTAAATGCAAACTTGGATGTAGAGTCTGGAGGAAGGCATTCTAGCAAAAGATGGATAATATCAATGTCAGCAGCTTTTGTTTTGTGAAATATTACAATCCTTGCTGATGCAGGAGGGTCCAAGGACAGCGATGATCTGGGACATTTAAGGACAGTTATGAACATTTTTTAGATATTATTCATTCTACTCCCTCATGAAACAATGTGGTCTATGTCTTGTATTATCATTGCATTTCCTGTGTCAGTACAGTTTTATTTTCTAATCTTTTTTTGGTGAATCGACCAAAAACAAGTCAGCCTTTGTAAAGTCCTCAGAGACAGCTGCTGTTGTGATTCAGAGCTTTACAAAAATAAATTGTTAATAATAGTTGGATTATTGTTAGTGTATTGAGTTTAATTGTCTTTAGTAAAAAAATATATTTAAAGATAATTTTAAGGTATAGTTTGTCCCAGTATGCATCTCGTCCTCTGCATTTGACCTACAGTATCTCTCACTGGACAACCTGCAACAGCTGCTTCCGTGTATAATTTCATTGCAATATCATCTGAATATTCTTACTACAAACTCAGATTCTCTGTTGCGTCAATATCTCCCACCCCTACTTCACACAAAAGCCACACCACTCCTTTTTCTTTCGAACAGTGAGTCTTCTAAGGACAGATATATATTACGGCTCTCCTCTCGTGACCTACATGTCACCTCGACGCATGGTGCCCAGATCAGTGGAGCACCTAACCATGGTTGTATCAGTGATCACCCAGCCATAGACCTCCCCTCGTCCTCTTTCTGCACACATGTGACCCGACAATGAGCAGTGTCCACCGCTTCAGTGCGTGCTTTCACATGCGTGTGTGTGTCTGTATGTGTCTGCGTGTGTTGTGTGTGTGTTTGAGGGCTGGCCCAGAGATGACTTGCGTTTGCGCCATTTGTCAGCTGGGCCCCTGCTACATTATTCATCGTTTACAATAGAGGCGGAGAAACGCAAGGATTCAAACAAGTGGCCTCCATAGTCAGTAGTATGATGGTTTTATTTCAAGCATCAAAACCTTTGTACATTTTCCATAAATGAAGAAAATGGACAATAAACAAGATACAATACAGACAGAAAATCACACTTAGGGGATAGGGCGAAGTGAATGCTTGTTTGGCTACAAACCCCTCGCTCTTTCAACACAATGCAAAAACAGTTGTGGCCATACCTGCATGTGAAAGCCAGAACACCCCTGAAGTTAAGCATGCACATACTGTTTACCCTTCTTCTGATAGAGTGCCTCAGGGCAGCTGTGGCTACAATAATAGTTTATCGCCATTTTGAGGAGTGAAAGGACAATAACATGTGAAGCGTCTTTGAGTGTCCAATAAGTGCTACAGAAGATATTTATCATTAGCCTGACACGCCCTTTCAACATGTGTCAAAGAAAATGGCGTTGCAGTGATAAAAAAGACAATCGTGACCTCTACAATCTGATGGCCTCATGTGGTACCGTTACTGTATGCAGTTGCTGCCGTGCTATTGTATTTCTGCATGGCTTCGGGCTATAAATTAAGGAAAGAAAATAATTGCTTTAAACCACATGCTTTACGTCTTGGTATAAACATCCAAGCTAACCATCGACCCATTTGGAATACAATGATGAAGATAAGTCCAGATCACGTTCCTTTCTGAAAGTCTATTGATAGGATGAACTTGTCTCCTCTCTTTTCCCCTAAGGCTTTTTGAATGATTCTCAGCAGCCGCCCTTGACCAACTTAGCTTGTCAGAGTTTTGAGTATTCTTGTTCTTTTGAAGATGACTTTAGCTGATTTTTTCTCATGCTGGAAGGTGCAGGAACAAACACTTCTTTCTTCTTTCTGGAGCTTGAACCTGCTCTGCTTATTCATCTGAAAGTCGAAGGTAAAAGCCTGGCTGAGGTAAATCATAATTACCATCTGCGAAAAGTTTTTCCCAGTGTGACAATGAATGAGGCCGGCTCAGAGATATTCAATTCAATTTGATTTATTTTTGTATAGCCATCTCAGAGGACTTCATAGTTCTTAATATGCCAACATAGATCAGAGAATCAAACAATTCAAACACAGGAATCACATTGGATCAATTGGTCCTTAGGGAGCTGGATGACCAATGTCCATAAATGTCCTTGATCGTCACATGCAGGGAACAACTCAAAAACCACAGGAGATGAGAATCACTCAACTTCCACGTTCCACGCATGTGCGGAAACCAATCAGACAGCAGCAAAGTGGCCATGGGGACACGAGCTAGTTAAAACAGGATGACACTCGAAAACAACTAAAGAAGAATACAGGGGCTTAGGCTCTTTGGAATGTTGTGATGTCACATAAAAGCAACATGAATTCAAATGCAAAATTCAAAGAGGACCATGAAGCAAAAACAACAGCCCAAATACTAGTTGCTTTTGTCAGACGTAATAATTTTTTATTTTTTTTTGCTTATATAATGAAAATAAACTGTATAGTCACAAATGTCGTCCTGTACTTCTCTGATTCTATTTTAGGTGGTAAGCTGCGGGTGTATGGGCAGGTGTTTCACATGAAGAATGATGAGGGGCATCTGGATTAATATGCGGAATCCTGCAAAATGTCTTTTACTGTATTTAGACGATGGGGAATATGCTAATCCTCTGCCCTTAATCCATTGTCGGCAAAACCACAGCGGTCGACCAGTATGCGATTTTGACTGCATTTTGAGGCACCATATACAGTCATTGATACATCATTATGTCTCCCCATTGTGAAATTGCAGCCATAGAATTGCGTTACCAAGGGGAAAAATATCTATCCATTTTGTTTGATTATTTATAAGACTGCAGGAGAGACCTCTGTTAAAGCTGCGGTACCTAACTTTGAAACCACAAAAAAATCATTGTTTTATAATTCATGTAACAGTGTGGTTCTATCACTAGTTTTCACACTTATGTATGTTTGGTTTTCAGATCAATTTTTTTTGAGAAAAAGACAGTACCAGTTAAAAATAATAATGATAATACTGAATTTTATCTTTTTAGATGCCTTTCTTGACACCCAAAGTTGCCTTAAAATACAAGTAAAAAGTACATTTTGAAAACAGTTCTCATTACGTAAAATATACAATGTTTTCTAAGATAAAGACAGCAAAATGTCCACAAAATGTTACTCGGACAAGACTCTTTCCGTTGGAACGATAGACTTTATTTTGGGAGTGTACTGGAGCCAAATTCCTTTTATGGGATTTTTTTTTGATGGCATTAGCTTAACAGGGGCAGATGTGTTTGCTAAGGAGATCCCACTAAATGGTCGATCCTTATACAGCTCATATCTGGATTTACAAAGACAATATCAATGTATGCACAACAGGATTAGAGAGCGCTGAACCAAATTTTTAAAGCCCAAAATGGTGAGTGTGACGCAAACGGTTATAAAGGAGTTTACTTTTCAATGTATATCAATAGGAGCCAAGAAGTATTGTCCATGAGCACTTCCCTACTGGGAATCATTGAGCTCGAGGGTTGGCATTGTCCATCTATAGAAAAAGTTAATATATGTAAATGACATCTGACCTTTTGTTCTGTTTTGTCTGCTTTGTTTGTTTTCATATTATGTCTACAGCATTGTGGTTTAGCTTTTTATTTCCAGTCCTCCATCCATTGTTCACCCGGCTAAATGTGTATGCAGTGTCAACATCGATATTGCTGTTCTTAATTGCTTAAAATAATGTTCGATGTATATCAATCATTGTATAGCTGTATATATAGCTGTATATATCTGAACATTGTAAAGCGCTTTGGGTGACCTTGGTCTGTAAAATGTGCTATATAACTAAACATAACTTACTTACTATAGCTGTCCATTTCCATCCATCCATTTTCTTCCCCTTAATCCATTTCTGGGTTGGGGGGGGGGGGGGGGGGGGGGGGGGCAGTCAGAGCTGCACCCAGTACACATAGCACCAGCCCCTCACTGGTCCTCCTGCAGGTGGTGAGTCCACAGGAGCGGAGATCGTTCAGCGGGGGCTTCAGGCAAAGTGGGGTTAAGTGTCTTGCCCAAGTACACAATACAGCAGACATCAGTGGGAGTCGTGAAGTAGGTCTTACGGTGGGATCGAACCCACGACCTTCAGGCTCTAAGGCCAATCCTCTACCAACTGAGCTACTGTCGCCCCACTATCCCAGCAGCAAAGAATCAAATCTGTTAATGGAAAATTAGATTAGATTAAATTCAACTCTATAGTCATAGAACTTTCAGAACAATGCAACAAAATGCACGTTAGCATCTAACTAGTAGTGTAATA